AATGAGTGCCAAGCACCGGGAGAAGCGGCGGTGAGGAGGACTGCCCATGGCGCAACGCCTGAGATGGAACGTCGGCTGCCATTGTGAGCATGAACGAAACCGCGCCAAGCCTCGCAAGCCTCTCGGGGCCATCTGGGCCGTGCACCAAGTGAGCAATCAAACCGATTCTACGCATCTTCCTGTGACGAATCCTGACGATAGCAGCTCCGGATCATGGCGCTGAGCAGAGAGCAGAGCAGGAACCGGCTGCTCCTGTTCGGCCGCTCTGCACACGAAATTCGCATGCCGATCAAAGCTACAAAGCTTCAATGTTGCCCATCTGCGGTATTCCGAGCATGAGCGAGGTCCGCGGCGCAACCATCTGACCTGCGTCCTGGCGGCGAGACGCAAACAGAGTGGGCACGCGCGCCACGAAGCCCGCGCAGGTTCAATGCAGACTCGGCCCGCACCCGGCGGCGCCAGTCGGGCTGGGGCGTCGGGAAGTCCATATCGAGCGAATGGGTCCGCAGATGTCGTCCGCGATACGGGACGGCCGCCCGCGGCGCGGCGCCCTGTCCGTGAAAGTTAGGTCGCATGCCACACGGAGCTTGCGCGACGGTGGCCTACGGGGACGGCAGTGACCGACGAGACGGCGACGCGCCCTCCCAAACGCCGTGCAAGTCGCCGTCCACGCCGCCGTACGATACGGTTGGACGCGCGCGCGGTCCGGGCACATGCTTGCCACGGAGGAACAAACCATCCCCACCGCTGCGAAGGCGAAGGCACTCACCTCTACCGCCGCGCCCGGTCCTCCGCGTCGAGGTGTGCTCGCACTCCGCGACCGAGGCCTCTCCGCCCCCATCGGGAAGGTGTATGCTCTCCGTGAGTATCGACACCGGCCGTTCCTCCCGAGGTCGAGCGCCGGGAGTCTTCGCGCGCGTCTGCGCTGGAGCCAGTTCCACGACGGACGTACATACCCCAGAGCTGCCAGAGCCAGTTTCAGGACCAGGAACCCGGGAGATCGACAGCACAACAAGCCCGGGAAGGGAACTCGACAGAGACGCAGCGCGGTTAGTCGCCGGCTCGGACGTCCGCACCGGACGCGTCCCACGCGCAGTCAGGTGCAGACAAAGATGACGTCGTCCAGTGCTAGCAGTTAATTATACAGCGCAGCAGCAGGGCTTGTGAGCTCAGCGCGGGCGGCAGCGTAGCAGGCGGCGGCACGGTAGACAACAAGGGTGGCCAGCATTATCTTCTGCCGCGATCGCGAGCGGTGGGGCACCAGAATGCGCGAGCAGTCCTGGCGGCGTGTGGGCACCCTGCCTCGCGGTCGCGCGGCAGGGGCGGCATGCGTGCACTGTGTACAGCAAAGTACGCGTGTGGCACCTGATCGCGCACTTCACCTTCTAGTCCGTGCGTCACCCATCAGACTGATGCCACTGCCAATGCATACAAGACCGGTGCATCTCGTATGCATTGCGCACGGTGCGAGAGTGCGAGGTTGCGGGCGTGCACATGCAATATCATGTGCACGCACATGACCCGCCCTCGTTCGGAGGTCGGCCAGACGCACCGATCTTCCGACGAAGAAGTGCTGCTCGCGTTGCCGTTGCCACCACCCACTCTCTCGCGCACTTCGTTCATTGACGGCAGAAGCTGCGAAGTGTGGGGTGGGGCCCCGGGGACGTAACCCACGCGAAAGACGATGGGTGGGCGTCAGGGCGCGGAAGTCGGCCCTCGGGCCTCGCACTCTGTGATCGGGCTCCGGAGGCGTCGAGTCTCGAGTCTCGAGGATGCAGCTGGGGTTCCTGGTTTCGCTCGCAAGCTTGTGGAGATTCGAGGTCCGCGCGGAGAAGCCGCGCGCTGGGAGAGAACGGGGGGTCGGGAGGCGGAGCGGGGCTTGGCGCGCTCTCGATGGGGTTCTGCAAACGAGCTGCAAGATGCATTAAGATGAAACGTCGTAAATGAACTTGGACGAGGTCGCAGTTCCGCACCGACTCGGGAAACCGTCTTCCTAAACGCAGGTCACATTGCTACTGAACGCCGCGTCCTGGCCTCCTAGCCTGAGTCTCATCCGGAGCGCCGTCCTACGTCCCTCGATCGGGCACCTTGCTCGAAGGCACCGGCCCAGCGTACCTAGTTCCCTCCGCGTCAGCGCCGTACACCGTGAACGATCTCTACTGAATATAACGAGCTCACCGAGAGTCGAAGCAAGTTCGGCCACGCCGGGCCTGGCACGCGAGCGGCCGCGCGACCCGCACGCCGCGCATCACCCGACCGCGGGCCCAAAAACGCGACCATGCCTTATCCGGCGCGTCCCAGCCTTGTGCGCGGGACGTACGGGGCTAAGTTAGCGCAACGCAGCGTGCCACTCCTGCCAGCTATCGGGGTTCGGCACTGGGAACAAGACGCGCCGGCGCCGGAACAGACGCGTCAGAACGCTGGGATAGAAGAACGGGGCAGAAAACGGAAAAGCCGGCGGGGTGATGTCGATGTCGACATTCGTGCGCCTGCGAATCCGCAAGCGCAAGGCGGCCAATGGGATCGGCCACGGGCAGAGCTCTCATGCTGATAATGGGATGCGAGTAAGGTGCCACAATGGGCTGCGGATACGGGGCGTTGGAATAATCCACGCTCCCCCGCAAAAGAAGACAGACTAGACGTGATGCACGCCTTGCGACCGTTCAGTTGTCCCACGCATGCGTTGAGGTGGACGTATGTGTGCGCAGCCTCGCGCTCAGAGCTGGTTAACGGGCGCCGTACGCGCGCAGAGAAGCAGGTACCAGAGCAGCCGCCAGCTCCTTCCAATGTTCAAAACGTTCAGCGCTCAGCTCCAGTGTAGACCTGTGTGCGTGCAGCGTGCAGTTCGCGTGCAACGCGTCCGGACTCGCCGCGGCCCCCCCTCTCAGGCCAAACGTGCACTCACATTCGCGTCTCGTGTCTCGCGTCTGGCACCTCCGGGAAGCCCGCAAGTTGCGACACCCCGAGTCCGAGGAGCGCTTGCACAGGCTGCAGGCGTCCGGGGGGAAAAGGGACGCCCGACACACTGGGAAGCAAGGAAAGAACGGTGTAAATTTTCGCGCCAGACACGGACCTACATCGTTCTATACTTTACACAGCGGGAACCCGAGCGCGCCCGCTCCCCACGCGCGGCTCCGAGTCTAATTTCCACCCGGCAGGTGGCAAGAAGAACAGACATACAGCGCGCGAGGCCTAGGGAACACAGGCGACCGAATGCAGACCAGGGGTGAGATGCAGCCACAGAAAGACGGGTTCCGGATGACGGCAGACGCTATCGCGCATCTGTGGACTGAGCGATATGCGATACGAGCCAGCACCAGAGCGGAGACCAGAACTGAACGAGCCCACGGCGGAAGCCAGCCCAGCAGCAGCAGCAGCACGCGCAGCAGGTCACCTGTACCACGACGCGCGATAGACGATCGCGACGCGGGCAGCGCGGTGTACGACACTGTATGCCTCTCGGGTGGAACAAGACTGTATAGCGGCGCACGATCAATGTCGCACAGTGCGGGGAAACGCGAGATGAAAAGCACGCAGCGCGGGGAGGCGAGGGGGATCCGGGCGATCGAGCATACGCTTGCGCACAGAGGGGGCCTGCTGAGCCTGTGAGCTTGAGGCTTATCTGACGCAGCGCTGCAGGGGTGAGATGCCGACGGAACTTGCGATGCCTGGGGAAGGGGATCCTGGATCCCGCGTGCGGGTCGGAGGTGCCATTCCTGGCCTATTGGGCTGGGAAACACGGGCGAAGGTGCGCGAGGGGCAGGCATTGCGCGAGGGGGGAGAAGCGCATTGAGTGCGTGCGAGGGAGGCCGGCGCAGCCGCGCAGGCAAGGTTTGGACGGTAAACTGCGAATGCGGGAGGGAGCTCGCACGCGTCAGCGGCGGGCCCCAGGGGCGCAGGAAGATTCAAAGTCCGGAGGGAATGGTCGTGAAGGTTCACGAAGCCGTGCGAACCACCCGCGCGTGCGCGCGCGAGCGAGGGGGGAATCCGGAGGAGGGGAGCAAGTGCTCGCGGACGCGCATGCTGCTGCAGATTGATGCGCGAAAGCGAAAGTCGACGGGGAAACTGCGAGGGGGAAATGCCGGACGCGCGTTGTGAGATGAAAGAATGCGGAATGGAACTGGGAAAGCCGGCGAACAAGGTATAGCAGTGGACGCCATTGCGATGATTATCGATAGACGGGCTGAATACGGCGGCAGTCAGGTGGGCGGTGTCGCCTCGAGGCGGTATTCACGGAGTTAGAAGGCGGGGAGAAGGGATGAGCAGGCCTTGTCTGGCAATGCGAGTGCGCGACAGGTGACAGAGAGAGCATGGCGGTTTGGAATATTGTGTGATGTGGCACGGACAAAAGGAAAACATGCGCGGCCGGTGCATATTGGTCATTGCGCGTGCGGTGCATTGTCGCGACAGGCGCGAGGCGGGGCGCGCGAGGGCGGTGGATGTTGGGCGGGCGGCGGCAGGTCGGTCGGCAGGCGGCCGGACGGGGTGCGAGAACAGCGAGGGATTGAGCAGGCGGGCGGTGGGAGGACAGGCTGGAGATGGCAGGAAGGAGGGGAGGTGGAGGAAGTCGGAGGAGGGACCGGGGGAAGGGAGTGGATCTGGGATCTTGATCTTGATGCTCGCGGGGTGAATGGGCGAAGGCGTGCCGCAATCTCATCGTATCAGCGACAGAACACCGATCCCAATACCCTCCGTCCTCTGCGGCGGAGACAGGTACGGCGAGCGCAGACGGGGGCCAAGGCGGCGAGGACGGAGGCTGGAGGAGGAGGAAATGAACGATCCACCGGAGCGGGCGCTCTGGGAGGGCGATGCGGCGAAGGGAAGGACCGGTGGCACGGGCGCCTCGCGTGGCCGGCTGGAGGGGAGTATGCCCCGATTTGGGGAAAGGGAGGATGAGACAAAGGAGGCGCCCGCACCTTCTCTTTTCTCTCTCTCCTGCCTTCTCTTCTCTCGCCCTCTCTCCCTCGCCCTCCGCTGCCCAAACATATCTCTGCCCGTCATGGCCCTCCGCTGCTAACACTCTTCGCCGTCCATATAACCCCCGTCTCTCCTCCTCCTCCTCCCTCCCCAACGCCCCTCGCCGTGCACGGCCACTCCTCCCTCGACGACCCCTCCACACAATGCCTCCCTCGTATAGCCCGTGCCCCCGCCCCATCCTCAAGCGTACCGCAGCCTCTGCCCCAGTCAGGCCGCCCCCGCAAGACGAGCCGTCCGCGCTCCTCGCTATCGACCCCTCCATCCTCTCCCCCCTCGTCCGCTTCCCCCACCACCAGGCCCTCGCCCACACCATGGGTAGTGCCCTCCCGTACGACCGTACCCCCATCGTCGTCACCCCCAATCGCTGTGCCCTCCCTGAGCGTGGCTGCCCCGGACGCACCTACTCCCTCGACGACCCTAATCCGGCCCATTTGCGCTCAAGTAAAAGGATGAGCCTCAGCCCCACCAGAGGCAAGCATCTCCACCCCCGCGCAGCAGGTCACGACAGGGAAGCATACGAGGACAACGACTTGACTCCCAGGCAGAGCCCGAGAGTCGACCACTTTCCTCTCCCGCCTCTCGTCCCTGACCTGTCCTCGGAATCCTCAGAGGAGAGCGACGGTATCGCGAGCCCGCCCCCAGAGTTCTACTCGAGTGAGTATATGCCGTATACACGGCCTTATCTCGCTTATTCACCCGTCTGCCATAGCGTCCGCCGCACATGGCAAGATGTCTCTTGAGCAGTCCCTCATGAACCTCACCTTGGCGGGCACCAACGCGCCATCCAGCTCCGCCCTCTCCTTCCTCCCCCACCCGCCGTCCCCGCGGGTGCGCCCGTCGACGTCTCCTACGCAGCCGTCATCGATCCCGAGTTCGTATCCCTACGCCTACTCGTCCTTTGCGTCAAATCCCAGCTCGAGTGTCAGCATCGGCAGCTCAAATCCGCACTCGTCGAGCCACGGTGCAAGTTCGCCCGTGCGCTCGCGCTCCCCCGCCTCGCCGACACGCTCAAAACGCAAGTCGCGCCCTGCGCCTATACCCATCCCCGCCGGTGCCAACCCGGGCTCCAGCCCTATCGCGGCGTACTCGCACTCGAGTCCGACCCCGACCGCCGCATACCCAGGCGCCCCGGCTAGCCCGGAGCGTGAGCGGCGCAGCCGGCCCCGCGACGACCGCGGCGGAGACGTACGCAGAGAACACCGCGAGCGCAGTCGTGAACGCAGAGAACGGGAACGTTCGGAGCGTATGGCGCGTTTCAGCTCGTCGTATCGGCCTGGCTTCGCTGTCGAGGACGCGGGCTGTCTTGGCGGGTTTTAGCCAAGGCTCGTCGCCTCCGCATATGGCATTCCACTCTTTTCAACGTCGTCGACCGAGAACTCGCCGTGCCGCCGCCGTCCTTCGGGGCAACAGCGGTGGGGAGGGCTTACACGTCAACCACGAGGAGCCGAGCCGAGTGTCGCCCGGGCGCACACGCCGGGCACCACGCAAAGGAGCACCACGCAGAGAGCAGCAACACCCGAGAGAGAGAAGCGCAATGTTAAGTAATTCAATCCACCTGTACCACAACCGTATCCACGCCCTATTTGTTCCCTATTTCCACCCGGCCTCCAACCGCACTTTCTTCTCCAACGCACGCACCGCAATCATCCTCATTCTCATCCCATCATCGACTCCGACTCTTTATTCGCCTCCGCCTCGTCTCGTCTCGTTCCGTCCACCAACACAACGCCCGCACACCCTATGACGACCTCGCTACGTGCCTCCCGCCTCTCCTCTTCCCCGCATCAGGACCCTCGAGCGCCCCATCATGTCCATACCCCTTCGCCTTCTCCACATTACCCGCCCCGCCCGCCGCTCCCTTCATTTCCCTCTCTCCTCCCTCTCCCGCACGTACGCACCCTTCGTCTCCCATCCCGTATTCTTCGCGCAGCCGCCCGTCGCCCCGCCCCCGCCCACCCGCCGTCTGCCGCTCCCTCGCGCAGGTCGCAGCGTGGAAGTGGGTGCAGCGGGTCCGCGGCGACGGGCACCCGTCCACGCCTACGTTCATATCCGTTCACTGTATGTACGCGCACGCGGCCGGCGCTCCACGGACGAGCAGTCGGTATCCCGCTTGTCGCTACGCTACATAGCACCTGCACGCAATGCACGCTACTTATTTCTCTCAGCCCCCTGTGTGCGGTGTGCTCAGTCCTTGCGACAGGTTGGAGTTCCAGCGCGAGGTTTGCCCCTACTTACTCGCTCACTCTGAGGCTCAGCTTGCAGCATGACTCTGAGAGGCCCTCATCCAATGGGAGGGCGCGCGTTCACGCCCCCGCCCCCGCGCGTGCGTCCGCGTCAGGGCCAGGGGGCGGGGGCCACCTGCGCCTTCCGGGTGGTGGTCCGTCCGACGCGACGGGACGCACCCCGCGTCCGTCCGACGCGCGCTCGGAAAATGCTTTCCGCGGTGACGGTGCGCCTCCGTTCGCCCTCATTCGCTTCCTCTTCAACGTCATCCCCGTCGCCTAGCTTACCACCACTCGTCAACTTTGCAGGTTCTACATACGTCCTGCGCGTATCGACTGCAAGCTTCAGCGTCACGCGCGAGCGGACAACTACGGCTCCGGCGACGGCGCACACAGCCCGTGCGCTAATTTCGCGCGCCCCCATCTGCAATGCATCATTTGCGTCGCCGTCCTCGAGGCCCGCCGGCCATCCATGATCCATCTCATCTCGCCCACATCGGCACATCGATACGATGACGACACCGACCCGGGGCGGACGCGGTGAACAGACAGACCGGAAAACAATGAAGGCTGTCGAAATTTGCTGGATGACGCGCGCGCGTGCGCAGGCGGCGGGTGAGCGAATATGCGGCCTGGGGCGATCGTGCCACGGACGGCTGCGCGCGCGTGCGGGTCCGGGGTCGGGCGCGGGTCGGAGCCTCGGAGGGAGGATTCGAAGGGCTCGAGTGGTGAAATCGGAATGGAGTTCGAAGGTGGGTGCGTATTGCGAGGAAAGTGCAGGTAACTTTGTGGACACTGGCGGTGAGCTTGAAAGCACCTGTGGACAAGTCACGGCGTGTGATGCACACAGGAGCCAGGTACACATTGCATGGTTTTTATCGCCCTTCCCTTACTAACTTCTAAATACTTCACGCAGACTCGAGTAACATGAAACGCCGCAGATGTGGACGCGCAACAAGACATAGCATTATCAAATGCGTTGCAACGAACTCATGGTCAGCCGGGGACACCATGACCTACTCCAGGGTGCACCGAATCATGCTGCCCTCGTTTTTGGCGTCGCGCAGCTTCAAATCGGGTGACTGGAATACGGGTAAGCATCTCTCCAGACACGGTAGCGTCTCGTATGTTATCATGATGCATCTTCACTCAGGCGTCCTGCACGGCATGTGCCGTTCTCTTGACAGTGAGCATCTACTTCGTGCAGACTGGAGTGACACAGGCCGCGGGGCGCACGCTTGACCAGAGTGTAGCAAACGTCGTCGGACTTGTGTTCAGTCACGAAGGCTACAACTATAAAGCACTGCGATTCCGAAACATGCTACCCCCTTTTCTCGGCGTCACCCTGCTCCAAACGGGGCGACGCGGAATAAGGGTCAGCATATCTCGGGACAAGTGGATGTTGCGTATGTTATGTTGATGCATCTCTTCAAGTGGCTGAAACTGACCTCATCTGTTTGCGCGCTAGGAAACATGCCAGCACGACAGTACCTGCTTACCCCGTTCGTGCTTACCCCGTTTCCGCGCATTACTTCCATGATGTTGCACTGCATCGATGTCATTGAATGTGTTCAGTGTGAATGCATAGGTTTCCCCGCCAGCTAGCAAAAGCGTCATTCGAACCCACCCCCATCGTCACCGAGCGGACGCCGTCTGCCGCCCCGCATCCCGCACCGAGTCCAAATTCTCCGACGTTCGCGCCCTCGCACGCGCGTCGCACGTCGTGCGTCGACCGTCGCACACCGGACCGACCGCCCACGCCACCCTCAGGCCGTGTGCCACCGCGCGCGTCCTCCGTCGCACGAAAGGCAAGAAGGGCCCCTCCGGTCATCTAGCCACACCCGCCCAGATTCTAAAACGTGCCACCGCGCAGCCGTGCCGATCCCCATCTCCCTTCGCGCCCTTCTCCCGACCTCCGAGTGCCATCCCGTGCCACCCCGGGGTGTTCGCGCAGCGCCAAGCGCCGGCCCCGGAAGGCAGACCAGCTGGTGTGCCACCCGCCCTGGCTCGCACGCCCGTGGCGGTCGCCTAGATACAACCCCAAACACGCTCGTTCGCTCCCCGGGCTCCACATCTGCATCTGCCACTCGGGCTTCGTACGCTACGCCCGCGCATTCACTCTCGGACGACCTGCCCGCCCTCCGATGCGTTGGGGGAGAGGTCACCTGCTCGGGCGTCCCACGCGTCGGCGTGTGGCCCGCCCTCCGTGTGTGTCGCTTTGGGCTTGCGTGTCCACTGTCCGCCCACGACCCGGCGCATCTCCCGCTGGCCCTGTGCGGCGATATCACTCGCAGCGTACTTCTCGCTCCGGCCCAGGACCCGCACCTCCGGACGCCCGCAGTGCGCATGATGTCGGCCGCCCCAGGACATTGACGGTGCACTCTCTCCGCACGCGCGCTGGCCCAGTGCCGCGCGTGTCGTGTAACGTTTGGGGACGCTTCGGAGTGCGTCATCGCAGCTCTCCAGATCCGTAACCCTCGCCGAACACGCAGCTGACAAGTGCACCCTGCGCCACGCACAGTGCACTCCGACTGGACTTCTTTGCACACGCCCAGTACGGTGCGACCCTCCGAGCGGGAAAGGCATCTGTCGATCTGGATCCTTGGGCTCTCCTGACGCTGCGCTCTGGCAGCCTGTGAAACGAGGAGGCGTCGTCGCACACCTTCCTTATTCGTCACATCTCTTTCCCGCTACCCTCTCGCAGTTGGTGTATTGGCGCAGCAGGTCACCTTGCAGCAGGCTATCGGTTGATTCATGACTATGCTCCCTTCGTCTCGGAAACAACTTCCTCAAGAAAGACCGGCGACTACCCCCTCTGCAGCCCTCGTCATTCGGGACTTCGGAACGTGTCCTTCGCACGCGCGCCAAGCCTTCGCTGTCATGGCCGCCATACTACGACCAAGTACTCCGGGAAGACCTGCAGTGACACTCACCTTCAAGTCCTCCGTCGGGTTCTCGCCATGCCCCGACTCTCTTCCGCAGCCCCGGCCCGACGATATCAAGCGAGCGGGCAGTATAGCGCCCATCTCCCGTATCCCCGCAATACAGATGTAAGTTCAATGTTCACAGTTCAACGTTCCGTCAGACAAACAGTTCATAGTCCGGGATCGCTCCGACAGGTCTGGCCTGGGTGCTCGCGCCGCACGTCCCCCGTCCCTCTGACTCCGACGTGCAAGAACCCGCGTCATCCGATCGGGGTCCGCTGCGCCGCCGCCGCGGATACTGCTCGTGTCGGGGCGCCGCGACGAGCTGGCCCCGGAGCTCACTCCGATATGAAGGCTTGGCGCAACTCATCTCCGTGCTCATAGGGTGTAGAGCCGAAGGCTTGCAGGGCGAATTCTGGCAACAGGAAGGGTACCGGGCTCGCGCCCGGTCCGAGAGGGTGTCGCTGCGCCTCTCAGATCTGGCATTGAACCAAACGTTGGACGGCGTCTGGGCTCAGCGCACCTCACGCCCTTCTCTGATCGATCCACCCTGGATCCGAGCTGCGTTCACCAGCCTTCCAGGGGTTCCGGCGGTCGGGTGCGAAGAAGCTTCGTCGTTTGCGAGCATGGCGGTCATTTGATCAGTAGACATTGAGCAAGGTACTAGTATGCGGTACGTGTCAGGCCTTCATGCAAGATGTTAGATCCCAGCTAATACGCAGTCTTCTTCGGTAACAGTAGTAGATACTGGCCCCATGTGTACCACACGCTCGGGCCTGCGGTCAGCTGCCATGGGGAGGACCCTTGGTAGCCTCGTGCGTGGACCCACAACATTCGGACCGGGCGCACCTGAGGGCGCTGTCGAAACTGTGCACAGTGCGTCTTCTCATCAGTTATGGAACTCGTCGTACTTTCTAGATTTGCCCGACATCACCACACACAGGAGCCTCTCCTGTGCAATCAAGTCATCGCCGTACAGGGGCTGGATGAGTAACGCTCGTGGGGATATCCGTAACGTCCACACGCACCGCGCCCCACAGGTTCGCAATGCGGTTGGGGTTGGGTACCGGAGGTACGATGATTTCCTCCTGCGTCCGTCCGTCCTCATCCTGTTCCCAGCGGCGGCCGCACTTTCGCCTACGCAGCTCTGGATATTACGTGCCCCGCCGCCCGGCTGCAGTCTCGCAGTACGCCGACTGTTCCCGCCCTCCGTGTTCTGCAGCACCCAGGCCAGAGGATTTCTAAGTTCGCACGTTGATTGAGGTACGGCGCCAGGGGCGGTCTTCGCGATCGTGATCGTCCCCTCTTCTCCTGCCGCGTTGTCTAAACGCCAGGCCCAACCTTACATGCGTTCTCCCATGCTGTCTCCCCAGGAAGACAACGCGTTCCCCTCGACCGTCGGCGCGCTCCCGCGCCATGCGGGCGTGTCCTCGGGATCAATAACGCCGGCGTACACACCTCGTGGGCGTGGTTGTAGAACGTATACTTTGGAACGTCTGGCGGAGTCGGTCATAAAGCGTAAGTTTACTTCAACTTACGCTTCGGCGCGGCAGACACCCTGGGTAACCCGCTCATTGGCTGCATGCACTCCTCTGGACGCCGTCTCTTGTCAGTCTTTTCTTTGGAGCTTCGTAGAGGTGAGTTCAAGAACACTTCGGTATTCATATTGTTATGGATATTGACTTGACGATCTTCGTAAAGAAGCACTATGTATAGCTCCGTACGTCATCCGCTGCGCCGGTGTCTGCACCTCCAACTTCCTCCTGACCTCCCTGTTTTGCAGAAATGCATGCGACACACGGCATCCTGACCCGACTACTAGCAGCGACTCAGTGTCTATTCCTATGCACGATCTTACTCATCAGCTGTTCCAACTTTGTACGCCCTCCGCGTACGTCGCGTATGTGGTTCGACATCGTTACTAACAGGGCACAAGGATAATATCACAGACTTGCCAGTCCAAGCAGGCTATCATCCACGCATCCACCGCCTTGTGCCGCTCACCTCATGCCCGGCCGCACTCGTGGCGCGCCTCATGTCTCCATCTATTCCGGTGCGCACCACGTCTATCAGACTCTGACGGGCCCGCTAATGCCACCCACCTCGGCCTCGAACACTACGCCCGGAATCATTCCACACGCGAGCTCGACGCAGGGCGCGATTCCGAGGCGTGTATGTGTCGTGTACGTCGCGGAGATTGCCTCGGCATCCTCTCCTGGTTCGAGACTCACGATTGGTCCATCTATCCGCGCTCAGTAACGTTATCCAGAAAAGCTTCGCGTTCCGATTCGACTCTCCCTGTCGACATCGGACTTCTTCGCTCGCGTCCGTATGCTGAAGATAAGGCACCCAGACCATCGCGTACGGCATAGGGTCTGGCCAGTGTTCTCGGTCGTCAGTCGAGCTACATAGCTGAACGTCGAGCGTCCGCGTCAAAGCCCGACGCGCTTCCTATCGGAGGCCGCACGCGCCGACGTCCTCACCGTGATCTCGTGTACGATGAGACCTCCATGCTGTGACCCACGCCGCTGCAGCGTGTAGGTTGGTGTGGCTTGCTCTCCTACAAACACCGTTCCTTGCCCGGGAGCGGGGGGTCCTGTGACAGACATATTTTCACGAGTTTTCATGCTGAAAGACATATCACAAACACTCGCCCCAGCACCTTACACGAAGTACACATGGGAGTGATGCATGTATATATAGCGGCCACAAGGCTCTGTAACAACAAAGCGCTCGCTCGCTCAAATAAATCCACACAACTCGCAAGCCGTGTCTCAGACGCCATACCCGCAGCTATGCTGCACATTCGCCGAGGCGCATGTGTTTCTCAGTATCAGAGGGCGTGGTTTTATGCCGGCTGTCCCCTTGCGTATTCCTCGAGGAGCTTTGCGAGGATAGTGTACACCTCGCGAGCGACCTGCAGCTTCTTAAGGAATCGACGCTATACGATCGTCACCGTCAATGCTCGGTCCTCAAAGATTCAGTCCCATAAACCCGGAAGGAGTACTTACGGTGACAACGGTTCCGGCAAGGACGAGCTTCAGTTCTTCGTGGAGCTTCTGCATGTCGACCTTGAGCTACGAAACGGTGTCAGCCAGGCCACACCACCGTCTATACCAGGGATAAGGGATACGTACCGATCTCCAGATGTTAGAGATCACGTCGATCTTGTCTGCCAATGCGGATATATCCTCCTGCGTCGCGCCCAGCGACCGCTGGTACTCTCTGAGGAATTGTTCTTTGTCGAGCAGCTCGTCGAGGTCGTTTTTGCAGTTCTTGATATCCTTCTCTATCTCTTCCGAGGGGTACGACAGCATCAGCGAGCTACCAGGAGACAAGAAGAGCCAGAGGAATGCGCACTCTCTGCTTCTTCCTTCGCGCTGAGATACTCTCCACCCGTGCCAATTCCGCCAATGATGGAGCCCTGTGGACGGGGAATGGGAGTCAGAGACCGAGGCCATTCCGAAAAGACACAGGAAACAGCACGTACCACGGCCGCAACGGCGACAAATGGATTGAGGGTAAAAAGGGCGATTGCTGCACCGACGGCACCAGCGGCAAGACATGAGACGCATGCGATCCCCATCCCTCTCATCTGTAGCGGAATATATGTCAGAAACGTGTGCGATATATGAGAGTGTCTGCCGCTGGTAGTCTTACCTTGGAGTAGGCACTGTGACGGTGTTGCGTAAGCGAGGAGGGTCATGGAGAAGCAGCAGTGTACATACGCATCCAGACGTTCATTGAGCTCGCTCAGACGCGCCCGGGTAGCGGTAAGCTCGCTTGTGAGTTGCGCCCCAGCCCGCTGCAAGGACTCCTCCAGGACGACCGAGAAGAGACGGACGTCCTCGGCAAGCGTTTTGAAGCTGTTCTGCGTCTGTAACGCAACTTCCTCCTTAGACTCAAGCTCCTGATGTTGAGGTAGACGCTGTCAGTCATCGCACAGGGCCGAGTGTATCCAGGTCGTACCTTCATGAATCCTTCGAGCTCAATCTTGATGTCTGGTATCTCTTCGACAGTGACATCTGTTAAAAGCGCTCTGCTGTATTCTGGGGCCGGTGTGGTAAATGCCAGCGGTCATTAGCGATTGGAAAGCTCACTTACGATCCATGAATGCTGAAGCGGCGACAGCGTTCTTGTAGCTCTGCTCCATGATCTGCTTGAAGCGCTGCAACAATGTATTTGATTACGTTCGTGAACAGCCGGGATGATGACCAAAGACATACGGTGTGGTGCCCATTCCATTGCGGGCTGAGCTGCAGCACGTTGCCGTCTTCGCCGCGAAACCTTTTTCTGTCGAAGCTGTACAGGTCCCTGCTAATCTTCTCAAAGGCATCTTCGATCTCGCTGACCGTCTGCCTGAGCTGGCGTATCTCGTTGAGAGTTTGCGACTTGATATCTTGCCGCTGGAGGGTAGCCTGAAGGCTCTCCTGCAGCCTGTGGTTGGTGCTGTCGTCCCTGAGCTTGCTCTGCAGCAACAGAGCGAATTCGTTCTGGGTGGTGGTAAACGTGGTCGACATAGAGTGTTCGGCCGGGCGAGGTGTAACGAAAGAGGCGTCTGTCGTTGATGAGAAACGACGGCGTACGGGTCGCTCTTTATCGATATGAGATCGCCGGAGAGCCGCGCGAGCGACGCTGCTTGAACCGGAGACACCCTGACCACGGGGACAAGCTTGATTCGAGCTTCTGAGATAGAGCTGACAGGAATAGTATCACGCGTGGATGTGCTGTGACATAATTTATTTCTGCGACGACGCCTGGCGATATTACTTGTCAGTCGTCCGAGCGCCGATCTCTTTCGAAGGCCAGAGACCGGAGAGTCGTTCCGTTATACACCTCAACCTAGAATCATGAATTAGCCGACTTGGAAGGCGTACAACTATGAGATCGTGAATTACTTACCTATACATGTTCGACAGTGCGGGCGTCGTCCGTCGTGGTCAGCGCAAGAGCCATGCTCTCTCCTTCACTGCGGCGCGACCGTCGTGCGGTGACGCGTTCTGTTCCAAAACGGCGGTCACTGTGACGTATCGGGGTCACACCATGGTGGCCGTGAATCTTGGCGTCTTCCGAACCACCACGACTTGACCACGATTGCTGCTTCCAATCTTCGTATGTGGTTTGTGACATACCATCAGTGCAATCATTGAACTATCAAGAGACAAAGATACCCCAAATTGCTGATGTCGGCCGCCGCACGGAGTGCGATCGCACGGAATTTGAGAGTCATTAAGGTCAAGTGGACCATCTCCCGAACCTGTTTCTCACTGCTGCCGATTTTACCCAACAGAGGAATGGAATAGCAATAACAAGCACGGCACTTTCAGTGTAATTTGGCCGTGCTATCACGGACAGCTCTTTGAAAGACGACCACCACGCGCAGCAGCCGAGCGGCGATCCCACTGGTCTCGACTCTTCCTTGTGGCTCGATCGGACTTCACCTCGCGCTTGACCCGGAAGCTGACGGATACTGTTCACAAGCCGTAGACATCTGACCTATGTGGTCTCCTTGCAGGCTCCATTTTCTGCGACGGAGATGTTCTATCCACGGGTCACCCGGGACGTTATAAGACATTATCTGTTGCCCGGCCTCTCACGCTCAGCCTGCAGACAGTTCGTCTAGTCACTGTGCACGCACTCAACCTTTCCCTTCTACACGCTCCAGTTCTACCATGGCCGACCTTCAGAGGTTGATATCGAACTGCGGCAACGAGATACGCAAGCTCGCGGACATAGAAAAGCACCTTCAGGCCTTTATGACTGACCTCAGATCGAGCATGACTCGCCTTGACACTTTCATTCAGCGAGCAGACGACAAGCAGTGGTCTGACTTGGACAAGGTACGCCTCCTTTTTCAATTGCTTGATACACATTTGTCCATTCCCGCTGACGCGCTGCGCTTTAGCTCAACGCGAAAATCCAAGAAGAGTGCCAACACGCCGCCGTGCAGCTCTCTGCAGCGATCGAAGGTCGGCCATCTATAGCTCGTGTGTTCATATACCGTCGCACTCATCATTCTCAGTCTACCTTTCCATGCAAGATGACGTCACCGAAGAAGACGTTAGCGACATGATCACAGAGCTCAATGCTCTGAAGACGGTATGGCGACGTCATGTACTATGCTTTGTACCTCTCCTCATCGCGTCCCCTTTCTTCTAGCAACTCAACTCGTACCAACTCGACCAGCACGACTCGCTCAGAATCCTGATCGCCCACGCCACGCAAGTAGCGGACCAGCAAAGCCAGGCTGTTCAAGAGCGCAGCGTTGTCGTATCGCAAGAGATCGACACCGCGAACGCCGCCGTATCCGCACTCCAGAAACAGTTGCACGAGTACGTATTGCCCGATATTCTATGCAAGAGCGGGGATTTCTGACCGTCTCACCAGACTCCAATCTCAGGTATTGTGGACTTAGTAGTCGCCAATGCTCCCTGCTAACTTGCGACCTAGCATTCGACCACTACACAACGCATCATCACCGAGAGCACGACCGGTGTGACATCTTTCCTGTCCAGTTTTCGCTCAAAATCCAAACCGAGGGACCCGGCTGCGGCCGCGCCGCTAGGTAGCCCGGACAAGAGCTACGGCCGCACGCAACAGGCGATGGACGCTCAAGACAGGATTTCGGGACACCTCACCGACAGCCGTGCGCTCGAGGATCAAATCCGAGGTGATTCCTCCCGCTTCACCTGTCGGATGAGTGCACTCACACTTGGTTGTAGCCGTGCAGGGACAACTCGCCGAAGCGCAACAACGCTACGACACGGCACAGAACGTCATAAAAATCATGCATCGCGCAGACTGGGAGTCTACGAGGAGCCGTATGGGCGTGGTTATCGACTACCTGAAGGAAGAGGACCAGCAGATGAACGCCCTCCCCGAGCTTCGGAAGCAGGTGCGCCACCCGCTATCTCACATGCGCGTCCCTTCGACGATATGAATTGCTTGTTTAGTTGCTGAACGAGGTCAACGCCTACCTCGCCGCCTTCGAAGGCCTGAAGGCCTATCCTGGTCCCGTATGTCGCTTTCGGAGCTCCTCTTAGCGCCCGTTTTCGTTTGCTCATATCTGGTTTGCTTCCAGGAGCGTCAGGAGGCGCTCAAGAATATGCAGCAGCGTGTGTCGGCGACAGCGCCTGCGTGGAAGCGTGTGGAGGGGCTTCTCACCGACGAATATGCTAAGGGGCGGAAGTAGGTTGAAATATATATCATGTATCGTTCGACGGCGGCTTCCGTCCCACACAGGATGACGAGATTGTTACGCCGCACGCGTTAACACTGACAACGTTGCGAGATAGCGCGGTATGGCCGTTTTGAGGTTATTGAAGTCACTGCGCACCTTCAGGCAAACCTCGTTGGCGTAATCTCAAAAACATTCCGGCGTCCATCTAGTTACGGCTATTGACTGGGCGCCGATCTGCGTAGAGAAGCGCTATGTGTAGCTTCGTACTACATTCTCTGCTGCATCAGTGTCTGCACCTCCAACTTTTTCCTGACCTCTCTACTTTGTATAGGCAAGAGACACACGGTGTCCTGGTTCGATCACTATCAGCGACACTCAACGCCCATTTGTACACACGATCTTGACTTTGTACGCACTCCGTGTATGTCGCGCTATGTGCATATGCGGTACGTACATACAAGGATACAAGGAGACATCCTAGAGGGATTGAGTGCCTAAGAGGCCCGCTGCTAAGCCGCCAGCCTTCGCGAGTTCTGCACCTCCCGGAAAAATGACCACAAAGTCTCAACGAATTTTGATGATGCATGCTTGGTACTGTACATCCGGACACATCAGCTCCGCGAGCGCAATTCAGCGTCGACATGCGGAAACCCGGATGAGAGCCATTCCAACCAGTTGCTTCTTGACAAAACTGCCATTCCCAGTTGTGTACAACTCAGTAAATGGAACACGTTGACCTGTACCGACCGTCTTTTTGCGTACTCTGACAAGAGCTATACAAATGCGATTATGTACGCCGCTAGCAACCTGCAACTTCTTTAGAAAATGCGTGCATTAACGAATCATAGGCGAATACGCCAAGGGTCAAAAACCAGTTCCGCGAGGCTCGCATACGACGGGCTCCCACGAACAACAATATTTACCACTACTAAGACCCAGCAAGAAGTACAGAATGTCCAAATATCAACTTTCTCGCCAATCACTCGCCCCTCCTCGCGCCAGATGAAAGCTGAGAGCCAGGGGGGGGGGCGCAGAACTACCGCCTCCGCCCGCATCAGGCATCGAGCGGCCGCCCACGAATGCGCTTCACGGCTTCGCGAAGAGGAGTTTGCCCGCGCCGCCATTGTCGGCGGTCTTGTCGACGTTGACGCCCGCCATGATCGTCTTCTCGCCGAGCCAGTCGATGCGGAGCACGCCGCCCTCCCATCCGCCGCCCATGCGCGTGCAGCGGCGCTCGTACGCCTGCGTCACTTTCTGCTGCGCCTTGCTCCCGTTCCCGAGCGCCTCCCACTCCTCCGGCAAGATGGGCACCATGAGGGTAGTATGCATCGCGTAGAGCACGTCCAGGATCGTGATTGTGCTCTCGCTAGTCGATCTTGGGAAGCGCGAGCGAGGAAGAATGGATGGCCCCACGATAGCTAACCGCCGCCAGCCGCGCGATGCGGAATCAGTGCTGGCGGGCGAGGGACGGCTGGAGGCCGTCACGACGATCGTCCACGGGAGTTTGTACGAGTGCAGGACGAGCCAACCGCCTGCAGGGATTGGCGGGTCTGTCGCGGGCTGATTGAGGCTGCTGGGAGGAGTTGCCGAGCGCGTCGAACGGTCTACCACAGTGCGCGCTGAGGGTGGAAACTTCACGTCGTACATGATCGGCGCGTGGCGCAGGCGTGTGTATGCGAGGAGCGACGAGGCGCTGATCTTCTTGAAGGAGACCCCCACTGGGACCTCTGGAGCTAGGAGGCAAGTTTCGTCCATCAGCGAAACCGCACGACGCTCCCAAGGATTTGGCGCCCGGCCTAGGTTGGCGAGCGCTCCCAAGCGCTTCCATGAGCTCCCAAATGCCCAGGAGTACTTTGCGGGTTTCCGAGGGTCCTCCTTCACCCCTTCAGACATCACCTCCACGAGCGAACACCAGCAATATCCAAATCCAGCCGCCAGAGGACCTTTTTGGGACACCAAGATGTCAGTTATTCATATCCCGCCCCGTCTTCCATTTCGACTGCTACATAAGCCTCCCGCCGGGCTGTTCTTCCCTCATTGCCCCTCTTCCTCTTACCCCCTCCATCGCTTGCGCTCCGGACTTGCCTCGTCTGTCCTCAGCTGGGTCGCCTTAGTCAAATCTCTCGTGCAACTTCATTCAAGTTCACTCGTCGACGCCGTGCTGGTCGACTCCGGGTGCGTCTGCTTCTTTGGTTGCTTCAAATCTGGCATTAACATATGTATAAGGTGACTATATGCGGGTAAGCCAACGCTTACACTACCCCATATCCAGTTGCATGGTACGTGAGTATCACTTCCTAAGTCCCGTGTCTCGCCCTTCACCTCAGCTAACTTGCGACAAACAGGCTATATGCGCGGCGGACCGGTAACAACGACGCTGCTCTATGATCAGGAACTTCGGTACGTCATTACTTATATTCTGACTGGCGGAACTGCGAGTTAATACGCTCCATAGCCTGCTCAGTATGCGTAACCGTTGATCCACGTAAGTTTACGACGTCCCTGAGATATTTCTATATACTAATTGCGCCGCCCCCAGTGCTTGCTCATAGTCCCGAGTCTGCAAGCATGCTTCCGGATCGCGTGGCATTCGAGCGTGCGCCGCCCCTTCCCTCGCGAGGTCAGTGTTCTCTATTCGTATTATATCTAGTCTACGGCCTGCATCCTGTATTATGTAGTACGCCGCAATCACATACTCATGTTTGCTTTCATCGTGGATGTTGTCCCCGCCTGTTTCGGGAATGGTCGAATGGGAATATCATTTCTTTTTAAATTGTATATTGCTGCAAGCACGCAGGAGTACATAGGAGTACTTGCAAACAGCACGATCGCCCGCAAGGGGCGCGAGTGCTCGGGGGGTTTGGGAGCGCTCCCGGGGGTTTGCCGAGACAGGGCGAAACCTCCTACACCATGCCCTCGGAATGGGAGCGATCGCGTCGTTTGGGAGCGCTCCCAAGCGCTCCCGAGTGCTCACGAGTGCCGAGCGGTTTCGCTGATGTCCTCCACCATTGACCCGATCTCCTGATCCATGGAGAGACTTGAAAGTGCCGCGCTCAGACTATCCGGAGAAGCCTGAGGTGTGGAAGGAGCCGAGAATGGGGTTTCGACCACTGCTGGTAACGACACCATCGTCCTACCCGGCACAAGAAGGTGGGGGTCCAGCGTCGCAAAAGTCACTACTGACGGAGCGTACTCCGGTGGAGGATGCCTGTTAATCGAGTACAGTATTGCAGGTGCGGAGGATATGCTGAGTATAGTCGAGGCGACGCTTCGACGGACATTTGGCTGGCCCTGATTATCCCCGCCCGCAAAGCTGAGCATGGGGGTGACAGTAGCGGCCATTCCAGTGAGAAAGTGATGGAGTGCAAGTGAGAGAAATATCGCCGAGTGAGTGAGTGAGTGAGTGAGTGAGGTGTATTTCGCCGAGGTCGGTAGAAGCAACGGTGCACAAGTGAAAGGAGAGGCAGCAGGCTGCCATGTGCTACGCAGCCGCACAGCGGGGCGTCTTTCGCCATTGGCGCCAGCATGGCTGTGCACTTATGTAGTATGCGCATTGCAAACGTTCGCCTTCCCCCCAGGCTCTACAAGTTAGTCCACAACCAGGAGACACTGTCTCGATCAGTTCTTCCGCGTGAGTACAGACAGATATGCGATCGACTGTGTTATGTGACTCATGATCTACCTTCCATCTGCTGTAGTATGCCTCGGTTTCTGGAAACGTCCACCGGGGAATTCGTCTGGATCGATGATCCTAGCAAGGTCCACTACGCCATTCTATCCCATGTTTGGAACCACCCCGGTGAACAGACATACAACGATGTCATCCAACTCCAGAAAATCGTTTCAGCACCCGCCCCTGCATCCGAGAGCAGCGGTTCAACTTTACTGTCACACCCAGCTCTTTCACTGAAGACCAAGGGACTCTGTGAAGTTGCACGGAAGGCTGGCTACAAATACGCATGGACGGACGCGTGCTGCATAGACAAATCCAGTAGTTCAGAAGAAGCTCGGGCGATCAACTCTATGTATCAGTGGTATAGCCTCGCGGACGTTTGCTATGTCTTCCTCGGCGACGTCCAGGACGGCGAGGATCCTAGGATGAAGGGATCAAAATTCCGAAGGAGCAGGTGGCACAAGCGGGGATGGACACTCCAGGAGCTCATCGCGTCACGGCGCGTGTTTTTCTATACCTCCACCTGGACGCTCCTCGGTACCAAGATGGGGCTCGCCTCCATCCTAGAGGAGATCACCGGTATTGACTTCGATATCCTCACAGGCACTGCTAGCCTGAAGTCCGTCAGTGTTGCCAGACGAATGTCATGGGCCGCATCGCGGGAGACCACGCTCGTCGAGGACAAGGCATACTGTCTGTTGGGACTCTTCGACGTCTATATATCTCCGATCTACGGAGAAGGCCGCAATGCATTTCTTCGCCTACAGGAGGAAATCGTCAAGGCTATTCCAGACCAGAGTATCTTCGCATGGGGACGCGGTTTCACTCTGTCAAGTCCGAACGATGGTGCACACGAGCAAGACGGCTGGGCATCAACTGAGCCGGGCGTGTTCGCCGAGTCCCCCCGCGACTTCAAGTATTCCCGTGATATAACACCTTTGTCGGGTCCAGAATTTGCGGCACGCATCGGAGAAGTACACGGCCTGGTCGCTCCTCCCCTTCGCTACCTCTTCACACCCGAGGGCGTAAGCGTTCCCCTTCTCTGCCTTCAGCTCTCCCAACTCTCTAAACCCAAGTGCCCTGCGGTCTTCTCGCGGCTCTCATCGATGCCGGCCGGATGTACCGACTGTCAACGCCTTGGACGAGCACATTTTCTGGCCCTTTTGCGATGTCGAGACAGCACTGGATCGCTGGTCGCTCTCCCTCTATGCCGATTTCAATCCGAAGGATATACACTGGGGAGCCTCGCAATCGCGTTTCATATGTCATGCAACCCTTGGCACGCCCCGACGTTTCGCGTCGCACGACTCCCTCGAGATGCACTGGCTGCGGTACAAGAACACGCCCTCCTGGAGTCAGTCGAGGTTTCGCTCCTCCGACATGGTCCCGCTAGCGCTACTACCACAACGTCGAGATCTCGTCTGGACGACTTTGAAGCCGTACCACGTATCCGTTTGTGGTCATCCAGGTCTCCATCCTCTTTTTCCATCGCCCCAGGATGCATCGAGCAGTTGCGCTTGCTAGGTTTCACGATATCTCCTTTGCGTTACGAACATCGCTCGAGCACAAAGGAGAAGCGCGCTCCGAAGATAACCTTGACGACAACTATCTCGTCCGCCAGTAGCAGCGCAGTAAACCGGGGGCAAACTATCACGATCCTGATCGTACTGAAAGCCTCCGTTGGCGCTCCTGGTCGCCGAACCCAACTTCAGACCACGACGGCTCACTTCTCAATCACAAACTCCGTTGACGTCTCTCCAGTGGAAAATACAGACGAACATGCTGTAGCCGTCACCTCCGGATCGCGAAGCTCCAGCGATCGCCGCGAGGAACGCGCTCATGGTCCCAAGAACAGCCGTTCAGTCAATCTAACTCCCTTCACATCTACACGCATCCTCGCGGAGGTCGATTTCACCATTCAGACAACTACCGAGTTGGGAACAGAGGAGTTGGACGTCAGACGTATGCGCCTTGGTCTGGAACGTCCCCTCGCTAGTCAGAACTCGGCCGAAGTGAAGGAGATATGGTTCTCAATAGAACTCTCGGATCGATTCTCGTATGTCTTGCGTTTTGATGATGCCGCTGTTCAGCTGAACTCATTCGTTTACAAGCGGCCACAGTTCTGCGATGCGCAACACAAATGCGCGTGTTGATTCCCTCGCCGCCGGAGAAGATGACCGGACGTCGGTCAGAACAGCCAGTGTACCAACCATAGCGGCGCTCTTGCCGTCTTTCGCACCGGTACGTATACGTCAGCACCCTGTGCATCCATTTCACTCGAGAGCTCATAATCAGTTTTACTAGAATTCTACCGCATCCCCCGAGACACCGTTGGCGTCGTCCTGCAACGTGGACAGTGACCCACCGCGTTCAGGGACAATTCCCGTTGTGCCAGTGTCGGACCCGCTCGAACACGAGCCGAAAGATGTCACAGGATACGAAAGTAAGGTATCCATGTCTTTGGACGCGGATCTCCAGGTGCTGCCCTCGACAGACATAGTGAGTATTGTAATACCCTGTATACCACTTTTCGTCTACTGAGGCGCCATTCCTTTGCAGCCTCACCCAGCCGTCACGGATGAAGGCGACCCGAAATCCGCACAGGAAACGTCGGCCGTCCCTCACGAACGCCACACATCATCATGCTCCGTGCCCAGCCTGGATTGCGTTCCGGTCGTAATCCAACCCGAAGTGTCCCTGTCGCCCGCTGGGGAACCTGGCCATTCTTCACCAACAGGGTCCAGCAAGACGGGACGCGAGGCCGGCGGAGCAAAGATAGAGCCTGACGCGAGGTCACCAGTCGACGAGCTACGCTGCGAGATGGAAGACATGCGTGCGCGAATCGCCACGCTTACCCTGGAACTCGAGGCGGTGAAGCAACCTGGATCCGACGTCAGGGTGTTGGTGCTGTGCAGTATCATGGTGTGCCTATTTGCGTATTGTATCGCCCGAGGCAGCTGGTAGAGGTACATGACAGGAAGGACCGTTATGCTATGCACATGTTGTAGTACGTATCTAAATCGAATGGCTTCACGCACAGCGCGCATCTCCAACCCTTGTCTCACTACCTTCATGATACACATTCACACTTGTCGGTATCTATATACGATCTGCGTTCCGTTGTATCGTGCCCTCACCGCTCATGTCTCAACAAGAGTAGTCACTAAATCCGACTATAACAGGTGCTCTCGATGCCCAAAGACCAATGCAGAACATCTAGGTCTACGCAAGAAGCCCTACGACGGAGAGCGATCAACCCAAGGGAGAGGCCGCGAACCACCTGTAGTTCTTCACCGGAGAAACGAACATGGCCGAGATCGCCGGAGCGCTCCCAATGGCCCTCACGGTGGACACAAACACCACCCGGTTCGAAAGTCAACTTTGCCAGTGAGTATGCTGTATGGTATACATGAATTTTCCCTTCTGTTGCGCCTCTACCACGGGATCGTCTCGCCGTTGTACCGCAAGTACTTGCCGCTGTCGGCAGTGGTCGCGGATGTGATCACTTTGAGAAGGCCAGCGACGCTTTCGGGCGGCTCGAGCTCCCAGTACCCACCACTCATGTCTGACAAAATCACACGTTAGCGTCCAACGTCTAGCATAGCACACGTTGTCGCCCGCGCACCTGTCTTGACCGCCCCAGGGCACAACGTGAGGACTGTAAAATCAGGGCGCTCCAGCTTCTGCTTGTACGCCTGAGACGCGCCGCGAATGTAGTCAGAGAAAACCGGCGGCATCCGCTACGAGATAAGACAAGAAAAAGACGTACGAGCATGTTCAGGGCGGACTTCGTCATTGAGTACCCCGCGACGATCACGCCCAGCTGGTCTGCACTCCCAACGCTTCCGCATGTGCTCGAGATGTGCGCAATCTTCTTCGCGCTGCCCTTCTCGAGGAACGGCAGCGCGACCTGCGAGACCAGAACCGGGCCGATACTGTTCGTCTTGAACGTCTCGAGGAGTACCTCGGGGTCGATAGTGAACGCCGTGTCGCGCGGTCCCTAAGTGCGCCCGCGGAAGGTTTGGTTAGCTCACGTAGCACTACGTGATTTAGTACGTGATACGTACGACGCCAGCGTTGTTGACAAGGTAATCGAGACCGGTGTCGCCGAGGATCGTGTCAAGATCCTTCGCGGATGCGCGGACACTGGCGAAGTCGCTGACATCTAGCTTGATAATGTGCAGCGTACCCTTTGCGGCAGTTTCCAGGTCGCGCAGTGCGGCCGCCTTCTCTGGGGTGCGGACGCCTGCGATGACAAGATTGGTCGGAGACGCGAGCAGCTGCTTCACAATCTCGAGGCCGATGCCGCGGTTGGCACTAGGAGGGTATGTGAGCAAGAATATAAGAGCAACGGCGACCAGACGGCAAGCATTTAGCGAGGAAAGTTATTCACCCTGTAACAAGCCAGGTAGTAGGACGAGCTGTGGACATGGTGGGAGGTGTTGTCAGGCGGTGTGAATGGCGGGGGCACGGACGTTGGATCAACATCGACACTGACCTGTTCTTATAGTACACGGTCTGCGCGATGTTACCGGTACTTGTACTGAATACCGATTGTCGGGGATAACAACTTACGAAGCAAATCAGTACGTCCGCTCTGCCAGCGCTAGCCTAGTGTACGAAGACTGTTATGACTCGATCCTGGGCCGTACTGCTTCGTTGACGATGTATATTGTTTCAATGGGAGGTAGTCAAGCAGCATGATGCCTACTGCAAGGTCGCGAGAGTGTCGACGCCTGGGGTAGAATTGACCGCGGTTGCAACGTGAGAGTCTGCTCATGGAAAGTATCCTACAAGTGCGCAAAATGTCACTCAGTGATTCACGGCGCCCTGATGCAACCCACGGCGAGCGATAAAAGAGCAAACTTACCTATATATCCACAGCGTGGATTCACGTTGAATCGTGGCCGCGGCTTACACGCGACGAAAGGTGCGCTAATGGGACCAAGCAACTTCCTGGTGGCAGAAGCAGAAAATGAATATGCGGTGTACTCTGGAGCCCGGCATCTCCCGAGCATCTAGCGCTCAAAACTCGGCGCGCCGGCGCCTCTCCCTCTCCTCAAGCGAGCGACGTGTTTCTATTCTCTCGTAACACCCGAAAATCCATTCTGTGGCTCCCTTCATAAGAAACATATACTTATTTCCGCAGAAGATCTCTTTTCATCCCACCGTGACCGTTCTGTATACCGCACCCACGCGCTTTTGAACTGTTCATTGCGCATGTACGGGCTATGTAGGTACGGACATCGCATGCATCCCCCTGAAGGGCTGACAAAAATACGAGCTAATCATCGACTAGCTTTCCGTGAGGAGCCCAGAGCTATGAGCATGGGCGGGCCCTCGCGTTCACTCCGACACGACTCGTCTTCAGGCGTCGCACAGCATTGAAAGATGCTGGACACTCACTCTGTGCGTTCTTGGAGAACGAGCCCCGACTATAGCTATATACATATGTACAGACTACATCTTACTGTTGTGTTTCTACCATGGGATCGTCTCGCCGTTATAACGCAAGAACTTTCCGCTATCAGCGGCGGTCGCGGATGTAATTACCTTGAGAACCCCAACCACGCTATCATACGGCTCGATCATCCCGTACTCCCCAGTCATGTCTGATCGAGCAACGCGTCAGAGCGCAAGAACTAACATGACACACGTCGCTGACCACGCACCTGTCTTGACCGATCCAGGGCACAGCGCGATGACGGTAAGATCAGGGCGCTCCAGCTTCTGCTTGTATACCTGGCAGATGCAATCAGAGAACAGCGTCAGCCGCAGCTGTGGAATACACGACGGGCCGGGGACGTACGAGCATGTTCAACGCGGACTTCGTCATCGAGTATCCCGCCATTACCGCACCCATTTCGTCCGCGCTGCCGATGCTTCCGGACGTGCTCGAGATGTGCAGGATCTTCTTCGTGCTGCCCTTCTCGAGAAACGGCAGCGCAACCTGCGAGACCAGCACGGGGCCAACACTGTTCGTCTTGAAGGCCTCGAGAAGCGCATCGGGATCGATGGTGAACGCGCCGGTGTCACGCGGTCCCTATTGCGCGCAAGTATAAGATTTCGTTAGCTCACGTATCACCACGCAGTCGCGTGCGTGGTACGTACGACTCCAGCGTTGTTAATGAGGTAGTCGAGACCGGAATCGCCGAGAATCGCCTCGAGATCTTTTGCGGACGCGCGGATGCTAGCGAAGTTGCTGACGTCAAGCTTGATGACGTGCAGCGTCCCCTTTGCGGTGCTCTTCAGGTCAATGAGTGCGGTCGCTTTCTCTGGGGTGCGGACGCCCGCGACGACGAGGTTGGTTGGAGACGCGAGCAGCTGCCGCACGATCTCCAGGCCGATGCCGCGGTTGGCTCTAAACGCATATGCGACAAACAACTGTTAATTCAAGAGCGTGTAGCGAGAAATTTCACTCACCCGGTGACGAGCCAAGCGGTAGGAAGAGCTGTGGACATGGTGGAAGGTGCTGTCAGACGGTGTGGACGGCTGAGGTACAGACAGTGGTTCAAACCTACCTGGTCTTATACCACAACATCTGTGGAAGGTTACCGGTACTAATCACCGGCAATGACTCACCTTCGAGGCACCGTGGTTCATTAAGCTGCGGTCTACAAAGGCTGTCCATATGGTTCCTGGGCCGCAGTCTTTCGAAGTTCGTCATGGGGCTCCTGTTGCAAGTGGCGGTGAAGTGCTGGAGGGAGGGACACATTCTTCAAGTTCCGTGATAACACATTATTGGTAAGCGTCAGGTCTCCCGGGTACGCAGAGGTACGCACGCAGTGAAGGAGTCAGGGGCGGGTGCAAGAAGCAGGATCGGAGGGAGGCGGTGGAGCGCGGCGAGGCTTCAGGCGCTTAACTGAATTAACGTTCTACGAGCGTCCTCTGGGAAAGTCGGAGATAAGCCTATACTCGCCTTGCCCGCCGCCACCACCATCCGGCCATGGAAGTACTTTGGAACGCGCTCTCCTCATTCAAATGCCACATACAAGCGGCGACGATAGCGAGGAGATCTTGTTCATCGGGCCTCCCACAACGCCGCAACAGCTGCGCTCTCGCTCCTTCAGCTACACATGATGCCAGCGACGCGCGTACGTTTCCATCTCTACGAGACGACCAAGAGCAAGTACTGACATGTTGTACACAGCGGCCAAGACATCAATTACGTTGTGTCTCAGTATACTGCTGTACAAAGACTGCAAGCTCGTGTGCGACACCGAGACTGCGCTCGTCCGGCGAGTAACGGTGATGTTTATCGGCAAAATCCCCTAGCTCGATGAGTACGCCGACTTCTAGTTTTTATGCCCAATGCCTTGCCAAGGTTTCATACGTATTGCTTCCTGCAGGCTCTTGATGCTCTCGGATACGCGACATACGAAGGCACGCAATGTTGAAACCTTTGACAGCCCGCATGGGGTAGTTGCGTACACGACCAGTCAGTGAGTTCTTTTATATATCAACACACCGGTGGGCGCCCCATACTCACCTCTCCGTCTCAATAGCTCCCATCCACCTCCGCCTTCCTACGCTGGATATAGTGGAGGTCACGCACGCGCCTGAAGTCAGGCGGAGAAACGATCTCGACGTTCAGACCATTCCCGCTTCGTGCCATTGGGCAGATCGCGCTGCTCGCGGGACCGACGCTCACGCGCTTTGGGGCCGCGTACTGCGCCTTAGTCGTGCGCCCGTGCGTATTCCCTTCATGATCGGTTTGCAGCGGGATGAAACATTAATGACCCTCGGATGTGCAGAGTATATGATACAATATTGCGGCGACCGCTGCCACACCGCTGTGTGGATACATCATTCTCCGGTATGTCATCGACGCCCTCCAACCTCCTCCTTCTGACCTGTTCGGATATCACTGTAGATAGTCACCGCATTCTCTGCCGCATGGCTGGGCTCTCACGACGTCATGATGTCTATGTCGCCCAAAATTCGAACCAGATGTCTTTAAGAGTCTGTCCGTGTACTCAGCTTGCGTGCGAGCTGTACCTCGACTGCGGTGATTGGGCTGTCAGTTAGTGTCTCCTTCTCGTTTCCACAGCGTATACGCAACACAGCGAGACAATGTTCGTCCGAATACATTGAGTTGGGGTGGGCATAGCTTCCGCCTCTGGCACGCATAGCCGCCATCCTCCTTTTTTCGGTACGTCCACTACGAATTTCTGATCTGTTTGAAAGTTTCAGTTCCGTAGCATAGGAATATCTGGAAGTATTGTACGCAACGAGGCCGCTTTTCTTTAACAGGAAGCCAATGCAGGGAGGGCCTTTCCCGTATCACGCTGGTACTCTTCATCGCGCACCCCGTCCAGCCTCGATCCTTGCGCATCGAGACAATGCGCCACGAACCTCGTATACGGGCCACTCGCGAGCTTTTGAAGCATACACTAGTTGCGGAATATGAGTGGACTGTATAGGTATGTCAATCGTGCGCATACCCATATGGGGCTGACATTCCGGTAAGGTGATTCAAGCTCGAGCCAGTGAGCATCAATCAACTCTCCTCTCTGCCTCGTTTCGCCTCAGCTGTTGGCACTATCCTCGCGCTCAATTTTACTTTGGTGCTGTGACATCGTCTCGGAGCTCTCACATTCTGTAGTGAAATGCTATCTACACTGCAATACACGCCGATCCCGAGCTGTTCTCTTTCGTACACCTGCGGCGCCGCTGAAAGGGTTTGCACAGCACTCGAGCCGTATAATTGATACGTGCGCGCCGATTCACACAGCCTCGTCGGAGCAACATTCTCCGGCACCGCACGATCAAGATTCCAAGCATCGCCCGTCCGGCGCCTGCCAAGTTTCGACTCACAATGGCAGGTATATTCTGTCTGGTACGCCAAGCAGCCTTCTTTTACTCAGGCGTACCCCTGGATTAAAATAGCGTGGCATACCTAGGACGTGCGCAAATGCTCCGAGGGTTACAGGAAATACCATGTGCTGCGCGTATACTTGGTATACTTGGCCGCACCCGTTTCCCTTGTCCTCTCCGTGTACTCACATCTCAACGCATTCTCTCCACCAGAGCTCTTCCCCTTGACTCATCATGGGTATCATGCTTTCTCGAGTCGCTCACTTCATCGGGGAATATATTCCCTTCCAACTATCCTTCTTCTCCCTAATACACCGCGCTGAGGACCACGATCTACCGCCTAGACCACCGTCCGTCTGTCAACGTTGCTGGGAGGGTCCCTTCGCGATGCATTTTGGTCTTCCTTGCGTATCACCACGGGACGGACATTTATACCGGGACTGGCTGAAGGAGATACAGTACTCAATCTCCTGCACCGAATTGGAGTCTCGTAGAAGGACCTGTGTATGGTGCCGGTTCGTGTATCACTGGGGGAAGAGCTACGGAGAGTCGGATTTCCCTGAGTGGATCATCAACGTTCAGGGTACTGCGCAGAAGTTTGGCGAGGACGAGGATGAGCGCAGACAGTATCAAGGGTTCACAGTGCAGTTTAACGGAGACAGCGTGTTCAAAGGATTTGTGTACACGGTTCCAGGTGCGTCGAGGTACATACAGGTGCTTTCAAAGATGTAGATACTGATGTTAGATTGGTAAGATGACCCCGCTGCATCCTATATCAAAACACGAAGCACTATCCTAGATGTAGGCTCCACTCATGCCATGGCTCTCGCAAGGCAACACATCGACGAATGTGTTCATGGACATAAACGCTGCAAACGTCTGTCCCCCCCTAGCCCTCTCCTTCCCACGCGCCTCGTGGACTGCTCCGACCCTGCTCTGCCACGGCTTGTTCTCACCACAGGAGAACGCGGTGAATATATCGCGCTCAGCTACGTGTGGGGCGAGGAGAAACCTTACCAGACCGCTATATCCAGTGGAGTATCCATCTATGAACACGGAATCGCTTCGTCCATTCTTCCCCAGACCGTCCGCGACGCAATCTCTGTCACACACGCTTTAGGATTTCAATACCTGTGGGTGGACACCCTGTGCATCATTCAAGAGGACGACGCGGATCGGCGGCACGAGATTGGGCACATGCCTCATATCTACCGCCATGCGCATCTTACCATATTCGCTGCTAGCGCAAAGAGTGCCAGCGAAGGCTTTCTCCACCAGCGACCCCCACAGCAGAGCAACGTCGTTCTCCCCTTCATCTGCCCTCCCCCTCCGCCGAGTTCTATGGGTATCCCAGCTACCCACTCCACAGCGCAGTTGCAGCTCGGTCAAGTGCACCTCGCTTCAATCGACTCAGCACGTGCGTCGTACAGCGACGAACTCGGGGTCATGGCCACGCGCGCCTGGTGCATGCAAGAGTACCTGATGTCTCCGCGCGCCCTCATCTTCACCCCCACGCGACTACTGTTCAGCTGCCGCACCACCATGCAGGGCGTTGGAAACTCATTCGGGTCCATGGATGACGAGCCCCAGCTACCAGACATGCTCTTCCTCCGAAACCCACCTGTAGCGAAGCCTGGTTCCAAGGAGTGGAAGGACATGCACAGAGCCTGGACCAAGGTCGTGATGGACTATAGCCGCCGCAGAGCTACCTTCGAGTCCGACAAGCTAGTCGCATGCGCTGCGGTCGCCCAGCAATTCGCCCACTGGTCCTGAACTCGAAGTACCTCGCGGGTCTGTGGAACCCGGACACACTCCTCATCGACTTACTGTGGATGTCCGATCCGCACCAGGTACCGAAACTAGGTCACCATCGCCCATCATCATACCGCGCGCCGTCTTGGTCATGGCCGGCTGTCGAAGGGGCCGTTTGCAAGCAGTCTAGATACTCCCTGGAAGATTTTACCTGCTTCCTCCATAATGTCGCGCTCGCGGAGATCGTCGCCTGCCGAGTGACACTCGAGGATCCATCCCTTCCCTTCGGTCGAGTCACTGGTGGTCGCTTAGTCCTGCGTGGGACGCCGATTTTTTGCTGGGGTGAACCTGCTCAGAAATCTGGATGCGATTGGGAGGTGTTCCCTCCGTCCTTCGAGCACGCACGGCGTCAGAAATGGGGACTTGGCAGCTTCAACTGGGATGAAGAAGACGAAGAAGATTCGGTAGAACCAGGGAAACATGCCACCGTTACTCTCGACTGCGATGCCGATGAACTGCCGGAGAGGATGTGGCTGGTCCCGTTTGTGCGTACCACGGAGTCGTATTGGTCGGATAAACAGAGTATACGGGATTGTCCTCGAGCTGGCACCTCCGTCGAATAGCTCAGGATTCAAACACGCCCGTTCGGAGGTGACTCGTTCTCAGAGGATTGGGTGCTTCTACGCCCTCCTCCGAGACTCGAAGCGGGACCCACTATGGGATCCGCTAACCTGGGCTATAGAAAACGGAGACTCACGGCAGTTGATGTATATTTTTGTCGTATGAACCGGTAATGTTTGGGATATGAATAGGACTAGGACACGCACAGATAATTTTTTCTGGCTATAACATACACACCCTCAGTTTCGATTATGTACTTTTACACACATGTATCTCTCTTACTCCATTTATACTGAACAATCCGTATATGTGCATCAACATGGTCTAATCATTATAGATACACCTCGCCTAACGTTCCCCACGCATCGTGTTGGCCAAACAGTCTTGAACCTAGCAAATGCGTGGAGATATGGGAATCTGCTGCTTTTAAGCGCGAGTACGAGGAGAAGGTCAGAGAGATTGTTCACCTTTAGGTCGTCGAGCGGGCCGGGGTAGGCGGGCGGGGGTCACGCTTTTCGCGGAGAAAGTAACACTTATAGCTGCGCACTGGCACGACATACTACACTTGCTAGAAGACGCGTTACGTTGTTTGAGTCGTCTGGTACGCAAAAGGGTCTTGGTATGAAGCACCATCATCCAAGGCTAAAACTTATGAGGCACTGGCAGAAGCTACAACGGATGCGAAGATGGGCCTCACGGCATATATAACCACTTTTTGGCCAAGTTATCCAAACACTGCACAAATTTAACACAGTTTGCGTACGTCAAGCGGGAGAGACACCTCAAGCAGAGGGCGTGCTGCAGCGATCCAAGCTGTGAAGCAGGACTCATGAGGTCCACAAGCCCGCGCAAATCGAATTGTGCTCGAGGGCGCCCTGCCATCAAAAGGCCGAGATATCAGATGCGCTCGTACATGGCGGTGGATAATGCCGAGGGGTCCCAGCAGGATATTTACGAGGATGCCGAGTCGAATGTCTCTCCTGGTTCATGCTGTAGAACACGTTTACGCCAGGAAGAGCAGAACTACGTCAGCAATACAGGATCGTACAAGAGTATAAAAGAAGAGAAGGGGGGACGGAGGACAAAGAAAATACCGAGGAAGATACGCACTGCGCAAGCCCGCCGCGAACGCTGTCGACGCAGATGGGCACAAAAACGAACTCGAATGCTGAGCTCACGTCCTCGTGCGCGACACCGAAGATGCCGTCCAGGGTCTCAAACGCGAGCGTGTACAGCATCACAACCAGCATGGACGCGGTCTCTGCGCTCGGCGAATGATGTGTCATTGGGTCCGACGCCTATGATGGGGCTACACTTCGCATACATACCTGCGGCCATAAATGAAGTACTCTAGCGCTAGAGAACACGCGGTGTGCGAGGGATGAGAGAGTCAAGTCGCCAGCGTAGGGCCGGGATGATGAGCAGGCGTCTGTCCGTCATGTTGACTGATGGTCAACCCGCTGGCAGGACTACAACAGCCATGGACAGAAGCCTTGCGAGATGCTGCAAAACAACGGGCAGTATATATATGCAGTATGTTGTACACGGCCTCATGGCAATTGTTGCGTCCCTACCACGGGATCGTCTCGCCGTTGTATCGCAAGTACTTGCCGCTGTCGGCAGCGGTCGCGGATGTAATCACCTTGAGAAGGCCAGCAGCGCTCTCAGGTGGTTCGATATCCCCAACCCCGCCACTCATGTCTTCCCGAACAACGTGTAAGAGCGCAACGTCTGGTATAACACACATCGCCGACCACTCACCTGTCTTGACGGCCCCAGGGCACAAAGTAATGACGGTGATATCAGGACGCTCTAGCTTCTGCTTGTACGCCTGCGACACGACACGCCGCGGACAATTAGGTCCAGGCCGCAGCTCCTATGTGTTAGGGAGAGCAAAGGACGTACGAGCATGTTCAGGGCGGACTTCGTCATCGAATACCCTGCAACCATAACGCCGAGCTGGTCCGCGCTCCCGACACTTCCGCACGTGCTCGAGATGTGTAGGATCTTCTTCGTGTTACCCTTCTCCAGGAACGGCAGTGCGACCTGGGAAACCACGACTGGGCCGACGCTGTTCGTCTTGAAGGTCTCGAGAAGGACCTTGGGGTCGATGGTGAACGGGGTGTCGCGGGGTGCCTAAAGTGCGCACGCAAGACGTTCTGTCAGCTCCGTGGAGTCACGCAGTTGCATGTGTGCTACGTACGACGCCAGCGTTGTTGATGAGGTAGTCGAGACCGGTGTCGCCGAGGATCGCCTCAATATTCTTCGCGGATGCGCGGACGCTGTCGAAGTCGCCAACGTCGAGCTTGATGACATTCAGCGTCCCCTTCGCAGTGCTCTTTAGGTCAAGAAGTGCGGTCGCCTTTTTTGGGGTACGGACGCCCGCGACGACGAGATTGGTCGGAGACGCAAGGAGCTGTCGCACGATCTCGAGGCCGATGCCGCGGTTTGCTCTAAAGAACATATAAGCAGAGACGGTCAGAACAAGAGTGTGTAGTACAGGGTTGCACTCACCCGGTAACAAGCCAGGTGGTAGGACGAGTTGTAGACATGGTGAGAAGTGTCTTCGAGCGGTGAGGAAAGTGGGAGTACAGATATCGAGTCAACGTCAACACTGACCTGTTCTTATAGCACAGTCTGTGCGATGTTACCGGTACTGAGCACTGATCGCCGGTAATAACAAGATTACAAAGTAACCCAGTTACGGCACAGGCGCACGGCACGACACCAATTGCCAGGAGTGCTGACCAACGCGATGTGAAAAACTGAGCAGGTCTTCGTCGGCCTCGGTTGAGTGTCGGGCTATGAACGGCGTCGAGAACTTCAAGGTTCTCGGCGGCTACAGCAGGGTCTTTGGCGTGGACCGGCACATTGGACGCAATCTACACGGGCGGCTTGCCCGAAGAAGAGCGCGCGCATCTTCGGGTCTGCTCAGGTGCACGCTCTCAGTCTAGGGAGGTGCAGGAGCCCGAGAATATCGAAGTGTACGAGAGCAAATGAGCTGATAAAAGTGTCAGCGCGGGGAAATGAACTGGAGGTATGTGCGCTGTCATACCTACTCAAGAGATGGAGTGGATTAACGGGCGCATGAATTGATGGGTTTTCTGCGTGGAGGGTCGATGTATGAAGGTCTGACGGACGTCTAACTAGAATAAATAGCTGATGGCGATCAAAGCGGTGTAATCGCTTAAATGTGGGCTTATACGTAGATTGCGACGAGGGGCACTTACCAGATGGAAGCAGAAAATACACAGCATTGAGTGCAGTGTCTGTCAATAGGTGGTTAATGGCATCTGTCTGTGAAATAGAGGCTTACGAGGCTGTCGCAGACACCGCGTCTTCATCATCATCACGGAGGTGCTCGCGCGCCGTCCTCTGGCACTACGTGGCAGACATAGCACCTCAACAAGTCATGAGACAGCAGAGGGACGTACCGTAGTCACTCAAGCTAAAGAAACAGAACGACTGGCCCAGCTTGAGTAGAATCTTGCGGGGCCGCGGGGACGGACCCGGAGCCGAAGCCGGTACAACTACAGGCCGTGTGCATGTGGCACCACATTACAGCTTCCTGTAGATGCGCTTGCACTGTGCGACGGTCACCTAGGAAACTCAGAAGTTTGTCTCTACGGCAGCGTCCTACCAAGACGAAGAAATAATCGACTTACCCCAGTCTCGACCGAGGGCTGCAGTCCGCACTGTCATCTAAGTCGTCCAAGGGCAGCTTCAGGTGTCTCTTCGTCCGGACCACTCAGAATAGAACGCGAGGTTCTCGTATGACTCGCAGAAAAGAGGTAAATGGCTAAGGTAGAGGACAATACAAGACTGTAGATGAGGACGCAAGAGAAGAAAAGAAAGCTGCGGTGGCCATGGGCAGCCGAGTGGCGACGGCGTCTCTTCCGCCTCTAGCGCCCTAACGTGCCTATCCCGAGAAAGTCAGAGATATTCCCAGACTCGGTTCATTTGTCGCCACCACCATCCGGCCATGACACACGCAGTAAGTACTCTCTCCTCATTCGCTGTTGGAACGTTGGATACTAGCAAGAATTATAGCGAGAACTGGGTCTTCATCTCCTCGTAATGCCCTGACATCTGGTTTCTCGCTCCCTAGGATACCGTCGCATAACGACGCGCGTAGGTTTTCCATCCTATTCAGACTATCAATGGGAAGGGCTGACCTCTGGTGCACAGAAACCAACAGACGCATGGATATCCGTCTGCATAAATATCCAAGTGTACCAAGGCCTCGAGCTCCTGCGCTACATCGAGGACGTATTCGCCCGGCGAATCGCTGCAACATCGGTGCGTGGTGCGCTCATACTTATTTCTACCACGGGAACCAAAATCCTCTAGGCCGACGAATACGAGCAGCGCTATATGTTACACTCAATGTCCTCCAAAGTTCTTGTAGGTGTCTTAGTCCACAGACTCCCGGCGTGCTCGGATGTGTCGCGTTCGCCAATCCGCAGGATGGCGTCACCTTGCCCCACGCTCGAGCTATACGCAGCCATGTTCACCGAGACGCAGAAGATGCTCTTTTTCGCGCTCGTGTATCGGCAGTGGCATGTTTGCCATACTGGTTGGTGCGTGTTTTGTTTCTATGTGGTTTGCAATTCACTGAAATACTGAACGATTGATAGCCCTTACGCCTCCTTTTTGCGTTCTCCGCTATGACACCCACGCTTTCTGAGATAAATGGAAGCAATTACTCTCCAAAAATACTCCTATTCGCATAGCTCTACCAACAAGCACTCTCGGCAGCAGGCCATGCAGGGCTGGGTGCGCCGGGAGTCGACTGTCGCGAGCGCCTATATCGTACGTACGTCACCGCTACACGACATTGGTTCTCTCCTCATACCAGGCTGCAGGAGCAGGCCGCTAAAGACACGGTGCTTGGGGATCAAGCCTGGGTTTTGGTAAGTCGCAGAGGTTACAATCTGGTCCAGAGCACTACTCATCAATATGCTCAGACTGGTATATGTTCAGCGTTGCGCGGATTCGTACTGTGGGGTGACACGCCGTACTGGCAGTCCCAGGGCTGACACAGACTCTGGAGTCGGGGTCCACCAGAGTGGTTTGTATGATGAGTTTTGTGATAGACGATTAAGAGCAAGTGCTAACCTCCAGCGTACAGGAACCGGCGGAGACATGCATCTTCTTGAGGTCGAGTCACCTCCCGCTCCGTTAAAAAACAAACGCTCACATGCGACATGGAGACCGAATACAGAGTCAAAAAGACCTGACAAACTCCGTGCCGTTTTATTATTCTGGCTATTTGACCTGTGAGAATGACATCGTGTTATGAGCGCTGGCGAGTAGATGGTGTCGGTGTGGTGTCTTGATAATTTCGAGTCGCGAGGTCGCTTCCAGTAAGCATGACACTATGGGTATCGGTGGAGTAGGAATCAGATACCCCTTCTACGGTGACGCCCTGCCTGTCTGAGCGTTGTCCAGTGAACGTTGGACACCCGTACTAAAATATTAGAACCCATTCCTCCCCAAATTGCTCATTAACGTCGTCCACTGCATTCACCAGGTCTCAAATTCTGTGCTACAGGATCGTCGGCGCCGTTTCCACTCATGACGTATGAGTACGTACTCGTAAGTTCTGCAGCTCATGACACTGGTGGTCTAACGCCGACTTCCCAGCACACGTTAGTCTACCAAGCGCCGTCGCGCAAACTAATATTAGGATATTCTTGTCTCCCGGAGGGTCCGCTACTAGGCGGTACCTCAAGTTTGATGTTACAGAAGGGGTTGACATGTACCGTGATGCTCGTCCACCCAGTCCACCCTCTTCACATAGTCTGTCTAATCAACCAAGCGTGGCCGCCCAGTCCACTCAGTCCACCACGTTCACGCCCTGGCGTCCTGCAGGATTTGTTCTTCTCAACCTTACCATACACGCGATAGGGATTCGGTGCGGATACCGGGTGAAGGTGATTTATGCCACTGTGATTCATTTTGTTATCCCCCGGATTTGCAGTCGCGCATACTGAACTCGACCCGGCCAGACGGCACATCCACCGCTTCCAAAGTCTTTGAAATGCAAGCAGCAGAAACTCGAATAACAGATTTTCTTGGCGCATCCGTATGGCTCGTCAGACTGGAGCTATTCGAATGTCGAGTCGTGGATGTCTCCAGAGCTCCATCAAAGTGCGTCACGAACGAGGGTGCAACCCCTACTCAACCTCGGGGTTCCGCACCACCCATTGCGCCAACACGGAGTACATTTCTCAAATAATGATACTGAAGCGCTGTACTAAGCTCATTTAAAACACGAACGGATTGGGATGTGCATCGAGCAGCGTAATTCTTGGGATATGAGGCTTGATGTTGACGACTGCCATGAGACGGATCTACATATTGATATACAACGTAAAAGACACAATACACACGCGCGCAATTATTCCTGCGTGCTCCTTACCGCAACCTAGTTTGATAGTACAGCTGTTCAAGACGAAAGACTACATGTGTGCGTTGTGGGGTAAACTTATGAAAACTCTAGTTGCCGACACCCTTGCCGTCAGCCTTCTCGAAGACCTGCACACCATCGATGTAGGCGTTGAGGAGCTGCACAAGCCTGCTGTACACGACTCGGGAGTTTGCAATCTTCTTCTTCATGAACTGTCAAGGAATAGTGAGCTACTACGTGCGCACGGTAAGGGTGTGTCGCGGGACAGTTACCACATACCGAAGTATATTTGATATTCGGACCGGCCGCCTTCGTGAGTTGCGCGTGGAGCTGTTGGAAGTCGGCCTTGAGCTGCATGATTGCCATTTGGAATATCAGCGTTAGCACGCAGTGGTAATACATAGACCGGGAAACGAGGACACGCACAGCGTACCAAATGCCCGAGATGGCATCGATCTTCGCACAGAGGTCCTCGATGTCGTGTTTCGTGCTGCTCATGAGAGACTGATACTTTACGAGCAGGGCACTCTGTTGGCAAAGCTGAGCCATCTCCTCTTTGCCTTCCTTGATTTGTGCTTTGAGATCTAGGGATGCGAGTGAGGAGGGGACAACATTTGATACCGAGAGTGCATACCTCGCGCTTCTTGAATCTTATCTTTGAATGTGATAGCGGAAGGAACCGCCGCGAGAACTGAGGCCTTGGGGAAAAATGGATCAGGAAGTGCTGGGCCCGCGATACCAATGAAACCTACCGCGAAGGCGTGGGCGGATGTAGGCGAGAGCGTGAAGAAGAGGAACGCAGCGGAGATGGCGCCCGCGGAGAGGCAAGCAACGCATGCAAGGCCCGCATTCCTCATCTTCGCAACGCGGTGATTAGCGCTGTATTCCTATAGTGCATACCAGTTCATACCTCCGACTTGACCCTGCAGTAAACACGTCCCGGTGAGCGGATCATGAGCGTAAATGATCGAGGATGTGTACGTACCCTGAAAGTTTGAGACTCAGTCCGTCGACGCGTGTGCGGGTCTCGTTCAATTTGTTGAGGACACGACTGCTGTTCACGTTGACGGTCTTCTCGATTGTGATCCCGAACTCCCGGATGTTGCGCGCGAGCGTAGTGAATCCCTGCTCAATCTCGAAGGCCTTTTCACCGTCGCCATCGATGCCCTATATTTGAATGTGCGTTAGGGATGATATTGGTCTGCAAGAGGAGGCTCGCTTATTACCATGATGACGTTTTGAATCTCTGCCTTTATATCGTCATATTTTGACGCATCGATATCTTCGCCTTCTGGGAACAAGTCGTTGTAATCTAGAGACGGGTTGAGTATACCAGGTACGCAAATCGGGCGAAATGACAAACTGTTCAGGACTGCTATGGCTTGTCTCGCATTCTTGTGGCTCTGGTTCAAGAGGTCTTCGAATTTCTGGCGTGAGCACTATGAGAGTGTCGTTTGAGATGTAATAGAGACAAGGATATCAAACCGCGTGAAAACGCTCCCAGTCAGGCTTGAGTGGAGGTGGTCCTTGCGTAGCGCCAGTGACCTTGGCTTGGAGGTCGAAGCTATGCAAGTCCTTGCTGATGGCTGCGAACGAGGTTCGGATGTCGCAGATGGATGCCGTCAGCCCTTTGACGTTCTCCACTGCCTTCTCGCTTGTTTTCTGCATATTATCGTGGAATATAGTGTCGAGGGAAGGTATGGATGGAGCGGCATCGGGTCCATGGAGTGCATCCTCTAGCTGACTCTTGAATTCAGCGGCCTCTGCATTGAGGTGAAAGTGGGAGGGCTCGCATTCAGTGGTAGTGAACGACATCAGTATGTGATGATGAGGGGGCGTTGTCGAAAGGGGGATTCGAGGAATGCAAGTCCGATTGTATCAGCTTCATATAAGTTTCACGGCGCTTTGAATTGATATAAAAACCCGTATACAATGGAGCCTCTGGGATGGACTCAAGTGCGTATCTGAGAGGGAAAACGGGGAGAGGTCAGTCAGCGTTCCTCCGATACTCGGACGTCGACGTCTGCGCGGCCGACCACCCATTGGCCATCTGCCATCCACCCACACGAGATGGAAGGTGGAAGGTGGAAGGGAAGTCGTTACGTAGTGCCTGCCACCGCCCATAGTTTATGGGGCTTGAACCGTATATAGCTCGCTTATCGCTCAAATAAGCTGGAATCATTGTGGGCTTGATGCTAGGATAAACACACAGAGTCAGATTATGTTCGTGCGATGCACCAGTGAAAGAGCCAGAGAGCGTCGTTGGTCAGTGTTGAGTGTTGAGAATATCTTGGAAACAGCATAGAGACAAACACACAGTGTAAATGGGAGAGCAGACTAGTGTACCCGGTGACTCGAGCTGTATCTTCTCTGCTTCCCCTCGTAGAGCGCACGGACATTGAGGGCGAGTGACAGAAAGCTTCACCCGCGCTTGAAGAACCAGGGCCATGCGCCGCCGCCGAGCGCTGAACCGGCCGATTGGCTAGCACTAACGCCGCTGCCGATACTGCTGCTTATCCGTATATTATTATGACGGCTCCTGTCGGGGCGGGTCTCTCCGAGCATCGATCTACTCTTCTTGCTCCACTCCTAGTGCGTGCCGTTGCGTGGTTTGCACGATATTGTACGACCTAGACCGGGAGATTTTCGCTGGAGTTCAACGTTCAATGGTATGATCAACCTCTGCGCTCGCCCTTCTCTACTAAGCATGTCATCCAGACTAGTCATATACGCCCGGGCCGCGTGGTTGGCCCACCATGCAGCATCGGCTAGGTGAGCGCAGACCAGGACACCGGCCCTGTACTCCTCATATCACATGAACCTGCCACAAAGACATATAGTGGCGCAACCCTGCTACGCAGTCCACCACGCCTACCGGAGAAACTGTCAGTTGCGTCGAACTTGTTCCTGAAGCGGACTGCTTTTCACAGATCAGGCTGGCGTCCTGCTCTCTCTCTCATTTCCGCTACCTCCCATTCGAGTAATATTAATCCTAGGGAATACGCGCGCAGACCACACTTCCAAGTTCCCTGTCAGAGAACGCACCGTCGGCCGTTTGCGAACTCGAACCCTCTCTGTATACGGCGTATATGCGGGCTTTGTGCACACAGGTCCTGGTTGGAACCTCCTGCGCATCGGCCCACCCACCCGCTACCCTGATCGAGTATACCTGGCATATAAGCCAGAGCGAAGGGTTAACATTAAGCAGCCTTCTCCCCTCCCCGATGAACTCCGGTACCATTTCTTTGAAGCTCGGGAACATCCCAGCTGGCAGCAGTACTACGTACTCACCGGTGTCCGCTTCCAGCCCCGTCAAGCTAGCGAGCGTCCCAATCATAGAATGCGCGACGACCATCCACAAGCTTGCGGGCGATGCACGTAGCTTACACAAAGCTCTTGATGAGACTCAGCGACGCATTCTCCGGGTGCCTGCTCCTCTCATGCCTTCCGAATTGGTGCTCGAATGGCGCAAAGTCTCCGAGGTCAGTCTATCCAGTCCGGTTCAAGCACAGCTCTACGCTGACCACGTATATCATTGTTCAGGCGTATGGTGCTATACTACATGCCTCCGATGTGTGCGCGACGAACCTCGCGGCAACTATGAACAGTAGGTGACGAGTCAGTGCGAGACATACGACTCGTCTGACCTTGTGTACAGCCCACATTTCTTTACAGGGAGAGATTGTCGACGAGGACGCAGAGGATATGATTGAAGAGCTCTCCGCGCTGCAAAAAGTTCGTCTTGTTTGTTTCGAATCATACAGGTCTGATTATGCATTCTGAACGCGGCACTTAGGATGTTAAAACCGCTCCAACACACATGAGCACTTCCTGCGCAGACCTCAAGCGACACGTCGAAGCCTTTTTACGTAGTGTCAACTCCACAGCACCCAGCAGGGCTCCTGGTGCCGCGTCCTCCACCGCTGCATCCGCCTCCACATCTTCATTCCCCCACTCTGGGAGTGTTCACTCGGGAAGGTGAGTTTTCGGCCTGCTGTCATACAATATGTTCGATCCCGACGCAGTAATTACCAGGGCGCATGACGAGGTATCTCCTACTAACATTTGGGAATATCTTCATGCATACTTATGGCACGTCAGACCTCCGGGGCACCGCTAGGCCCCGTCTACACTAACGACGTCAGTAGCAGGGCGTGGTCACGAGTCAACAACGCGCTCGCTGCGCTGTGGCAGTTAGATGAACACAAGAACGGGTCGCAGAGCGTCCCGGGTGCGCGCAGTGCAGCAGCCCCTGAGACGCCCTCTCGCGCCGTAGATGAGGCGTTGGTCGGGGCGATCAAGGGCATAATTGCAGGTCTCGACCAGCAGATCCAGCAATTCAAGGCCTTCACCGATGTGGCAAAGCATGTACGTACTTGGGCGCCGTCGGACATTGTTTGCGCTCGTTCGACGTTGTTACAATGCATATCGGGCTGACCAGTCTGCTCCCCAATCAACGTCTTGCCACAGCTGGAGAACGAGATCAATGCATACCATTCCGCTTTCCTAGCATTCAAGATGTACCCTACCTCTGTGAGTGCTGCTTTCACGTCATCAGTTGGCATCGTACCAGAGGAAGTGGACAGTCGCCTGACCAGCTTTGCGATAGGAGAAACGAACGGCGCTCCAGAATATGCATGCGCGCGTCGAGGCATCTGCGAAGTATTGGAGGGAGCTGGCAAGTGTACTGACTGATGGGTATGCCCGTCTCCAGAAGTAAGCGTTTGTGCGGCTTCTATAGCATGCTCGGGTCTTCGAGGTGGACTTGTTTATTCGCGCGCAGTATGGTCGGCCTGAGGCATGTTGGGAATGCACTTTTGTGTTCGAGTTCTTTGGACTGGAGACCTGATTATGTATGGATGTAGGCGGACAGAGATTATTGTGCTGGTGGAGGACCGTTAGCTTTCCGGGACGCGCAGGACGCGAGCTGCTTGCCACGAGATGCTATGAACTTGAGGGTGAACGGCGATGCTGCGCACGCCAGGTCCGATTCCACAGGAAGTGACCCAGATATTGCACAAATTAATGTTCTTTGTTTGACTCACTATAAAACAACGCTCAGCTGTACGGGACAGATTGTGATCAGGAATATAGGTATGGGCAGCCTGCGGCGACACTTTTTGCAGCCTCATACACCAGATGGGCGGGGTCGGTCCGCAGCTAAGATGGACGGTCTGCCAAGAGTCTACTAACAGGGATGATTTCGCATACTGCGGTCTGCGGGTCATGCCAGCAACCATGCATAAACCTTGTTCCATGTAGGAAGGCGCCACAAAAGCGATGGGTACGTATGGTGCCCGGGCATGTCTACCCCACACAATGCCGCTCACAAAGCAACATGACCGTTGCTGTTCGTAGGGTGGTGAGGCGCCCTACAGGCAGATCTCTTCGTGCGCCGGTCAGCTTCTTGGGCCATTGTGCAGTGGTGGGCGGGATGGGCCATGGAGCTGGCGCCGCGTGGTGCACAGAATGCGCCGGGGGCGGTTGAACGACCGCACATACGACGATGCGTGTTAGACTCGGTGCTTGAAAAGCTCCAATAAATTGTGGCTACCAAGCTGCATACAGCTCACACAACGAGCGAGGAAATCGCGCGGCGGAATGATGTCCGCGGCCACATAAATATCTGTATACAAGGTTTCCATGCATTGAGCTGCATACCGACGGGTCATCAGATGAAACCAGTCCTAGATGCCACCAAAGCGCGTACCGTGGAGCTGATGATAATGCTTGCCCACCCGCAATGTACAAGCAAGCCTGTAGAAGGTTGAGGGCATTCGTCAACCTGCAGAAACACAACTGGAGACGATGGAGACGGTGGCAAGGAAGGCTAAAGCTTGGCCAAGACGTCGGGGTATACGACGCCACAAAAGACAAACAAAGACAAGCTGAATCAAGCGATCTAAAGTAAAGGGAAACTACGGAAACCCGCGGACGAAGCCGGGTGCGCCTGGATTCACGTGACCGAGCCATTTCTCACAAGCAAGACCGATTCCTATGGTGCAAGGCGCTAAGCCACCACTACTTTTGTACAGTGGCGAAAATCGTCCTGCCACCAAGGCTAACCCTAGGCTAGGGTCGGCGCCTAACGCCATTTGGCGGGGGATGGCGAAATCGGCGAACCCCATGAGAAATAACTCGTTCAGTTTTGAGAATTATAAAAATCCGTCTGACAGATTTGTTCCCCTCATGGAAAGGAGTCGATTGGTCAGACAGATAAGAATTTGGACAAAATTTGAGGTGTCCAAGCCCCTTGTTCAAAAGTAGCGGTGACTAGACGCCCCGCACCATAGTGGAATCGGAACTTGCGCTTTGTGGATACATAATGCCATGGTTTTCTCTTCTTTATATGGCCTGGTGGTCTAGTAGTATGATTCCTTCTTAGGGCATTGTCTTAGTTGGAGGAGGTCCCGGGTTCAATTCCCGGCCAGGCCCTTTTGGTACCAACCCACAAATTTCTTCAATCTCAACAGCGTAGCTCGTACCGACTGTTTTTGTTTGCAAGCCAAGAGATACAGGGCAGCAGGACATGTCTAGCAAACGTCACAAACATCGTAGACGTCGGGCTGCAGCTCGTTACAGTCGTTCGGTGTTCGGATGCGCTCAGACCGCGACGGGCGCTCCGATGCATCACGTCCGTCGACAGGCGTCTCCATCGTGCTGCTTTTACTCCGCAACCACCATCGACTTCGTCTGCAAGCGTCCGCTCGGGGCCTTGGTTAGGGTATCTCATTTATATTTCTCGTATCTCTGGCTCTTCACGGACGACAACACACCTTCAAGGCCGGTCTCATGCGCCACGGCGGCGTCGCTTCAGGACGTGAACCCGGCGAGGAGCTTGAAGCAGCTGACCTGCTGCTGCACGGCGAGGAGGAGCACCACGGGGGTCGAGAACCAGGTAAGTCGCGTTTAACTTGAGGATGGAGGGAGCGGCTATCGAAATGTAGGTGCTCAGGTCCATGTCGCGCTCGAATAGGGAGTGCAAGCGGTTCTGCGGAGAGCTGTAATGTCTCGACACGTCGACACAATCTGATATACTAACGCTATGAGCACTCATTTAGAATCTCGTACACTTCTGTTCAAGCTGAGCCTGTCGTTTTTTCTCTTTGGGCTGATCAACAACGGTACGTTCCTCCCTTGTCTTCGCTCGCTTGGAGTCTACAATCAACAACACAGTGCTCTACGTCATCATCCTCTCTGCTGCGCTGGACCTGGTCCCCCCTTCTACTCCCAAGGGTATCATCGCGTTCTGCAACATCTTCCCTGCGCTCATCGCGAAGCTCGGCTGGCCTTACCTCCTCAAGGGGCGGATACGCTACGCTCGTCGCCTCGTCGGCTGCACTGCCATCAGCATCGGTGGAATGCTGATTGTAGCGCTCTTTGAATCTCTCCCTATGAGATTACTTGGAATCTGCTGCGCGTCGTTTTCTTCAGGCAAGTTTCGCTACTCTATCCACTTCTCGGGATGTGCGCTGAGGTAGGCGATCAGGATTGGTCGAGTTAACGTTCTTGCAGCTGTCAACCCGGTATCACCCGCCTTCGGTGGCCGGCCGCAGCGTGGGGTAAGTCATACTCCTCGCAGAGTAGCGATTGCCAAACTGAGCTGCGTTACAAGGTACTTCGCTTCCGGAACTGGTGGCGCTGGCCTCGTGGGCGCGCTGCTCTGGTGGGAGCTCAGGGGATTGGGAGTCCGCTTCGGCGTCGGCCTCTCTTCCGTACGTCTTTGCCGCAAGTACTCTGCATCTTTTCTCTTTTCCTTACCTGCGAGCTCCTGGTAGATTCTCCCGTTCATCACGCCGCTCACCTACCTCTTCATCCTCCCACAACCAGAGGCATTCGTAGGCCGGTCATTCGAGACAGGAGATGACGACTCTGAGGACGCCGCAGTGTCTGCGTCGTACGTCCCGCTCGCGCGTAGTGAGGATGAAGATACTGCACGAGAGGGAGAACCTGAAACTATGTTGAAGGCGTCCGTCGCACTTTCTATAGAGGACAAGTGGCGCCTCGCGAAGCCGATGCTGATGAAGTATATGCTCCCTCTATGTAAGTCCCCACATCGCACGAATAGCTGTTATGCATCATGCTAATCGCGCATGTAGTCTGCGTTTATCTGGTCAGTGCATACGACTCCTCCATTGCTCTGCGTCCATGTATCTGAGCAGCCTTGCAGTTCGAGTATACTATCAACCAGGTATGTCTACGCATAATCTGCCGAGTGTCTGCGTCGCTCACATGCAGTAGGGAATCTCGCCGACCCTCGTATACCCTGTCCCCACGCGGGAATCGCATTGGTTTATGAGCCTCCTAATTCACTCCATCAGAGACTACTATCCGCTCTGGCAGGTACGTTGTAGGGCGGATATACCACCGCGTTGCAAAACGTACTGACTGGTACCTTAGCTCGTATACCAGAGCACAGTCTTCCTGTCACGCTCGTCCATCTCGCTTGGACTCCCGCCACTCCCCGGGAGGCTGCTCTCATTGCCCGCATTTGTACAAGGCGCGATCCTGTGCACGCTCGCGTTCGAGTCCGCGGTCGGTATCTTCGGGGACGCGCACGAGGGCGTGAGCTTCGCACTTGTGTTCCTCCTTATCTGTGTCGAGGGCGTCTGCGGCGGGCTCGCGTAGTGCGTTCATCTCGACTTTTCGACCCGTACCTTACGCTGACGTCGCTGATTTCAGCGTGAACGTGTTCTACCGCATCAATCAGGAGAGGCTTGACAGCCCCGGTGCGGACGCCGAGCGCGCGAAGCAGGAGCGCGAGTTCAAGATCGGCTCCATCGGGTTGTCGGACTCGACTGGCATCTTGATGGCTTCGCTCCTCGCAGTGCCGACCGAAATCAGGCTGTGCAAGGCGCAGGTTGCGCGAGGGAAGATGTTTTGTCAGAGTTTGTGAGCGCCGTCGAATGTCTGCGTACAATACGGCGGTCGAGCACGGCAGGCGCACGCGAGGCGAGGAATTCATATAGCCCACTGGTGCGCGATACAAAGTTCTTAGGCATGGGTTTGAGGACCCGCCGATTTGCTGACGCGTTCGGACGCAGTTTTATAATATGTGATGACTCTTTCTTGGGCCTTCGGCCGTATACATCGGCCCCGGAGTGTCCTGTGAGATGTGACGCTACCGCCAGGATGCATCCAATTCAAGGGATGGCTGATCATGACTCTGTAGCACTGCGACTCGTTTAGTCCCTTCAAGATGCCATGAACCTCAGGTAATCTTCTCAGGGAATCTTGCGTCTTTCCTAAGGTCCGCTGCGGATCTGCCGCGCCTGGGATGTCGCCTGCGTCGGCATACTTACACGCGTGCCCAAGTCGGTGCTGTCGGCCACGCCGATATAGCCACCTCCGTCGCGTTGTCGTTTGATGGGCAACTTATCGTCGACAGGGCGGACGAATACGGCTGCCACATCGAGAGTCCGGACGACGGCGACAAGCTCGTGTGGATGTACGCGTATCCCCGGCCTGTGCGCTCCGTGGCCTTCTCGCCTGACGGAGGGCATGTCGAGCCCGGACGACGCGACTGTGAAGGTGTGGGACATGCAGACAGGAACGGGTGTGCCGCGGCTCGGTGCGTAGGGGGAGGGCGATTTACCGGGTCTGCGCCGGGGAAGATATCGAGGCCCTACACCATGTCTTTGGCCGGACACTGCATTTACTAGAGTGTATGTTCTGCGTCCATATAGCCAGTGCCTCTCCTCGGTAAGAGGGTCTTGTTCGATCGCACGTTTAAGACCGCACGACACTCTGTTCACCATTGGCCCGGTACGAACTGTATCGGCCCCGCGCTGCTCCCGCAGCTCGCGCCTCCGTTTCTTGATAAGAGCAGCGCAAAAAGGATCCTGCACATCTCGAGGACATGCGGAGCCTTCGAGAGCGTGGAAGCAGCAATATACTATCTATACACCGCTATACGCAAACTTGAGCGCTATGGAAACACGATCGCCAGTGCACTGCCGAAGGGCGCAAAGAGGTATCCTACACATCCACCAGAAAGCATATATATACTTCGTCGCTGAGTCGCTAACGCCGCCTTTCTTGTTGCTACATCGTAAACACCCGCGGGTTCTCAGGCAGCCGATCCCGGCTGGACGTACAGCTTCAGGCACTGAGAAAGTGCCTTGCACACAGCACGGCTGGCCTCAATCTTCTCCATGAGGAACTAAGAACCAATCCCGTATATCAGCCATAGACACACACTCCATGTGTCAGAAGACGTACAGGGGAGGCGGCAACACTGGCGATCCCGGAGTAGAGGCTAAGATCGGTTTCAAGGACGGTCATATCAGTCCGCAGCTGTGTGGAGGGAAAAGGTCGAATCAGCTCTAGGAACATACAACAGGCAGCACAGGAGACAGGGAGACCGGTGTCGGACGGGACGGATAAACGGCAAGAAAACGACATACACTCTTCCAGATGTCGGATATAACCTTGATTCTGTGGGCGACGTTGCCGATGTCTTTCAGGATGGTCGCGCTGCAGGGTCGTTAACAATGACACACCACTGTAGTGAGCTGCATACTTCACAATGTTCATTTGCTCTTCGAATAGGAATCGCAGTACATGAAGTTAGCTGTGGTAAGAGCGGTCACATGTGCGGCCACTTACTGTCAGAATGCGCGATTTAGCGCTGGAAGTTTCGTAGATAGTTCTCGATTGGGACATGATTACTAAGCGATTACTTAGGTAGTACTAGAAAATTCGTTTGTAAGTAGTATATAAGTGCGCGGCCTACAGCCGCGTCTCTACGCTTTAATTCACTTTCTTCACCGCTCCCCTCGGGACTTCTGACAGGTTATGAGCCCTGCGCTCAGACCCTAGTCGCCGACTTTCGCCCTCGCCTTCCTAATCTGTCTTCGCTTACCCGATCTATTCGCTCTCTTATCTTATCTCCCCGCCATGGCCGCCGAAAACATCAATTCCCTCCTCTCGTCCGTCCCGAAGCTCTCGGCCGACAACTATCAGGACTGGAAATTCGCCGTCCAGATGGTTATGCGCCGCGCTGGTTGCCTGTCCGTCGCCAACGGCACCGAAGAGCGCCCGACCACTCGCGAGAAGAGCGAGCAGTGGGACAAGTCCGCGGAGCAGGCCCTTACCATAATAGGCCTTACCGTCAATCCGGACCAATACCACTACATTCGCGACGCGAAGAACGGCCCGGAAGCCTGGTCTGCCCTCCGGGGTGTCTACGAGAAGAACTCCCGCGCGAACCGCATCGCCCTCAAGCGCGAGTTCTATACCACCGCCCACGACCCGCGCGCCCCCATCCGCGAGTACACCAACCGCGTCACCGACCTCGCGAACCGCCTCAAGGCTATCGGCGTCTCCCTCCGCGACGATGACGTCATCGACGTCCTCATCTACAACCTCCACCCGTCCTGGGCCTCGATCGCGAGCACCCTCTCGGCTGCGCCCGGCACCCTCAAGCTCCTCGACGTCATCGGCGCCCTCGTCGATGAAGAAGCGCGCCGCGCCCCCGACTCGTCTCCCGACGCGACCGATCCCGACGACACCGCGCTCGTTTCGCGCCAGCCGCGCCGCTCGCGCCAGAACGACCCCAAATTCCGCAACGCGCCCGGCAGTTACTATGCCTGCAACAAGCCCGGCCACATCGCGCGCGACTGCCCTAACCGGCCCGCTGTCGCGAACCTCGCCACCGACTCCGATTCCGAGCCCGAACTCGTCCTCTCCGGCACAATCTGGTAGGCGCCCGTTACCATAACGGGAAGGTATACGGTGCGTCCTCTCGTGAGCGGGTAGGCTCCGTCGTAGTGGTAGGGACCCGGTGTATTGGGGCAGGGACGCCCGCACACCGCGAGCACGCAGGCTCCTACGGCGTACAAGCGAGAGATGGGCACTGTGGGGAAATTCGGATTTATTGGGATAACGCCCAGCTAGGGTTACGCTGGCTAAATCGAGGGGGAGTGTCAGAATGCGCGATTTAGCGCTGGAAGTTTCGTAGATAGTTCTCGATTGGGACATGATTACTAAGCGATTACTTAGGTAGTACTAGAAAATTCGTTTGTAAGTAGTATATAAGTGCGCGGCCTACAGCCGCGTCTCTACACTTTAATTCACTTTCTTCACCGCTCCCCTCGGGACTTCTGACACTTACCTCCCAGGATAGGTCGCTAATTCCCCAGTATAAGCACACGGTGGACAACTAGGTGAAGCAAATGACTCACGAACGCCTCGAGAGTGGTCATAGGCGCGAGCATGCTGAGGGACTTTGACATATTCGGGACCAGCGTGGCCACCCTCCCCAGGTAGTGTGCGTTTCGGTCCAAAAGCTATACAAGAATGAGATGTGAGGTATCGATATCATGTGGTGACATTCTACCTCGTCGGGTATGCTGAAATTCATTATATGAGCTCCCTGTCGCCATCAACGAGTCCTGGTGCGGAGAAGCTCCACTCACTCAGAAACCTTTTTCTCCAAAGTGTCCATGTCCTCGAAAGCATTCCTGAGATCTTGAAGGAGAGGTCCACTGATGCCCTTCGATTTCATGGAGAGCTCGACTTTATGCTTGAAGTCCTCGATTCTGTTGGAGAGGTCACTGAAGCTACTGTGAACATCCTTAGCGGAACCGAGACGCTTTATGACTTCCTAGATGACAATAGGTTATATGGCTGCATGACGACGTGCGGCCATGGTCGTTACCTCTCGAAGCCGCCCAATCTCCGTCATCAAGGTCGAAACATCGCAATTGAGGGCCTTGACCTTGCCCAAGACCGCTTCGGTGTACACTATCGAGTACACAAGCTATAAGTAAAATACATACAAGCCAGATAAAGTGTGGTAGCTACCATCCATGACACCGGAGGCTGCGGTAGCGCTGTCGCGGCCGTCGTTGACGTACTGGTTGAATTCCTGTAGCAGGTACTACCTGTCGGCGTGAGTTATCGGTGACAGGGAGAGATAAACCCACCTTGCGGAAGGCGGCCCACTGCGTCGCGAGCACACTCTTACCGTCAGGGGACTGGTGGTCAAATGCCTGAAGAGGGCGCATGACTTTGTCGAAGAGTGCATTGATAGTCTCGATGTTCTTGCCCAGGTTGTCGATATCCTTGTGGATAGCTTGCCTGGCGGTGTCGCTGTTGAGGTAGACAATCACCTGCTCCTCAACAGAGGAGTCATCGTTGGGCTGGGATTCGTTGTGCATGATGTTGTAAAGCGGGGAGATCTGAGTCTGACTCCGAAACGATGAGGGTTTATAAGGAGCTGCGAGCTGCGAGCCGCGACTCGTTGGGGAAATACGGCATTGTTTTAGCCAGAAGCGACCTGGAGTTCTTACCGGTATACGTATAGTAATCCTTTAATCCTTCTCCTGTGAGCGATCACATTCGTAGCGGCTGTCAGAAGCCTCAGGCCCACATTGAGATGGCACTGGCGCAGCGGTGTACCAGGAGCGCAGTCCGCAAGAGAGGCCACCTGAGATCTGAGACGCTCGCGCTTTGCATCCAAACCACAAACACGGACAAATACCATACCTTCAGCAGGGCACGCCGCAGGAATGCGCAGTGTCCGAGTCGAAGACGACTCAAACTCCACCCACACTGAGTTGAAATGCATCATGGTTTTTGTCGTCGCTCTTTCTCCGCAACGCCGAAGCGTCCAAGGCGTTCACCTGCTTTTGTTCGCCAAAATTGGTTTGGCGGAGAACGTTTAGTTTCCGTGCGCTTCTATCTTAACAGGCAACACCGCGCTCCCATCGCATCGCTATACCGGACCCGTCCATGCCACAGGAGGGTAACAATAGGCGGTATGGATGCGCATTGCATCCTGGCTCCTCGAGGGCCCCAAGGGACTACCCTAAATCAATCCGCCGATGGGTGAGAGGGTAAAACCAGGCACAACGGAGCGAAAACCATCCGCCACACGTCCACACGTCGTCCACCTGCAAGGTGGATGAGAAGTATCGAACGGGACCCATGACACGAGAAGCTAGTAGAATTTGGGTGTGCGGTTGCTCATTTGACATTGGTGCCGGTTAGGAAAGAGAATTGTGCTGCCTCTTGATGCTCTGTAATCGAATATCGACCTCGTTCGCCTGTCAAGGGGAGCAATAGCGACCACTTTGGGGATGTGCAGTACGAATTTCAGCTCACCGATGAAGCAGGAAAATCCCATTGGACAAAATGCAATGCACGCCGTGGTGAACGACCGGCGTGGGGTATTACACCAGAGCCGCCGTCATCGTGGCTGAGACTTCCCTCGTCGATGCGCACCGCTGCGGAGCTCTATCGCCTACGAGCAAGGTCAGCAGCTGTCCCTTCCAACGCCGGACCATAGAGCGGGTAGATAGGGCGAACCTGATACACTCTGGGCCCAAACTATCCTATTATTATCAACCAACCCGCGTCGGCGAGCGAGAAGAAGTTACGGCGCGTGCTGGCGGAAGTGCCGTCCTTGTCTAGAAAGAACCACCCTGAAACCTGTAGATCAAATATGGAATGATCAGAGTTGCGATAACCACCGAGCGGTCGCTAAACTACGCACGCACGCACCTCTTGATATCGCCATTGTCTGAACACACCCTGTCAACTGCCATTCAAAGATAGGCCCATTGTGGATGCGGACGAGAGAATATACGTCAGGACGTGAATGCTAAACCCTAAGCGCGCTCCGAGAGCGATGTCCTCCTATATCTGCTAAAATATGAATGAAGGTGAGCTACGGGGCGTCAAGGTTGGCCAAAAGACTGACCTGTACACATGCGCCTCATGCTCTCCATTGAAAACCTACTCGGTGTCGACATAACTTAAAAGGAACTCGGGCTGATTGCATGCGAGAAAAGGGAGCGCTGGCGAAGCCTGTTCAAGCTGGACTCGCCCTGAGGACCGCAGAGCCACGAGTATGTCCTGCATCGAAGGGGGTGCTGTCGAATAAGATGAAAGAAGGTGGACGCGTCGACTGCCGCCTCATGTCAGGTGCGATGCGGAGAGACGTACAGTTTAATGAGAACACCGCTAGGCCCGCCACCTTGTCACGCGGTGTTCCGTTTTGGTAGTTTGAGATGGATGGGCGTAAGGCCGAGCGCGGGTCTGCATTATATCCATCATGGGTCCAATTATGGGATGTCGCCGCCGGCAAATATCACTGTCAAAGAAAGACCAACGGTTGGCACTTTCTTGGGGAGGCGACACCAATGTTTGTCCGTGATTGCTTACCCGAGCTGCGTGTTGAGCGCTAGCGGTTGAGCGGCAGAGCGGCTACTGTCTGGCTATGATGGTGTCCTCACTCTAGGTCTGTTCAGATACACCTGCGACTGAGGCAGCCATCGCGTTTATGGCCCAATTATCAACTGAAGAGACGCCGTGTGCATACTGAAGACAGTCGAGCCCGCTTGTGGCTCAAGGCCGGCCTCAGCAGATCGACTGTATAAAGCTGCATCGACGCCGCTCGCCATGGAAGCTGCACCCCCAGGCTTGAGTACCCTACGCCCTCTCCACTTCAGCGTACGATATGTCTAATCTCTATGGAGCTACTCTTGGACCGAGTCCGGAAGACTGTGTTCTCATCAACAGCACGCTCAATAGCACTTCGAGTACCTCGGCGCTCGAGCGGGACATCGAGCAGCTCCGCAACAACATTGACACCATCAATGACCTCTTCCAGAAGGTCTCGCGCCCTCTCCAGAAATTCGACCACGAATACTTCAAGGATTTAAACGCCAGTGGCGCACTCGCCCCGCAATGGGTGTCCTTCCGCAAGGTGAGTCCTACGCTCGTATGTCACGCTGACCTCATGCCGACATTTGTCACGCGCCACAGCGGTTCAACCAGTACGTGGACCACAGTCGCGACAGTGCTGCAGCGGCGTCGGCGGTCATGAATCGTAGCTATTGATTGCTATCTTTCCGTCTATATGAGGACACTTACAGATCGCACACGCTGTAGTGTACTCCGGCGCGGTCCTGGGCAAGGTGCGAGAGGTCAACTGCAACGTCGCGGCTTTGGTTGCAGAGATCCAGATCTTTCAAGGGGTGATTTCGTCTCCCTACCGCTTCTTATATTCTAATAACATCTCTCCTGCTCACCAGAAAGTCCAGGCGCAGATTGTGATGGCAAAGCGCGTGCGCGATAGCTTCAACAACATTGCTAACGACATCAAGGAGTTCAAGAGGAAAGTCGAGATCACCGTCGGTTTGGAGAGCCCCAGTGGAGCTCTTTCTGAGGACATGTCCAATGCCTTCGAGAACATGAACGTGGTGGAAAACAAGGTCGCTAGGTATGTACATTCTAATCGCCATAGCATGCATGGTCGGCTGTCGTTGGAACGATAGTACAACTCATAACGCGCATGCGGTCGCTTAGCCTGCCAGATGAGGTTTTAATGCAGTCACTAGGTCTACGCATTAAACATTTTCGCTTACTTCTGACCAGCTCATGGACAGGGGATCAACTTATATGGGGACAGTGGCCTCATTTGCTCCTCGAGTTGCGAGGACCCTGTGCACGATTGCGCCCACGATAGCCTTTCAAGCGTTGGTCAGTCGTCCTGCTCGTCTACTAGAGCATATCTGATGTTTGACCGTCAGCAATGCTTGTTTGTGGTTCCGGAAGCCGCCGTGAGTGTGGACCCAGGTACGCTGCAGCGCATCTTCACACTACCATGATACTCATGTAACAACTTGAGACCTCGCGGCGCGAATGGAACTTTCGAAGTACGTCGCCGTTCTTGATCGCATCGTATTGCTTACTGACTCCACTCATACTCTAGGAGTCGGGCTCTGGAAAATATCGGTAATGTGGGCCAGCGTATCGAAGCTATAGCCAACATCTGGCACAGCGTACGTCACCCTCTCGCTAGCAATCCCGCCTCATCTCCAGTGCTGCGCACGAACTCGAAGGCTGATTTACATCGGCATCCTATCTAGCTACGGGTTGACATGTTGTGCCTTGAGACGGACCTCAGCCTCTGCGGGGGGAGCGAAAACGTCACCTCAACTGTACGTCTTCATATGTGTAGCGAATGTATACCTTCTGTGCCCATGTCTGACATAGGCGTGGAACTCACAGTTCCTGATGCCGAAGATCGAGGCTAGCATCACTGTATGCAAGCTGCTCGTCAAGTGCCTGAGCTTGTACGTGAGTCAGGCCACCCTACAGAAGGCAGACGTGTTCCCGGGGTCGGGCTGACAAAGGCATTGGGTGCTTTGTAAACACAACGATGGAGGCGTACGTACAAGTGACCTATGTCCCGGCGATGTATCACAAACAAATGTGTGTCATGACTATGCTGCTTTCCAGGAAGCGCGGTGCTCCAGCATATCGGAGTGGCGACGCTCGTGTTGCGCTCTGCGGGTAATGTGCTGCCCAGCCCAATTGTGCTCGTTCTCTTGCATCGGTATTTAATACGCAGTCTACTAACCATGTGCCGCCCTCTGTGAGCCCAGACATATCACTACTCACACTCGTGGACCTCCTGCGTGAACTTCCCCTGGTCGAGTAGCGTCCAGGTGCGAGCAGAGACTTCAGGCGTGCGGTGTTCGCCCGACTAACATAGTGCTGGCTCGGTGCGTTCTTTCGCTGGCTTATCGGGCAGGTGTTTTCAGGGTCTAATTTCTCGTGACGTGGTAACAATTTTGAGGGGCGCGTGCGGTTGCGGTCTCTGAGTAGTACAATGTATGATACGAATTCAAGCCTAGCGCACATGTAAGGAATCTTCATATCTACAACTACAGTCGTCGAACAATTGTAGCACGAAACTAGTCGATCTGTCCACGATATCGCATCCCGAATCAATGTCCGAGCATGCACATGTAACATTCCTGATGGTCTCTCCGTAACCTAAAGCTCCTCCGAGATCGAGCTCTGGGACGGATGCATCCTCCGGAGGGAAGCATGGCGCATGCTCATTATTGCATCCCACATCCCCGCGATTTCGCCGTAGAACGTCTACAAAATACATTAGTGGGCACACATTGAGCGAAATTCTTCTGTCGCGCACCAGATCTGATACGTCCAAAATTTCTGAATCCACGGATGCTGCACGGCGTTTTAGGTATGCGGCCCATTGCGCTATCTCGTCGGATATCTGCCAGCCCGTGTGTGATCACTACGTAGGCACATTTGTAGGCCGTACGAACCTCCGACCAAGTAAGAGCGAACTTCGTTATATCGTCCGCGACCCGTTCCAAAGTGTACTTCATCGTATCGGGATACGACGGTCCAGGTTCAGATACCACGAGCGGTACGTCGTTACTTTCGCCTGAAGGTGTACTCCTGCCCGGATAGGCCTGTTCGGCTAAAACATGAAAGTACGAAGTCGGTCAGTGTGATGTTGAAGGTAAAGGAGAATATCGCACACTCTGAGCTCGATATTGGGAAGGATGCGTGCGATTCTGAGCATAGTCTTCTGACATTCCGCTAGTCCTAGCCATGTCAGCCTTTATTACGAGAAGTGTGCAGTCACTTACCCATGCGATAACAAGCCCGGCAGAGTATAGGCGGCCTATTAGTCTACACACTCTTCTTAAGTGGCGATTGAAGAAGATCATGGCGTATCTGCGGGTATAACGATCGTGAGATCTAGATATCTCACGGAATCCGAAGAAGTTCCTCACATTTGGAGACGTAGTTCTGATATGTAGTGAATAACTTCGCCAAGATTCCAATGGCTCGTTGTTAAGGGTCGGGGCAGTGTGCCAGTAGGCGCGTGGTCGGCCTGGGCCTGGAGAGTGCGTATATTCCCAGCAAGCTTTTTGAGGTCGTCAACAGAACTCGTCCCGCAAGCGACCTTTTTTCGCATGAGCTGTATCACAGTAAGCATTTCATTCGAACTCCACGGAGCTGTGCAAGAAGAGTTACACTGACGTTCTCTGCAAACTGGAGTCCTGTCATGGTATCCTGGTAGCTAGATAGACCGATAGCCGTGAGCACGGTCTCTCTATATGCTGCAGCCACGGCTGGTCCAGTAATTCCTCAAGCATCGAAGCTAGTAGTTCAGCATTTGCGACGTACCGTCCATGACTGCCACAGACTCGTGTAAGTTTCTCCGACAAAGAGAAGCAATACGCAAGAAATCCTGATGCAGCGGAAGTGAGGCCGACGAAGAGCGAGCAGACGTCGATACTCACCTGGTAGTACTGATCCCAAGTAGCCAAAGATATCATTGCAGGATGTGAGCGACAATTCTCCGGACCGACGTTGTCGAGAACAAGGTACACGCTCAGAAATAGGTCCGAAATGTCTTCCACAGACTGTTCTATGTGCATGAGCTTTCTCTGGGCGTAGGACAGCGTCAGCGGACATCGGTGGACTGGTATGCCTGATCCTCGCACGTACCTGCGCTTGGCTGGCCGCATAGGCGGCGCTAGAGGACATTTCAAGGGTGACCTCCCTGGTTGATGAGTGTACTGTATAACGGTTATAGCACAGAGGTGGCGTGATTTGGACTGGGAAGAGACGAGTCTTGAAGTTCCTACACCTGTTGTACTGAGAGTAGGGATGTATGATGCTGCAAAGCGCACGATGTCGAAGTTGCACGCACCATGCACGAAGCGCAGTCGCTTGCAGCCTCGTGCGGAACGCACGCTGTAGCTGTCCAGGAAGAAAGAATATCGTCGCCGAGATTCCGGGGTTAGGGCTAATGGGCGCCGAGACGTTCGAAAGGAAAGCGACACAGAATCGCTGCACATGTCTGAGTACAGCGGCAGCGTACAATGACAACTTGGTAGATCGTCTACTACAGATATGATAAGGTTTGTGTTTTGTCCTTACGTATTGTACGGGAAGGAATACCGAAGGGGATATGCACTATACATGCGAACACTTCACCGCGGAATCAGGGAACATCTACATCGTACTACTGCGCCGATCGTGCCCCACTGCCGCCACAATGCCTGCTGAAAGTTCGACGTTCAACGAGAAGTCCACATACGGTGCCTGCCCCCACCCGCCAAACATCCAGGCAGGCTCGGTGTGGTTCTGTAGTGTCACGTACAGCTTCTGTACGATCGCGACTGGACTCCCCGTTGCGCGTAGCTCGAACTCGTGTCGCGCCTCCCCCAGTCCAGTGAACGGCACAAAATGCGAGAGGCGCGTGCTGTCCGCCCGCCGGATCTGGGAGGGAACGAGGTTCTGAGGGCCCGGGGCTGCGTGGGGGGCCGTGTCGGCGCGCAGGTCACGGCCGCGACTATGACGAGCGAGCTGGCTGCCGTAGTGAACGGTATATGTGACCCCGTCAGCGCGGTCTCCTTGTGCGATCCGCAGCTCGATTTCCTCTATGTGAGCGACGGGACTGGTCGAACCCCGGCCGCCGCCGTTGTGTTGTAGCCTCAGAGAGTGATCGCTGGAGTGCTCGGAGGGGTGTCGCACTTGGGCGGTTGTCCGCCGAAGAGAGACCGCATACCCTTGCGCGGAGAGCATGGAGGTGCACCAGGGCTGGACGAGGATGCGCCGGATGCGCAGGGCAGGGGCACCGCTGGTCCTATGCTCGATCGGGATACGGCGAATGATGAGGGATTTGATCGAGATGTCGTCACGCATGTCGCGCACGGCCGCAGACGAGAGTGCCCAGGTACGATAGTAACGCTTGCAGTCCAGACATATGTCCTTGCGCGTGCCGACGAGTAGGTTGTCGTTGGACGAGTTCGCAGGGGGCTCGCAGAGTGGGAGGGCAATGATGTTCCCCGCGTCATCTGTACACTGCAACAACGCAAGCCAGGCACATTCGAAGGGGCCACACCCACAGTCTCGATACGAGCTCTGTTCGGGGAAGAGCGTGGTTCCCGAGAAGGAAGAGGACGAGTAGCGTATGACGGGAAACTGGACTCGGACGCCTTGGAGGAGTGGAGTGTACATGGCCGCCTGCTCCAGCTGAATGCGCGGTCCTGAGGAATCCCAGATAAGCTCATCGAATTGCCTCGCTGTTATAGGCGTATGCGTCCTAGCCGCGCGGAAGTCGCGCGGGGAGACGGCGAAGAGCGAATGGGGAGGACGTTGGAATGAGGTCAATGGCGTGTCTAGGATAGCCATTCGCTCCTCGATCAGACGCAAAAGAGACGCCGGGGAAACACTTTCCTGGCTTGAAAACTTGGCTCCCCACGCCAGAAGACTCTGGTCCGGGATCGTCTTCCAGATCTCCTCCTGTAGAAGAATGAACGCCTTGTGTCCTTCCCCATAGATCATAGGGATCTTTACGCCGAAGATACCCATGAGAGCGTATGCCTCGTCTTCCACCCGCTTCGTCTCGCGCGAGGAGGCCCAACACATGCGGCGCGCGACGCTGACAGAGCTCAGGGGGGCCTTGTGTAGAAGGATATTCGTATCGATTCCCGTGATGGACTCGAGGAGCGCAGCTAAAGTGGTCTTCGTCCCGAGCGGGCGCCAGTCGTTGGAGAGGAAGACAACATTCGCGGGTGCGATGAGCTCTTGGAGCGTCCAGCCACGCTTGTGCCACCTACTCCCGCGAAACGCGGAACCATGACGCCAGACATCTTCGTCGGATGAGACATCGACGAGGTAGACGTAGCAGACGCTCGCCTGGCGATACCACTCGAACATGGAGTTGAGCGACTCGGAGAGCTCTGCACTGCTGGATTTGTCGATGCAGCAAGCGTCCATCCACAGAAAATCGTACCCATGGAGACGAGCAATCTCGCAAGCCTGTTTGATCTTGCGGGACAACTGCGGATGAGATAGGATGGAGTTTGTCGTAGGGATTTGCCGCGATGATGGCGAGCGTGTCTCGGAGCTGGTCGATAACGAGGACTGTAGATCCGCGATGGCCTTGTACTCCTGTTCACCCACGGCGGCCCAAGTATGCGATATAATCGCATATCGCGCAGTCTTGGGATCGGGTACGAGGACGAATTGGCCAGACCTCGTGTCGAGCAGACGCAGGCTAAGACGCTGTTAGCACCCGCGTATAGAACAGTGCCCGGTGACTGCACTTACACACTATAATTACCGGACATGTCGTACAGATAGCCAGACCTAGTATAGCAGGGTGCTTCACAGAGATGCGCGGGATGGTGTCGGCGAGGGTGGATGAGGCGTTGAGACGAGTTCAGATCGGGAAGCTGGAAGCTCGAGCGACGTACTAAGCGCCGAAGCGGATGGTGGTCCGAGGCGTCACCACGGTATGTCTTCTCTGTCTAGCGAAAGGAGCTTCTTGAAGCGCATGATCATATAGCGCCACAGCATTCCAAGTGAACGAACCTTGTTTTTGAGACCGTCACGATGTCGGTGTTTCGCCGACGAAGATCAACAAGAGATCGTGGCAGGTATAACGCGAGACGGCCCAATCTAGGAGACTATTCACATCGATAAAAACAAAGACCATGGTGAGTAGACGTCGGAGACGGACATTAGACACCCTACGTACAGATTGTATAAGGTCTGCTATCCGGCAGGAATCGCCGGAGAAGACCACCGCATTCTACTGTAAGCAGGACTTGCAGCACAAGATATGTCCTGAGCCATCTCCTGAGAATGCAGGGCAGAGATGAAAGAAAAGCCTGCCGCCGAAGCCGAGAGCGACCTCGGTCAGGAGACGACCAGACTGAGAGTGAGAGCGGAAATGAGTTTCTCTGAATCAGCCAAGCGCTGGTAAGAAACGCTGCTTCAGGGCAGGTTCACTCATCGGACGGACGGTGTTTGTTTGCCGCGGATGGCGCGCGGCTTTCTCCCGACAACCAATTCGATCTCTCCCTTGACTTCTCGCCCCTCATCGGAAGCCAAAATAATCCACCCAGGCCACCGTGTCCCACAGTCCCGGGTGTTCATGTGTATTTGATGTCTATCGTCAACTTGGGTGAACTACAGACCTTGCGTGACCCTCGGTGCCACGTCCCCTGATCTATTTCCACAGGTGCGCACGTTATATTGAACGCGGAAGCATCGGAGCTAGTAGCCACGCGTTGTTTCCGACACACGGTGTGCATTAATTACTGCCTAATAGCCCTTGGTGTTGTAGCTGACTCTTCTCTCTTGGACGTATCTTGCTAGGAACTTCTCACCCAAACTGATGTGCTGTGATCATGCCCACTCCGTCAGGGTTACGGGAAGCGTCCCCTCCGCTCAGCCTACCGGCGTCATCGGAACACATGTTAGTGCTATCATAGCTCTTCGTCATGAAAACATCCCCTGCTAACACCATCTACTTCTAGAGCCTTTCTCTGAGATCTCTCCTGCAAATAGAGCAATCCGTCGAAGACATCTCGGAGATGTTCCTGCGGGTAGACTATGTCCTTGACGACGTCCAGGCAGGGGACACGACAGACGACGTCGTGCCAGTATCATCCTGGGACACGCATCACCAGGTGAGTTCATCGACGTACACGATCAGCTAAACGTATACTATATCGACGTCGATGGGCAGATTTTCCTGCGAACCGCCGCAAAATGCCGCAGTATTTTGCACAACACCGTGGCCATCATTGACGGTGCGTTTGGACTCTATATATCTCGTCGTGATCACGTTGATTCTTGCTAATTCGTTTATAGTATGCAGACCATTTTTGCTCATAGACATCGGTTCGTCCTCGTACGACGACGCGAATACGGGGTTCAAGATCACAGAAGAAGTTAGAGGCTCCCGCTCTACATCTCCTGGCCGGAGTATTACTCATGGTCCGATCATACTACAGCTAGTACGGACCAAGGTGGCTTGCGGTAAAGGTGGCTCGCAGGACCTGAGCAAACTCGCTCAGGCAATTCCAAAATTCGGAACCCATCTCGCCCCCACGACCTCCTCATCTGTGTCAGCCCCACGCGCAAGCCGTGAGGTGATACCCAGGTACCCAAATCTGGTCCGCTACGTCATCGGGCTACTCCTGAGCTCCCAGAGGCGGTGATGATACTCACGCCGCATCTATGACGAGCTCGCTAAATGTGCTATGTTGATTATTATAGGATATCCGTCCATCGATTAACAGCCGGTATTGCCTTCGCACTGGTACGTGGCACTATGCACTACTCTTCGCCTTGGCTAATGATGGGCTCCTATAGCGGATACTACTGAGATATCCCTGGTCATACGTCGCTAATGCACCGCGGCGTGAGTTTCTTTCCTATGCTGTATCCTCGCGATCACTATTCACACCCAAGACTAACGAACACGCAGGTGCCACCTCTCCCAATATAAGCTGCCACACGCCACCGCTGGTGGCGGAACCCGACCCATCATACCCAGATACGATGATATACGACATAAAGTGCACCGCGGCAGAAATAGAGCGCTTCTCCCTCACCTGGTTGGAGGTGTGTGTCGACCGCATGGTGGACTGCGCTTCCCCGCATAGACCTCAATTCTGATTGGTAACGATAGATCGCAAATGAAATGGAATCGTGGGCGGACTACCTGGCTCACCGCGCCTCCTTCTCCGATGGAACCGCCTACGAGCTAGGGGAGCGCGATGTAGTGAGTCATGTCTGCTTGTCTTCTTGCGGCGGACTGTGGACTGGGGCGTTTATACGGCGAGTCCGGCACCAGACGTTCTGCAACGCGATTGCCGGAATATGGGATGCGATCATGGATATGCGGCACGCTAGCCTCGTCCGGATGTATGCGAAAAAGCCAGCAGACGCGCAATTGTAGGGGGAGGGGTGCTGTCTGGGTGCCGATGCGCTGCGGTTCAAGGACGAAACACTGAATATCCAGAGAACCACATGTCATTCGAGACGACCGGGTCACCGATTATATATACGAGCGGCCTGATGTTCAGCCCCGTCGGTATGAAAGCATCTCCGTGGCAGCGGCTTTCCGCATGTTCTAAGCCGCGTCAGAGCTTGCGCTTCATCGCTCGGAAAGGTTTGTTCCTACGCGACGTAAACCGTCAGTAAAGACCAAGGCTTAATAAATGAATCGTTTACCTTTAATCACGCATAGAGGTCCAGATTGATGCAATAGTCATCTTCACATCGTAGTTCTGTACGCAGAATAAGTCAAATGATCACTTGGAACACGATGAGACACGCACAGAACATTTCTTGTGTGTAGTCTAGGGCTTCATTCACGGAGTTGTAGGGCTGCCCTCAAATCAGGATGTAGGTAATACCATTGAGGTGCCAGTGGCGCGCACACATACCTTTGAAAATGCCAAGTGTGTGCCAATACGGGAGAGATAATCCGCGTGGCATCGTCCACGAGGTCCCCTTGAAGGCACACACATCAGCTACCGTTTCTTTGCACACGGCGTCCAGCGGAGCACGCAAATTTCAGCCGGCTCTCGAGAATCGGGGGATGATGCTCTACAGAAGAGCCATGTTCTGCTCGATTTAAGTGTCCAACGTGTACCCTGAGGCCGGTCGTACCTATTTCCATTCTGGAATCCATGTATCGGCGCCGTGGAAGGTGGACTGGCTCGTGTTGACGACCATCTCGTAGGATAGGGAGATGTGGTAGATGGGTGTGTATCAGGGAAATCACTGGGATGTCCTGGCGCGGCATTCCTCGTCCGGGATCTGCCACAGGGCACCGAAGGGAAGCTTTCAGTGTGCTCCGCGAGAGGATAGGGCGCAGCGGGTGTTTGTGATCACCTCCTGCATTGTATTGGGATCCTCGATGAACACCAGCCCCTCATGATTGCGGCCGTGGTTCTGCTGGCGAGCGTGAGTGAGCCCACTGTCGTATGTCGGCGTGAGCATCCCTCCGACGTGGAGTAGAGTTTTCCTACAACGCATATCAGCACAATAGGCCTGGCAATATTGAGATACATGCCATCGGAAATGATCTGCCACCGCCTAGATTGAAGACGATGCAGACCCTCTCCAGCCACTGGATGACCTGTACCAATCAGCATCATGGCTGCGGATAGGGGTAGACAATCGAACCCATTCCGCGCGATGCTCCTTGCAGGTGAAGCTGAGCTAGGGCGGCTCGTGCTTCGCGCTCTACGGAACCCGGGCCGAGCTTCGGGGCCGGGTGAATCGGAGATTCGGAGGTCAGGCGCCGTACGCGTTCCTTTTCCTTCTTCCTCCACGTCGCGACGGACTCGCTCACCGACTCGTTCCCTCTGCGCGCGCCATCGTTTTCCCCCGCAGTGTCCTCAAAAGTCGCCGCATGTCTTTCAAACACCACACCTACTTGGGCCGGATCTTGGCGTACTGCTCACCACTCGGGCTCCTCCGTACGGCGCCGACACTCCCTCACCGTTGGTCCCGCAGCGTCACTAAGGACGTGAGATCCGAAATGAGGTGGGACCTGCAGTTAATCTCCAAGTATCTGGACGGGAAGAACAGGACGGCAGTATATTACTGGGCCAGGTGAGTCACGCACAGCTTGAAGATCAGTATAGTCGTAGGGACGGGCTCGTTCTCTACATCCTGTTCATGTCCTCTATGTGGATCTACGGAGACCTTCGATTTCTCGGAATATCTACACATTTCTCACAATACTTACATTACGCTGGCTTGCGCAGAATCTCGTACACGTCTACTCAAGCTGCGACTTCTGATTGTCTCTCTTGCGCTGATCCATAACGGTTCACTTCTCCCTGGTCTCGGGAGGTCGATAATCTACAATCGGAGACACAGAGTGCTACGCAATCATCCTCTCTGCCGCACTCGACTTGGGAGACCGTTCTACGCACACGGTTATTGCCCTTGCGCTGGTAACAAAGCTCGGCCAGCCTTTCCTCCTCAAGCACCGCATACGATATGCTCTCTCGCTCGTCACTGCGCCTCCATCACAATCTGCGGTATCCTTGCTACTATACTCTCCAACTCACTATCCATGAGGCCACTCGAATAGACCGCGCTTCATTCTTTCCGAGTAGGTCATTATCCTACTACAGCCTCCTGCAATCTGCACTGAAGTTAGCGATCGGTCGTGAGCGAGATCATGTCCTTGCCGTTCTCAAGTCAGTATCACCTGCTTTCGGACCTTTCCGTTGTGGGGTATGCGAGCTTTGTAGGCGCATTCCTTCCCAGAGATCTCCGAGGATTGAGGATCCGCTTTGCATCAGCCTCTCCGTACGTTACAGACGCATCGTTTGTTCCTTCCATGCTTCCCGCTTATGAGCTGTTGGCAGATCCTTCATTTCAACATCACACTGTTTACATCTTTCCTCTTCTTGTGGCGGGAGCGATTTGTAGGCTGGGTAATCACAACGGGAGGTGACGAGTTAGAAGACACCGCGATAGTTGCGTCGTACGTCCCCCTCGCGCTCAGCGAAGATGAGAACACCGTGTCCGTGGCAGAGCCCAAGTCTATATTGAAGGCGTCCAGCGCGCCTTCTATACAAGATATGTGGCTTGCGAGCTGACGTCGACGAAGCATGTGCCTCTATGCAAGTCCACATATCGCACGATCGATAAGGTGTCAGATCTTCAGACACTGAACTGTTCGCGCATACAGTCTGCGTTTATTGGGCAAAACGTCCCAGCTTCACCACTCTCCGACGTCTGCGCGTCACAACGGCTTTGTATTTTGGCGACAGTATCACTATTAACTAGGTGTGTTCTTTCATTCCTTGTTGCGTGTAAGTATACATTGCTCATATGTAGTAGAACATCTCGCCCACCGCCGTATATCCTCGACCCACGAGGAAATTGGACTGGCACATAAACGTGCTAATACAGTGCATCTGGGTTCACTAAACGCTCGGGTAGGTCCGTCATCGTATACGTGCATCATCGTCTCACATTCACATATCGACTGGTATCTAAGCTCATATTCCAGAGCGCAGTTCTCCCTCGAGCTCGTCAATCGCGCTCGAACATCGGCCGCTTCCCGCCACGTTGCAATGCGCGAGCACGTCGGGGTTGTCGGCGACAACGGCGCAACGGAAGGCAAGCGCGGCGATAGGGGTGTACCAGACTGTGAGGCTGTAGGGCTGATGAGCGACTGGGCAGTTGAATGCCGGTGGTTCGCGCGACACGTGGCTGTCGCATTCACGTCCTGCGGAGAGACCATGGGAGACAATGGAGGAGTGATGAGAAGGTTCGGCTCCAGGTTCTGAGGCGATCGTCGAGCTCGAATGGTCATGCCAGAGCTGGGCTCGTCCAGGTCCATCGGAGGCGGCTGCTCATGTGACATGATGATGGGTGCGGCGAGCGCCAAAGGCGAGGAAATGGAAGAGGGTGTCGACGAACGCGTCTGGTGGGTGCTGACTGGCTGCCAGTACATAGGGACAGGCGCCGCATACTGACGGTAGACTCGAGGGACTCATCGTGGCCACTGATGCGCTGTCACGACTGGTGTCACGACTCGAGTTGCAGGGAATGGGTGATGCAGATGCCACAGGCGTCGGGTCCGCCAAAGACTGCTGAACGCGTACTCCGACGTGGTACTCGAATGGTCGTGACGCTGGTCGTCCTGACCCTCCTGACCCTCCTCGCCTTCGCTCTCGCCCGAGTCATCCGAGTCACCCTCCTCGCCGTCGTACGCAGAGAGAGTCTGCTCGACACGCTCCTCCCACTCCTGCCTGATCTTCTCCGAGTACTTGATGGTGTTCTGCATGCGCATGCCATTGTCAATCTTCTGGCGCATGATGCGCTCTGCAGGTGGATCGCGGATCTGGGACATCTTGCGCTCGGACGCGGGTGACAGGAGATGCTGGCGCTCGACTGGCTCCGTGGAGTCCTCTTCCTTCAGCACGGGGATGGACACATCGGCAGCGAGTGACAGGATGTCCTCGAGCTGCTCGAGGATCTGGCACTGCAGCTTCTTGACACTGAAGCACTTCATCTTCAGCGGCGCGCGCAGAAGCTGCAAGGACGATGAAAAGCCCGGCGACATCGAGGGCGTGTAGATGGGCATTCCACGGTACTCGGGGACGGGTGGCATCACGGAAGACGTGCCAGTTGGATGGGGCGAGGAGCTTTGACACTCACGTACCAAAGTACTCCTAGGGGCCATTTCTGGAAGCGACACGAGTTAATGCAAGGCTATCGAAGGAGCGAAGAAAAGGCGTACCCAACGACCCACCCCGTTCCAGGTGTAATTCACCCGTCCGGACTAAGCTCCGTGTCGATGTTCTGGTTCTGCGCAGTCTCCGCCTGTGGACGCAGACACTCCGTCGCAAGTACGCGCGCGGACTCGTTGCAATCGAACTTAGATGGTGTGCTCTTCGGGTGCTCAAGTTGGTGGTTGCAAGCAGGTGTTGGGGGAGTTGGGCAAGAAAGGTCGTCTTTGTCCTCGATGACTGGCCAGTGGTGTCCGAACGGGAGGCACAGGGTCGCGATGTGCTCCCGGCAGCTAAGTAGACATTGTAAGCAGGCTTCATATTGAGATATCATAGCACTCACAAGATTGTTTCCCATAACGTCTGGCATGAACTCCACCACGGGCAAGTTTATTCGGGACGCAACGGAGGTGTGAGGCGTGCAACGAGAGCCGGTGAGATACAGCTTTGAGCGCCGAGTGTTATGGTGACGTGAGTGTCACCCTACTGTGACTTTCCCAGGGCTTCTTTTATCACCTGGAAGGCATATGCACACCCTCCTCCCGCAGTCTAACTGCCTATAGAAATATCCTATAAGGTATAAGATGACGGAAAGGAGATGCAAGAAATATATTTGGGAGTCATCTGCTCTTTGGGGCGGTGCAGAAATAAGTGAGCACAATTCTTAAGGGAGTGTCACACAGGAATCAAGGCGCTGAGGCGCGGGAACAGCGCGACCTTCAACAAGCTTGTGGGGATCAGTCGCCAGAACGCCGCTAACGCGGTCGCTGTTTTGAACAGTATGTTTCAAGATGGATACGTATTCTTGAATGGTGATGAGAACACGGTCGATGTTTCAAGACTTTCCGATTCCACAAAGAATCGGTCTTGCCTATGAGAAATGGATTGGTCACGTGAATCCAGGCGAACCCGGCTTCGTCCGCGGGTTTCCGTAGATTTCCTTCACTTCGGGGCGCTTGAATAAGCTTGCCTTTGTTTGTCCTTTGTGGCGTCTGCGCCTCGCAACATGGATGCGGTTCACTCAGTGTCACTCTGCGTCCTATTCGCCTCGTCGCCTTTTCAGTATCGTCCCCTCTATTCATGTATTCCCCTGGATGCCTCGATAAAGCCTTTCTTGCGCTTTGATATCACTATAGGCAATCCATGTTGATGGCCTACAGACGCTGCGAGAGCTGATAAGCTGTAAGTGCCTTCAACCTTGCCAGCGTTATCCACTCATATCGAGCAGTGGTCTCTAACTCGGTCTGCTTCTCCGCAGGTATTCAACACGCCGAGAATATGTATTCAGATCGATACGTGGCCGCGGACGTCATTCCGCCGTGCGACTTGTTCGCTTGTTTTGTGAGCTGTATCCAGCAGCCGCATTTTGTTCGAGCTTTCCAAGCTCTGATTTACATCAAGGACCCCGTGAATCGTCGTCGCCGTCTCCCGTTAGCGGCGAGAAAGTATTTCAATTCTGATAAGGGAACAATGTCGTGTCTCGGGCACATCCAGAATATGGCTAGCGCAGCTTGTTGAAGGCAGCTCCTGGAGGCGCATCTGTGGCAATTAGACACTGTGTGCCCCCCGCGACGTAGATGACGGATGTCAACGTACGTGGGATGCGCAGTCGCCTCTTCAACCCACTGGTTCACTCGAATTCCGGGCACCCGTCCCAGCTGCACCAAAATACCACAGCGCAGATCTACGGAACAAGACGTGTGTTCGTAGCATGTCCCAGCGCCCTACGAGCAGAAACGGTCCCGTCGCTTTGCGCGCCACATCATATGGTGCAGACGCACCCGTGCACCGTCTGCACCACTCCGTTGCGTCCTCCTACGTAGAATGAGGTTCACGCCTAGCCGCGGGCGGGACCCGCCGACTGCCGCATGTGAAATCACTTCTGTTAGTAGGCTGTCTGTAAGCCGCCCATTCTAATCGGAGGCTGCCGCTGCCTCCCATGTGGTGTGTGAGACTGGGGCTGGGGTCACCGCAGGCTGCCCATGCCTCTATCTCCGGGAGGTCGCAATGCTGTCCCGTTGTCTTGTAGTATGCAAAATTATGAAAAATATCTTGTTAGGCAAAATTTGGAATCGGAATTGGCGTGCGGAGCATCGCCGTACACCCTCAAGTTACTGCTATATTCCCGGAGGGAGCAAGAATCGAGAAGGACGACTGCGATGATCTCAAGGCCGAGGTGCAGAATTTTATTGCCGTGAGTGTCGCATTCAGCTCCTCCTATCGGTGGGTCTGTATGATTCGTCACTGACTTTCACCATTGAAGCGCCTCAGGAAGAACAAAGAAGAAGCACATATCATTGAAGGAGGACTCTCTGCCCTAGCGGGGAACATCCGCTCGTTCGAGGTCACGCTTGAAAAGGCCGTCATCGAAAGCACTCACGCTGTGTCTTCTAAGTTCCAAGTTGCAAGAGGCCCGCCAAAAGGTCGCGGATCTCCACATGCAGCTCACCCAGTGCGCGAATCTTCACACCTATGCCGTCTTACATACACTGATTTTGCAACGCCGGCAGGGTCAAATCCGATGTGAGAGGCGGAAGACCCGTGTTGGAATTGCGCATACTCACTTCCTGCATAAATGACCCACGTCGGCTTGGCATGTGTGGCCTGCCTGTCTGCTGGAGCAATTTCCGCTGCGTTTCTTTTCTTCACGCTATCCCCGACCGCCGCCCACGCACTGGTGGTAGGCCAAATCCCACTTTTCGTACGCTTCACGTCTCATACGATCCCCCCCCTTATCAGGGTTCTCTCCTCGCCCTCGTGCCCACGGCGATAGAGTTAAAAAACAAGATCGAAGAGTCCAAAGGTAAACGTGAATCGTCTGTACGTTCCTGGCACCATAGACTGACACGTTTTTGGAACTCAGGAAGCAGCTCAAGCTCGAAAGCAAGCACGTCTCTGACCTATCCAAAGAAGCCGACTTTCTCAAGGCGTATCATGACGCTCTCAACAAGACCAACGCCAACATTGAGGGGCTCTGCACGAAGATCGACAACATCGCGGGCATCTGGCATGCGGTTCGCCGTCTCCCATGTCCTCCGACCACGTTCGCGCTCGGCTAACCCGCCGATTTGCTGTACAGCTCGAATCCGACTTCATGATCCTACTCGGCCAACTGGAGAACATTGCCGGCCCGGAGATCAACTACACCAGGGTATGCTTCACGGAATTTCGCGGGCCAGCCGCGCTGCGGCGCTACGATAGCTTATATGTGTCGTTTTCAGTTGGTCAACAAGAAGGTCGCGACGCCTCGTAGGATGTACGCCGAGCTGTCGCGTCTGTTGGAGGAATATGTGCGTGGAGTGGATAGCGCCCCTGTCGCCGAGGACACCGAGGACGAGTAACTTGGGCGTATGCAACCTACAGGCCAATTCCTTGTGTATATGATATCAAACCATCCTAGTGTGTGCGAGCGTCGAGGATCGGTGTTCTCGTACAATGTAGTCTTGTAATCATTCTCGTCGCTCAATATGAAATTATGAATATCTGTACTCGTAGCACGTGGGCCTATGCTGAACCCCGCAAAACCAGGAAGGATTACACACCCCAGTACTAGTGGCATCGGGCACCCCATACCTTCAGAACGTCCGTGATACCTTCGTGAGGGTCATCCGTGCGATTGTAAATCCGCTCGTACTGACGCTCGTTCTTCAGCCCGTTCGGCTTCTTGTCCCCGTGAAGCTTCTGCGTCCCCGCGATGCCGGGCTTGCGCAATACGACGTGCATCGCGTACTCTATGTTCGCCTTGTCCATATACCTCCCGTGCTTGGCTTGCTCAAGGAGTTTCTTGTTGAGAAGCCGGTGCCGGCCTGCTTTGAAGCGCACGCGGCCCCCGTCGAGCGCAACCGCCTGGCGGAACACCCGAGTTTCGCGGTACAAAAACGCGAACGAGAGCGCGTGCAGAAGTTTTCCCGCAGGCGCGACGAAGTACCTAAGACAGTTTGTGTGAGAGTCAACAGACGCAGGTAGAGGGAGCGCCCCGAAGGCCGATGAAGTCGATTGCGACGTTGTTGCAGAATGCCCTCTCAGAACTATGGATTCTTCCACCCGGCCCCACTGTTGAGCATGAGCATGTTGTACGCGAATGGGAGCGGTCTTTTGCTGCACGCAGGTAGAAATACAACCTGCCCGAGCATTACAACATCTAGGGCAAGACAGACGAGTGCCAAAACGTACCTTGTAAACCATCTCAGCAAAGGCGCGGGCGGTGTATGTGTCTTCGGACCTGCGACACTTCTATGTCGCACGGCCCAGTTGTGCTCGTTTCACTGCGTCGGCGTTAGCTCAGAGCGCATCCATGCCACGATGAGCAGTCCACTCACCATGTGTCCCTCTGTGAGCCCAAACGTAGCGCTACTCGCCCTCGTGGAAATCCTGTGTGAGCTTCCCCTGGTCGAGTAGCGAACAGGGTGCGAGTTGCCCGCTGCGAAAGGGATATAGCTTCTCGCGTTGCTCAAGATCCTACATGATGGCGATGCGGCATGGCTGGTAGCAGAGCCTGTTGGGAAATATTTCAGAAGATGCAAACTTTATCGCGAACGCCAGGACTGAAATGGGTTCAGCGATTTGTTCGGTGCGGCAACGCGCCTGCGCGCTGGATCCACAGAACGACACTCCACTTGCGAGGATGGGGCCCGCCTCGCTCTTGTTGGAAACCGAGGCAGTGAATGTACACAGGAGTTCCGGAATCAGGTTCTTGGTGAGCGCTGTCCGGAGATCGTCGATGAGGTTCTTGTTCGTGAGGTAGGTGGCAGAGAAAGTACGGTAGAAACGAAGTACGGTAGAAACGGGTCCCAGCGTCTGAATACAACTTCGCTAGGTGTTTGTGGATAAGTGAATCAACATCGCACAGGTATTGTAGCACTCACCAACAGTTTCAGAGGTACGTGCTACGATGAGGACGACCGAAACGCGCGAGCGAGGAGTGTATATTGAGGAGGCCGCAGCGTGAGGGAAGCAGGTATTGCTGGTACGTGTGTCGCCAGACCAGGTACGTGGGGAGCCTTGCGCCGGCCTGTCTGGCGGGTGCTTTTTCGATGGGTTTGTTCAAGCTCAATCCTCAAGGGCAGGTCCTACGTCATCTGGTGAGTCATCGACGTCTAACGCTGCGGTAAGAAGCTCCCGCCGCTGCCGTAATGAGCGATGCGACTCACGAAGTCCCCAAGCATGATGGCTTTTCGTGCAGACATCATTGATCCCCGAATCTTTGACGATACCATGCTAGAGGCAGGTGAAGTTGAATCGAAGCGGTGGTGGGCGGAAGAGTCGAGTGAGAGAGCATGCGCGTCGGGCCAAGAGGTGCGGGGCCTGTCAAGCGAAGTCACACGGTCACGTGGCCGCGCTTCTCCCGCCCGCGCCGTGCCCCCGCCTGAGCGCGCGGCTTCTCGAGGCGGCGTAGGGTTCGGTGAAGTGCGTCCGGGCTATATATACTGATATCTACTGGAAAATGAGTACGAGTCCCCGTCTATTTATCGATGCACTCCAAGTGCGCCGCTTACCACCTGCGTCCATCCCCAGCCAGGCCCTTTTATACTGTACGCCGCATCTAGTTGTTGCCCGGCGTATTCTTGCAGCGGCGTAGCTACTAAGACGACATGCCGCTCATCTACATTGCTATCAAGAACTATCGTGCACTACAAAAATTTTGCGGTCAGTTGGGCACATCTAAAAAAAATGCTCGTCATCATCCTTTGCAACTGAGCTATCAGCCAGGTTCCGCGAGATGCAACCGGCCCGGTCCTGTCGGATGCTAAAATGCGCGTGAAGTCTTTGCGTGCTTGGAGAATTTGCTTTTACCGTTCTGTGAGCCCGCTGGACTCCTGCTACAGGTAGGCGGGCCATAGAGCGGATGCTCACTGGATATCGGAGCTCGTCACAACTTGATACGGTCTTGTAGGGACCGACACGGAAGTGAAATCAACGCGGCATGATTTTCCACTCCCGGTAACACGTCTTGTGGGTGAGGATGGTCCGGACGGCTCAGGGGGAGCAGCCACGTCAAAAGCGGCACCTGCGCACAAAACGTTGGGTCCAACCAGGCAGGTGACGATGAGAGATGGTGTGCTGAGGGCAGAGTGGGATGGCGTACGGGGAGAAGTGGATCGTGCGGACAGGAGTATGGGAGTTGCGTCCGGGCTGAAGTCTGCTGGCCGCCGCAGCCAGATAGCCACGAGTGCCGCCAAATTAATCCTGTTTTATATGCGTACATTTGAGCTAGAGTAAGTTCTTCTGCGTGTTCGCCCAAGCCTGAATCACAACACACTCGTCACCTAGGTTGCGATGCGTGTGAACTCCCCTGCAAGTGTATGATGCACCATCGGTGCTTGAGATCGTCCGTCGGGCGAGACGCTCGGGCTCGGAAGAGATATCCTTCGGAATACCGCGTTCCACGCAGTACACGGCAAAGGAACACGACTAAGCCATTTACCGCGGCGACCTGCACGATCATCAGCGATATGCCCACGCAATCAATAATCCCAGACTCACCATCGCGGAACCCACTTCTCGCTGCTCACTTCGTGTCCTTCACCGCTCGAATTCACAATTTCCAGCAGGAAGTAGAGCATGCAGGGTACCTATCCCAAAGCCTTCTCGCTGCCAGAGTCGTATCCCGTGCCACATATCAGCCACGATCGGCCGGTGTACTATCGCCCCCTCGCGCCCGGGATTTAGAAGTAGTCACTTTGCAATGGCGTTGATGGCCTGTTTGGGAATGAGCTCGACGCTCTCCGCCTCCAGCGCTGCCGAGTAAGCAGAACGCACACACGGACTGCCCAGAGGGTCCTCCGAACCCGAGCCAGTTAGGACAGTAGAGGCAATCTTAGTGACGAGTGCAGAGCTTATTGGCGGACGTGGGTGGCCTCTGCAAACTGATAGAAATACAGGAATTCGGTGCGGTGCAAATTTTGGGGACAGCTGGAGACAGACCGCGGCGTGGATGAATGACAAGATACACTTCGCGTAGGGATACTATATGTTACAACATTGGAGATGAAAACGTATACAACTAGACACCAGCCTCAGATCATATCGCGGCTTGCAATCGAGCACAACCGCACGAACAAAAACCATACAGAAGTGAAACCTGGACCAAAGTGATGGGCGCCGCAATTGTCGTAGTTGTACTACGTGATACAGACCTCCTGTTCTCGGGCCGTCGCGGAGATCAATTTGGGACCTGCCGCACGTACAAATCCAAGCATTCGGTCAACCGCACGAACATTGTGCGGCTAGCCTCGATCTTCTTCATCAGGAACTAATGGCAGAGGTTTGACGTTAGAAATTGGTACAAGAATTGGAAAGTTGGTGCATGTCAGGAGACGTAGAGGGGAAGTGGCAACAACGATGTTACTCCCGTAGCAGAGGCCCAGATCTGTTTCGAGGGCTATCAAGTCGACCCGGAGCTAAGGGAGAAAGGGTATGATTACTAGCTCAGGATGACATGCGTCAAGTGCCTTGGTAGGTGCAGCGCCTCACAAGGTGGTAATTGACTTACGTTGTGCCAGATATCGGCTATAGCCTGAATGCGCTTCGCGACGTTGCCTATGTCTCGCAGAACGGTGCTCCTACAGTGCAGGTCGAGTAATTAGAGAATACACCGCTCTAAGGAAGAGCCACTTAAGCACGTACTTCGCACTCTCTGGTTGTACTTCCGATCACAAGTCGCAGCGTGTGAGTACAGCAATAGGAGAGTGAGAACGAGCTGTCAATTACCTGATGGTCCGAAGACGGCTTGCTAAGGCTCTACTATCAGAAGTGCTTGATAATCGGATGAGACAGACGACCCACCAATGCGTATATAGCGGCCGTGGGTGACAGCGTAAGTAGAGCTTTGGCAACGCGAGGGGCCAGCGTGGCCGCCATGGCCAGATACGTCGATTCCTGTTTAGAATCCTGTGTAACAGTGAGAATCCATGCATGTGTGATATGCGCCGCACTTATACCTCGTCGGGTATGCTTAAGATCATGGTGTGAGAGTGCCGCCACTGACAATACGATCACACTAAACTCACATGGTAATCTTCTCTTTCAAAGTTTCTATGTTCTCGAAAGCCGTGTTCATGTCTTCAGTGAGATGCTCGTCGCCGCTGTTCAAGTTCATGGTGAGCTTGACTTTATGCTCGAAGTCACCGATGTCCTGGGAGATCTGGCGGAAATCGTCGCGAACGGCGTCCGTAGCGGAGATATGCTCTTGGACTTTCTAGTAGAGGACGCGTTAAAACATCGTCATGTCGCATGCAGTAACAATGTTTACCTCTTGAAAGATCTTGATCTCCGCCGCCAAGGCTTGACTGTTGCACTTGAGGTCCCCTACTTTGCCCAAGACCGCATCGGCATACACTGAAAATCAAACGGATCATAGGTTATTTACCCTGAAAGCAAAAAAAAATAGATGGGGAGCCTACGATGCATGACTGTTGATGCGGCTGCGGCGCTGTCACGGCTTTTGTCGACGTACTTGTTGAATCGCTGTAGAAGGGTTGATGGTCACTCGTGTATGCCGAGCGAGACATAAACAGATGGAACATACCGTGCGGAAGTCCGCCCACTGGGGCGCGAGCGCACCCTCGGAGTTGGAAGACTTGGCGTGTTTATGGTCGAACGCCTGAAGTGGGCGCATGACTTTGTCAAAGAGCCCATTGATAATAACGATGTTCTTGCGAAGCTGATCGATGTCCTTGGAGATCACCTCGCCAGCATCAGCGCTATTGTAATAGGCGATTGTGCGAGTACATGCTTCCGGCCCAGAGAGAGAAGCGAGTGGGGAGGGACTAGACATCGTAGGAAGTGGGGAAATCTGAATTTCGTCCGCCCGTATCGACGCAGCTTTATATGGAGTCGGGAGCCGACGAGGTACGGCATGTCTCTAGCCGAAACGAGACGTCCTCCGTTAGAAGGTTTTCAGTTCATTTATTGAATACTACAGCCCCCAATACTCGGCGCAAACGTACAACCCGAATACCGGACTAAGGACACTTGCAGCAGTATGCTGAGCAGAATATACAAGTGACGCCAACGCCGCTCGCTTTTCTCCGCTTCTCAGTGTTCGAAACCACAAGTACGGACAAACACAGCACATAGACAGAAATTGCAACACTGCACGCGGAGAAATTGTGACCCATGTCCATACTCTAACACTACCGTGCGGTTCTTATATCCGAACTTTATTTGCAACTTGGAAACGTTCAAGGCGACCACCTTCTTCTAGACGGCACCGCCTTGGCCGAGAACGTCTGATAGCTCTCACCCCATTCCTCTTCCGACGTTTCCACAAACATGGAGGAGCTCAGGGGTAGTTCTATGGATGGATCTTCACCGGCACCGACCACATCCGCAGAAATCGTCTACGTATCCCCAGTCGCCCTCTTACATAAGCCTGACTGCTGCAGACTCGATCCGACTTCGTGATGAGCGCCGGTCTGGTCCACCACGAGCACACTGCCAATGAACTTAGAGGCATCCATCTCATTATTTGGGCAGGAACTCTTTCCGCTGACACAGAAGGTGGGCTAGCCCTGCTTCACGGTCCACCACGATGCTCATTCCATTCGCTTCATACTCAAGTGTTTATTCTCGAAAGGCTATATGGACGCTCGTTATTCGAGACCCGTGCTCTCGGAAGTCCACCCGCTCATTTATACCATGCATATACGATACGCGGAGGACCCCGTCCGTATCGGACGTAGGAAAATATCTCTACTAGCAGCGTAGTTATAGATTTGCGGCTACAGATACACTCGTACATTTTCATGCAGGTATGCTAGGTCCATGATCTCGCTGATCTCCTGCTCACAGTTCGAACCCAATCGCCTCTTTAGACCTGGGGCTGACGCGCCCCCTAATACAGCGATACTTGGTGCGCGTAAAGCTCCAAACACTCCGTGAGCCGGCTGAACACGGTGCGACTGACGTCAATCTTCTCCATGAGAAACTGTATTTCAGGTGTCAGCGAAGAATGTGAACATCAGCGGGGCGGCAGGGACCTACGATAGACTGAGAAACGTTCTCTTCCATGGAGCATACTTCCAAGTTCGTCTCGAGTTCGGTTAAGTCAACGTGCAGCTGTTATGAGAAAACGACGACGTGAGTCAGCGGTAAGAGATAAATGGGGAGAAGAACATGATGCGTCCTGGGTGGAGCGCACGGACACTGTAGGGACAGGGAATGCGACCCACATGATCCCAGATCCTGGCGATGGCCTCGATGCGCTTGGACACGGCGTGGATATCCTCTTGAGTGTTGGCCCACCACTCCTGATAGTAAGGACGAAGCGCCGGTGGGATGCGGTTCCGTTCGAGTAGCATGGGCATCTGCGCAGCGCACTGCTCTAGCTCCGCTTGCGCTAGTATACCCCCGAGGTAAGCACTTCACACTAAAACCCGGTGAGATACATAGCGGCTTACCTCGTTCACGCTGAGTGTCCTCGTTGGTTGCTGGTCCGACACAGGCAACCCGCTTTGCCCTGGCATCAGCCGCGTTCAGAGGAAGGATATGTACAACTTACCATCGCCCTCAATGCAGCCATGGGTGATAGGGTACACAGCACCTGCGCAGCGTTAGGGGCGCACGCGGCCATCTTCGCCAGAAAACCTGACTCTTGATCCGTTATCTGCGCGGGGTGATCGGCCGTCTGAGAGCTGAACGTGATGACTGCTGTCCTACCTTGTCAGATATACTGACCGCGATTGTGAGCGAGCGTATCAGGTAAACATATCCTGAACAACAAGACACGTACGCTGCGACCTTTTGCTTGAGATTTCCGATGTTCTCACAGGTCTTGATCATAATTGCGTCGATGGGGATGTTCAAGCGCTTGACGGTGCGCTTGATCTTCCGCTCGAACTTCTGCACGTTTTCCCCCAGGTCCTTGAAGTTTGCACGGGCTTGCTGGGCAGCACGCGTATGCTTTTCAATTTTCTGGACACTGGTGAGCATATTGTCTGTCCTCTAGAGAATGGGCATGCCTCCTTGAACATCTCGATCTGGTCCAACAACGCCCGAACATCGCAGTTGATCCTCCCAACACTACCCAGAACTGCGTCGGCGTACGCTTTCCAAATTGATGCAGAGTCAGTAATCGCGAACAGATCGGCATCATGAAATAGAGGTACTCACCGCGCATCATAGTGGTTGCGGCGGCGGCGCTGTGCCGGCTGTTGTCGACGCAGGCGTCAAAGAGCTGAATGGAACGAGTAAACAGGTCAAGGCCAGCGACATGCAACACAAGTACGTGGCAGGATATACCTTTTGAAGGCTTTCCCATTCCGGCGCGAGTTGCGTACTAGGATCAGATCCCAAGTACTCATCGTCGAATTCCTCGAGAGGTCCGACAACCTTGCGGAAGAGCTCTCTGATAGTTCCGATGTGCTGGCGAAGCTGGGTAATCTCTTGCTTGATCATCTCACCGATACTGTCTTTTTGCAGGGCGACATTTAGGTGAGTAGCTTGACCAAGACCCGGAGAAGGGAGCGGACTGTCGAGGGACATCTGAGTAGGAGGGGAAGCAGCGCGTCGGTGGACGCATGTTCGTTCGTGGCCTACTTCAGTCGTCATCGGGCCAAGGACGTTTAAAATAAGCAGAGTTAATTTGTGAATAGAGGTGCGAAAGTGGCAGGGATTGGACGCGCCGGCCGTGGGGCTGCATATGCCTGCATAGATAGGGCGCAGTGGCGCTGCACACCCAACCACAACAGGCGCCTGGAAGCGCCGTCGTACGGGTATCCCGGAGCAAACATACTCAAATAAGGGCCGCTGGCATTGATTAACTTAACACTCACTCACGATTCGTCTCCGCGATGGTGGCGCCTGAACAAACCTGAGAGGTGCGCGTTTTGCTAGAACAGATGTTCGAACGATGTCCGCTCATGAAACTGCGGCACTAGCGTGAGAGATCCGGAGAGAGATCCGGGCTGTTCCGCACGTCGCGTCGCCCACATTTGGACGTCAAATTAGCGTTTGAAGCCTGGCACGCGTGTTGAGATGTGGTAATTATTTACGGGCACGCTACAGTCAACCTTCACTCTGCCAGCGCATCGCTTCCGCTCCGTGCGTTTCCCTTCTACCACTACCCTCGCGGGCCACATCCGCCGAAGTGTTCCACCACGTTGGACAGGCTTCCCTTCCGGCATATATACCCAACTTCCCGCGTTTCGTGTGCGGGTGGTCCTCCCCTCACAACGTTCCTCTCAACATGTCCAAGCAAAGACCCCTCGCCGGATACTGCAATACTATCCGTCGCATCGCATATTTCACACAGGCCTTGGCTCCTGCCTTCCGTTCCATAAAGTGGCAGGTCGCTGAACACCTTGAATACGACAGCACGCTCGAACAACGATGGGCTCAGTTTCTCAAGGTATGTTTCTCCACCTGTCTGATAGCACTAGCCGCAACTCATACACCGTCCCAGGGAGGATTACGAAGCGGTTGTCGACGACTCACGAACTGCGGCGACCAAGTTGTCTGCGATCATGAACAGTGAGCCCCTCCGTCACGGTCAAGTCTGCATCTGCAACTCATGAAAGACGCCAGTGTACACGTCATTACTCAGTGCGTTCCAGGGAGCGGAAAGTGCTGATGTTGTGCACGAACTGGTGACATTCAAGAAGGTATGAAAACAGAATACATTTGTGCCCGTCAGCCAACTCACATGTTCTTCACTAGTCTGTCTCGGGCGCCGTTCCGAACGACTTCGAGGTTCGGCTGGAGGCCCTCAAGCGCGCTGTCAGTCAATTTTTGAGCTCGCTGTCACCACACGCAGGAAGGGCTGAACTGAAGGGGTACGTTACCGACCACAACTCTACGGCGATGATCCTGACTGGCGTAGTTCACCTGTCAGTTGGCTAGGGTCTACATCAGCCGCAATCCAAGCGGTTGTATACCACCTGCTCTGGTATGACATCTCAAATTTACGAGGCGCATCCTGCTTAACTGTGTCTTAGGACCCCATTACTCCACGTCGGCGGAATGCTCGCGCCGAGGCCGGCCAACGGATTCAACCAGGTTGGCGAGCCGAATCGAGGACAGGTTGAGGAAGGGAATACTTTTAATGAGGACCCCGACTCGGCTCAGGACGTGATCACAAACATCAAGAACACGTTGGTCTCGCTCGAAGCGCAGAAACCGCTTTTCGGCGTATTCCAACAGATCGCGGATGAGGTGAGTTGAGCGATGACAACTAGTTCGCCGTTGCATCGTTCTGATCGTCTTGTTCCAGCTTGCAGCAGAGTTCGAGCGGTACTCCGCTGCGCTCGAGGCTGTGAAGGACGTTCCAAAGTCACCGGTGAGCAGCATATTTCCTACCAGGCGTCGCGCGCCTTATCAAGTTCTTGCCTTCACTTATTACAGTCATACACCGAGGCCGTGGGGAAAGTTCACGCAAACGCCGCGTCGCGGGGAGAGGAGTGGAAGGAGCTCGCTCGGGTTCTCACCAACGAGTACGCAAGAGCTTGATACAGTGTCAGTCGCGCGCGACTCGGGATGCGTGAAGATGCCATCATGTCTTAGTCGCTCGTATGCATGTGTTGTCGCTCGAGTGCTTCAGTCGCATATCTTGTCACTATACAGACGCTCCTGTCTAGTACATCTCCCACTGTATTCATGCTGCGCAGTTTTTCCGTTCCTATACCGCTAGCGCACACGGGTGTCATGTGTACAGAATGCGATCACATTTTATGTATGAGGGTACTCGCTGTTCGCTGGTAAATTAGCTCCATGTTTGCAGGCGCAACCTCGGTCATCTGTCGGTCGGTTCAGGAATACGCAGTCCTATCCTAGGGTGCCCTTGCGGTGTATTAGTGTTCAGTGGCTCCCCGGCTTGAGCCGACACGTCAGGGAAGGAAATACAGCCTGGCAACCGGGATAATAATCGAACGGAGCGCCCAAAAAGCGGCCAGTGCAATGTCGTAAAGGGCGTGTAACGTGCATGGAAACGAGCCCTTCAATGCACCTCTGGTGTACGTGCTGCAGGGCCCTTCCTTCACCTCCACTGGTTCTCGGGCATATCTTCACCGCAGAGCCTGCGTTACGCTCGTCTGCGGCTCGTGAATGGCCGATATACAAGCTCAGGCTTCAGCAGACTGAGGTTCCCGGCCTCGTAGCGAACGTGTGTCGCTGCGTGTGATATCAATAGGAAACGAAGCACTACATAGGAACGGCGAAGCGAAGAAGTGCAGACGGGATCCAGGGGAAACTGGTACCGATAACAAATAATACGTAATCGCTTCTATTACGGGCTCTGCAGTTCCAGATCACAGAGGCCGTCGGCCAGTCGAGGTGGCCGCACCACTGCGGCCGTTGCAAGGGCGAGGGGTCTCTCCTCTGTTCTAGACGTGCATGCGGATATTGTTTAGGTTCGTTAGCAGAAGGTTATAACAGTATAAGACCTAACCGGCAACATGTATGGGAGCGAAGGATATCCTTCTTGCGCTACACATGTGCACAATCAGTATGAACAAATGAAGATATGCACCGTCGCAACAAATGGCACTCAAATTCAACATCAATTATATGGATGGCTCTATACTACCGATAGTTTGGGCGTGCATTTTGAAAATGCTAGGCAGCCTCTCGATCCTGCGAAGCACCATAACGGGCTCTTTCCAGCTGTAATGTCAACCATATCAGAGTTCAAGTATCGAGACACATGTTCACGCGGCGTAGAGATCACCCTTGAAATGCCACTGTGTGGTCAGGGCGGCTGATAGCTCGATCGTAGCTTCATTCTGAACAGCGATCGCCTCACTTTGTCAAGGTCCGTTTGCGTTTGATCGTGCTAGACGAACACCTGCAGCGATAGCAGGAGGGCTCCTGACCAGACGCAAGCGCGCGTTATTGCGCAGGGCGTGCCGCTGCCAACTCGTTATCGAGTGCCGCAGTACGTCGTGGAGTTGAGACACGTCCGGTCAACGCTTCTGTGCCGAGGCCTTCCTGATCAGTTTGCACTTTGTGCTCATGGGGTCGCGGATGTGGCGTCCCCATGAGCACGGGACGTTGTACTCGTATTGAAGAGACTGACGATTGCCTCCTCATAATGAGAAGTACGGGATATGCGTCTGGTGCTCACCGGTGTTACGGGCTTATCCACCAGGGCGTCACATGTGGCAGAGTACCGATCGCCGAAGTCCGTCATGCATAGAATGAACCAGGGATTCGTGGCATGTGTAGTGTACACTCCGCGTGCCTGAATCGAGTTAGAGAAAGTTAGCAATCACTCCCGCAATGTCAACGCTCAGGACCAGGACTGGTAATATCAATTCACATGACCTCTGATCGAAGGGCTCCAATCCATTCGGGAAAAGGATCAGACTATTCTCGTTAACAGCCCCACGTCGCCTACACGCGAAAATGCGCGGAAAACTCTCGTCGTGCAGTTCTATGAGAACCTGAAGACGCTCGTAGGCCTGCAAATCATGCACGAGATAAGAATGATGAGGTAGGAGCATGTGCGCAGGCGATGCGATAGGGAACATAGCTGCGATGACGGGACACTCTTGGCACACGGAATGCCGCAACGTTATGAGGATGGACCATATCAGAGTGGTGAGTCTGCAGTTAGCGTGAGTAAAAGTACGGCACGGATAGACCGCGATAGCAACCTGCTCACATAGGCTTTCGGATGCCGTTTCGGTACGAGCTCGTTCAATGCTCCTGAATAGGATTCGAGAAGAGGCTTGGAATCCCAGACCCGGGTCATACCTTCCAGGATGAATGGTCGATAAGTACCAGCCCTCATACGTCGAGGAAGGCACGAGGGGGGCACCGGAAGATGCCGTGACCCGGGGTGGGAGGGGGGGGAGGGGTCCCGGGGGCCTTATGTCGATTGATGTACGCCTCTGTGCTGTATCGAATTTGTGAGCTCTGTGCAGGTCTACATCCATTATCTATGCCAACGGCGAGCTCAGGAAGTAAGCTGAGCATATATTGAACGAGAAAATCCACAAGGTCGGTCATCCGAGCCTTCGGGACCCAAGGCTCTCGATTATTGCTCCGCTAGGGTTATGGTTTGTCCCTTGAACGCGCCGAGCTGAACACATGAGTTCCAAACGCTACGCCATGCAGACACTTCACAGCTATGTAACTCTTTCATATAGCGATGCCTGAGCACGGTACACGACGCTGAAGTATGATGAAATACTAGACGGGCGCTTGAAGCTTCCATTTTGAGCGTCATGTCGGAAACATATGCGGAAAATTACTGGATATGGGAGGGGAGGGGGGGAGGGGGTTCTTGGAAATCGCCTTATGTCGGTAAACCGACCCCGGTAAACGACTCGATTCATGGCCCCCTCGTGGAGGAAGGTCCTGTCAATGATCAAGAAGGTGGACGCACTGATGGTCGTTTCTTGTTCGAAGTGACATAGTCCGGTGGCCGGTGACGAGAAGGGTTAACCACGGCGGGCCCTAACTCGAACACAATGCTTGCCGCATGTCTTGGAGGACTGAGAGGCGTCGGTGCCGAAGTTGATGATTTTCACGGAAGACAATATGTTGTCATACTACTTACTGGGACCCGCGCATGGCGACTCTCGCGGTGGATTGTTTGTTCATGTTTGTGGTATGAAAGCAAGGCCGGCCGGGACGACCGTTGCGACTCTACCATGGCTGATCCTTCTGCTCCCCACTATGTCTTTCGTGAGTATACTATACAGTGACACGGTTTGTAGCGAGTAGACGCGTGCCGTACCTCATCACTTCGGCCCCATAAAGATCTGCATGGGTTCGGATGGCCAAGACGAGCTGGATCTCCCCGCTTCATACGATGTCCGTCGACGCAACCGAGGCTACTATTATACTCCTTGAGAATCAATCTTCTCGCGTCACTACGAATCTCGGAAGTCTGTTCCGGGGACGCCAACGTGGCTAAGTCTATTGTACGTCCGTTTTCTTATACGTGCGATGTGCGAGCTGCTCTGCAAGTGCCTGGAATTATATGTGCCACAGGCTTCAGAATGGCCCGTCCAATTCGGACTGTGATGTGCGGCTTCAGCTGCTGGGGCGAGTTCCCCAACGTATCGCACTACTTACCTTTGCACAACAGTAAAGGAGTATGCGGCACTTTCCTCTATGTTCCGACAATACATGAGACGATGCTCTTGCACCAAATGGCATCCATGCTCAAGCAAACATGATATGATCCCGATCGGCTCCAACTGTAATAAAGTGAAATATCACGACGGTATACTCGAACGCAGTCTGCTATAACTCTGTAAAGTCACGTCTACCTGCTGCATTCAACCTCTGAAGGGTGGTGTGTCGGATACTCATGATGGCATCCCACATCCCCGCGATCTCATTGTGGAAGGTCTGTATGTAGCCAGAGAGCGCACATGTCAGTGTCCGATCCCTTAACCATGGCCTTCTACCACACACCAGATCCGATTCATCCGCAACTTTCGAGTCCGAGTCCAGATCTTCTGCACGGCGTGCCAAGTACCCAACCCATCGCTCTTGCTCGTCCGAAATCTGCCAACCCACGAAAGTATAAGCATGAGCACAAAATGCGGCATATACATGCCGCTACTCCGTGCGCACCTCGGACCAAGTAAGCGCAAAGCGCTCGATCTCGAGTGCAACCCGTTCCAGATCGTCCTTCATTGTGTCGGGATATGTATACGACACGTCGGGTTCGGAAATCAAGAGGGGTACGGGCTGGCTTTGGCCATGAGATGTGTACCCGTGATATCGCGATTAGGAGTCTGGAGAAGAAAATGAAACTGCGATTTGGCAGTATAAAGGTGAGGGATAAAACGTACAACTTGGGCTCGGCGTTAAGGAGGCAGCTTTCGTTCTAGAAGATTGTCTCCCGGTAACACCCTATCTCATATTTTCAATGAGCTACGACATGGAGCACGCCGTGGATCCGCTTACCCACAATATGATGAAAGCCACTTCGTATACGTGTCCTATTACACCACCCAATGTGCTCATATAGCGGCAGAGAGACATCTTGGCAGAGCTGCGAGCATTATCAACGTAAGCAGTTCTGCGAAGCTTGAAGCAGCGACTTAATTTCTCACCTGTTGAAGCACACGCGAAGGTCCGCCATGAAACGAACGACTCCGCAGTAGTGAGGTATATTCCAGCCGGTACCAGCTCTCCTGGGCCGACCGACAGGCTTTAGATCGAGTCCATCCCAGAGAGAATATACATCTTGTGCCAATCTCGTGAAGTCGTCGAGAGCACTCCTCCCGCAAGCGACCTCGGTTCGCATAAGCTATATCACAGCACATTTCAGTCGTACTCTGTCGAAGTGTGCCAGAGAGGACCCGCTTACTTCCTCTGCTGACTTAAGTCCTATCCTCACATCCGCGAGAGAAGACCAACTGATGTCAGTCAGCACGGTTTCCCGGCACACTAAGCACAGCTGGTTGAGTCTATCCTTGAGTGGTAAGTATCATACACTACTAAAAGAGACCCACCATCCATTACTGCTACAGCGTCTTGCAGATTCCTCCGACAACGGACCGAGATACGTAGAAAATTCTGCGAGCTGGCCGTAAGCGGTACGGTGAAGAGCAGCTAGTCACTGTCAGTGCTCACCTGGAAGTGCTCGTCCCAAGATGATGGAGATACTTCCATATGTCTAAAGATTGCTCCTTCCGGACGGCCGGCATTGAGGACAAAGTATACTCGAAGAAATAGATCCGAGATATCTTCCACAGACTGCTCAATATGCATGAGCATTCTCTGGGTCACGCTCTGTCGACAGATGAAGTCAGCAGACAAACCATGGCGGTATGGCTTTATTGTGGTACGTACCTGTGCCTGAATGATGCCATACGGTGATGCACTCAAGCCTCCCGTAACAGCCGCTAGGATGCTGGGGTCAATGGGCCGAGAGGACGAGACCCGAGAAGTGACTTGTGTGTGCAGGGGTTTCTGAGTACAATCCCGAGTTCCCTACAAACGCGGATGCATGGAGGAGGGAGGGGGTCGAGCGAGCTTATCGCTCCTGACCCGGGGGTAGGGGATTGCGTGGACGCTAGTCAGCGGACGCGACACAAGGCGGGATACTGGTGTGCTGTGACGTCCGGGAAGTACTCACTGTGTTCGACGTAGGCCAGGGCGTCGAGGCACTGTTGGGGGGAGGTGCACGAACGCAGTCGGGGTCGCAGTCGCAGGTGCAAACGCAAACTTGAGCTCTGAAGGGGTAGGAGAAAGTGAAATTTCCCGGAGCTCAGGGCCCATGTATACAGGATGGGCCGGAGCTGTACGGGAAGGATAGGAAGTGAAAGATGCACCCATTGTGCAAGGCGTGGCGGGCGGGACGATCGGGCCCCTACGGGGGCCGCGCTCTACTGGCCTTGCCTAGACTGTCGGGGCCGCGCGTACCGCGCGGTGTGATTGGTGGGCGGTGGTGTATGTGCCGCAACCCCCGACGAGCGTATCGGGCATTTCGTACTGCCCTTGAACCCCGATGCTTGGTGGGGCTTGGCACCCTCGGTCGGGGCCGCTTATCGTGGCTCACCTTGCTCGACTCGCGGGCAAGCGAATGGGGGTGGTGCGTGGGCGACCAGACGGCCTTCGGGGAGGCTCAGGGCTGCACGGGGCAGGCGTCGGGGCGTGGTATCTGACAGGGAGTCTGCGTCAGGGCGGTCTGAGCTCGAGAGCGGTGCCCACACCGCGGCAGGCGGCAGGCGCGGTGAGTGCACATCAACGGTACACTAGAGGGCATGGTGACGTTGATGTTGTGAACAGGACAGAATTTTGATAGCTGAGCTGGGGCTTGGCACCAGGGGGCATGGGAGACGGGATTGAAACAATGCCTACACCTTGTACGCTTCTGATGGTATGTGTCTGAGTACCATGGATCTCGACACCCCATGCGCAAAGTGTGCCCACCACAGCACACGGCCTCGTGTTGAGCGCCCAGACCTCAATCTCCTATGGTTTTAATTTGATGCCTGGGAGGGAATATGAGCTCACCGGGATGAAGTCAAGTCCGGAAGACTCATGTTTCCCTTTTGACGTTAACAGAGCAATCAATCTTTGGTCCGCGAGGAATCTGCATGTAATAATATGTACGTGCGTGGTCTCGTCATGCCGTACGCCACGAGGATGAGCCTGAAAAAACCCACGTCACACTCTACAACGTACTACGTCGCTTGTGTCCCACTGCCCCCCAAGTGTCCACTGTGAGCTCGACATTCAACGAGAAGTCCACATACGGCACCTGACCCCACCCTCCGAACGTCCACACGGGCTCGGCGTAGTTCTGCAACATTACATACAACCTTTCCATGAATGCCACCGCACTTCCCGCCTCGAGTAGGTCGAACTCGTACCGCCCCTCGCCTAGCCCAGTGAACGCCATGAAATGCGAGAGACGTGTGTTATCCGGGCGCCAAGATATGGGAGGAGGAGTCAGAGGTTGGACGTTCCAGGAGGGGCTACTACCATGACGCGCGTGCTGGCGCCCATAGTAGACAGTGAATGTGACACTGTTAGGGACGTGCCACATGGTAGGTCCAGAGCTCGGAGTTCTGGGGTCTGGAAGGGTCCGGAGTTCGGACGGAGTCCGGACGGAGGTGTGGCATGGAGGGGAAGGACTTCAGCAAAGCTATTAGCAACGCTCTGAGACCTCCTGCAGTTGTCCTTAATTTCCGAAGGAACAAAGGGTCGGACTTGACCGGAGTTCAGGGCTGACTAAGCCGGAGTTCCACGCTGACTAAGCGGAACTAAGTCCGAGACAATCAGAACAGAACAGAGAAGAGGATGAAGAGGATGGCGAGGGACGAAGTCCAAGGGGACTTGTCGAGCAAGCAAGATCAAACAAAGTCTGAAGTCCGGAGTTCCGGAGCTTGTAGGCTCGGAGTTACCGGATTAGGAAGGTTGATTGCGCTGCAGCACGCGAGGAACGAGCGTGCGACAGCGCCGAGTCTATGTGCCGAGGTACGACGGGCGCTAAGCGCTCGTGCTTTTCCCCTTCGCCCGTCGTGCCCTTGCTAGCTCGTGCTTCGTGTTCTCTGGACCTCCGCTTCTTTAAAATCTCTAGCTACTCTATAATATATCGCTATGGTAGACTTGAACGAAGACAACGACTTGCAGGAAGAGCCGCCGCAGGGGCAACAGCAGCAAGAAGAAAGAGCAGAGGGGTCACCTCCCCATCGTTCACGCTCCCGCTCGGCCACGCATGGCAGATCCCCGGAGGCACAGCAACTGGGCAAGTCACCGTCTCCCCAAGGGGACGGAAACTTCGCACAAGACCGAAGCAGCGAACCTCCAGACTATCAAGGCCCGGATTTCGACATTGCCCGCGAGGCCTTGATAGAGGGCGGCCTGGCCGAGAACCATAGGGCAGCCGCCGATCGCTTGTATGCGACGTGGAGGGAGAAGAGAGGAGGGGTAGTATCGGATGCAGAAAATCGACGGAGTGTGCCCGCAGGTGAGCATACGCCTCGCACCTCAAGACGCGCCCGTTTTTCGAGCCCGGGGGGCCAGAACCCCCCGTCCCCTGCATCACTGAGCCCCCCTCCCACATCGCAGAGCAGCAAAGGAAAAGCGAAGAAGATTCCCCCTATCCCTCGAGGTAAAGCTCCCCCCGCGACGTTCCTTCGACCCGTCGCCGAGTTCGCTTTGGCACGCCTGCGCGAGAAGAAGTACGTCGAGTTGTATTACTTCACGGAAGAAGGCATGCGCCTGGTGTCAGGAGGTCGCATCGCGGGCGAAGACGAGACTTTGACGCTATCCCACACCGACTCGTCCATCGTCGTTACCGCGACCCCTAGGCAGCCCAAGGGTGTCAAGCTCGACGAAAGCCTGAGCTGGGATCAAATCTCGAAGGCCCGAACCATCTACCTCATGCACGCGCGAAACGAACAGTGGGAGAGCCACGCCCTCGAAATGCTCTCGCTTTTCTTCATCAAGCTCGACGCTCACCCCCTGCGAAGCGAATTCAAGGGGAACGATGCGGTCATACACTACCAAGCACACTACCGCCGCGAATGGCACAAAGCCATACTCCGCGACGACCCCTTTGACCTATCGGAAATAGATGAGGCAGCGCTCAAGGAGCTTCGTACCACGCTGGTGACCGAACAAGCCGCAGTTTTCTTCCAAGCGGTAAGTCTTACAGTTCGCGGGTATCCCCTTCCGCAAGCACTCTACTAACTTTTCTTTTCGCAAACTCCGCTTCCTTTTCATCACCCTTGGTACCGTCGATCGCGCGCGTCCGTTCATTGCACCCTGCGCGTCCTTAACCGCGTCCCCCGCGCCATGTTTCTCGCGTCCCCGCGTCTCCGCGTCCCCGCATCTCCGCGTCCTCTCGCGCCCGCGTCCCGTACGCCCTCGCGTCTCCACGCTTTTGCGTTGGTCCCCCCCGCGCCCGCGTTCTGCGTCCTGCTCCCCGCGTTCCCCTCGCGCCCCCGCGTGCTCCGCGTTCTGCCCCGTCATCGCATCTCCGCCGCTGCCGCCCTGTCCCCCACTCGTCTGCGGCCTGTTTCGTTTTCTGCGATGCGGCGACTGGGCAGCTCGAAATTGAACAGAGCACACCCCGAGCCAGGCACAAGCGTCGCGAGTACAGCCCGCCCGAGCCTCCTTCCCCCACGAAGCGACCTCGCACCGGATATTCCGATGTTGAAGCACTGCCAGATCGACGCGAACCTAGGTCCCACGGCCGGTCTTTTCGGCAGGGCGCAGGGACGTCCGGCCGCGTCCTTTGCGCCATCTGCCTGGGCCACCACCCCTCAACCGAGATCTACAAATGCGTCAAATCCAAGCTATGGAACGGCATGCCGGCCTTCTCCGCCCGCGTCGGGAAGAGAATCCAAACCAGGAAGGGTGCCCCACTCTGCATCGCCTGGCAGCGTCCCAACGGTTGTGCCTCCGACGAACACCCCGAGCGTCATGTTTGTTCGGGTTGCGGAGGAACGGATCATGGAGCCAGCTCTTGTGCTCTCGCGGAGAAGGACTGACCCTCTCACGCCCCTCAAGGCAGCCGGCTGGGCAGAGCTGCTGGATAGTTCAGGTCTCGAGTCTCGGTACCCTGACCTCGTTCGCTCTATTTCTGCTGGTTTCAACTCCGGAATTCCCCCTATCTCTTTATCCTTTACTCCCGCTAATAGCCCCTCCCTTGCATCTCCCCCGGGCGAGTTCGAACGCATCGTGCGGCATGAATTCGACTCGGGGCGCTACATCGGCCCTTTCTCACTCCAAGAGCTCGAGCACTTGCTCGGACCTGTACAGTCTTCCCCCCTATCTCTTGTCCCCAAACCACACAAACCTCACGTTTTTAGACTCGTCCAAAACTTCTCTTTCCCTTACACCCCTTCCCCTACTACTACACCATCCATTAATTACCACATTGACTCGTCCGACTACCCCTGCACGTGGGGAACTTTCAACGCCTTCTGTCTTCTGTGCTGGCGCCTTCCCCCTGGTTCTCAAGGCGCGGTTCGTGACGTTGCAGAAGCCTACCGCATCATCCCGCTGCACCCATCCCAATGGCCAGGAACGGTGGTCCGCCTGGACGTTGACTCATTCGCAGTGGACTCGAACGCCTCCTTCGGAGTCGGGTCACACACAGGAGTCTATGGCAACCTCGCAGACGCGTGCACGGACATCATGCGGTCCGTTGGTATCGGGCCCATGGCCAAGTGGGTCGATGATAAAGTTTTCCTACGTATCCTGCGCGAACACTTACCCGACTACAACCAACGCAGACAAGAGTGGCACGAACAGATCGTCCGAAACGGTGGCGCACGACACCAAGGCGGCCGAATCTGGTATGGCGGCGACGTCCTACCGGATGGGCGAGTCGACGAGTTCGTCGAAAGCATGGAGTTCCCACTACGGGACTTATCCTCTCGCTCACAACGGTCGCCAGCGGACGCCGCGTTCACATATGCCATGCCTGACATCGACTGGATCTCCGAACGTTTGGGGATACCCTGGCAAGTGGAGAAAGACCATCCGTTCTCCGCCTGCTTCCCGTTCACAGGTTTTCTCTGGAACCTGGATGGAACACGCACTGTGGCGATCCCCAGGGCGAAGGCGGACAAGTACCTGCGTGCGCTCGACGAGTGGGCGTCAAAGCGCCTGCACTCGCTCCGTGAAGTGCAACGACTGCACGGAAAGCTGTGGCATGCATCGCTGGTCGTACCTAGCGGACGCGCCTTTCTCGTCAACCTGGAGGCCATGCTGGGCATCTTCAATGATCGTCCGTTCGTTCCACGCACACCGCCCATTCAGACGCCCGGAGACATCGCATGGTGGCGCAAAACCTTCGCCCAGCCTGTCCTCGAGCGACCCATCCCAGGCCCGCACTTGGTATGCGACCCTGCCGCCTTTTCCGACGCCAGCTCAGGTGTGGGGATCGCGGTGGTCGTCCGAGGGCGATGGCGCGCCTGGCGGCTCATTCCCGGCTGGAAATCGGACGGGCGCGACATCGGGTGGGCAGAAGCCATCGGGTTCGAGTTCGTCGTCGCTGCGGTACTCGACACCCAGCCAGAACAACCTCACTTCAAAGCCTATGGCGACAACCGCGGAGTCGTCGAAGGATGGTGGCGAGGCCGCAGTCGCAACCGGCCCACCAACGACGTGTTCAAGCGAGTCACGGCACGTCTCGAGGAAAGCGGTTACCAAGCGCACACAAGATACGTGCAGAGTGCAAGCAACCCCGCAGACAGACCGTCTCGCGGCCGCTTCCTCTCACGCAGCCTTCTCCTACCCCCCTTACCTATTCCTGCCGCCATCCAACAGTTTGTCGTGGACTTCGATGCTCCCGTATCCCAGCGTGAAGCCGCCCTGCGAATCCGACATGGCATCGACACCGTCGTACCCAAGAGCGCCATTTCCCGAGAGGAAGCCAACAGACGCCTCTTCAACAACAGCCGTTTCGAAGCATGCGAGCTCGACTGGAAAGGCTCATACGCCGTCGAAGAGTCGGATCAGGTTTAACGCCCCCGTACCACCGAAGAGCACCAAGAAAGCACGCCGGCCACCTGCATATCACCCGGATCTCACACCTGCAGTGTCCACGCTGCGTCCGCATTGCTGGGCCGCGGAACGCATCCTCAAATGGACGCCATCCACCTCTCGCAGGCAACGAGACAAGTTAGGCAGGCCGGTCAGCCTATCGGACGACGAGATCGAGCGCATCTCTACTGTGACCTGCGCGGCTTGGCAAGAGTCGACACGCAGCACCTACGGCACGGGGCTCCTCGTATTCCATGTATACTGCGACTTACGAGACATCCCCGACGAACAGCGTGCCCCCGCCCCCGAGCTTCTCATCCTTTCGTTCATCACCTCTCTGGCCGGCTCGTACAGCGACAGCGCCATCAACAACTACGTCGCCGGCGTCCGTGCGTGGCACATCATACACGGCTTACCTTGGACAGTCGACAAGCTGCGGTACGACAAAGCCATCGCTGGTGCAGGACAACTTGCCCCGGAGACGTCGAAGAGATCCCAGCGTGAGCCGGTAACAGTCAACATCTTGCTCATGATCAAATCACATCTGGACATCACGCAGAGTGCCGACGCTGCCATCTGGGCGTGTATGTGCGTTGCCTTCTACTCTCTGGCTAGACTCGGTGAGCTCGTCGTGAAGAGCCAGGGGTCCTTCCGTAGCTCGTCTCATCCCGCAAGGCGCTCTGTGAGTGTCGAAGCGCACCGTGAAGGCAGCGAAGTCCGCATTATTCGGCTGCCTCGGACCAAAGCATCACCGCAAGGCGAAGACATCTACTTCGCTCGCAGGCTACACGAGACCGACCCCTGGGACGCCCTCGACAACCACCTCGCCATAAACAAACTCGACGAATCCAAACACCTCTTCGCCTACCGCAAGCAGCCGTCCAATGCCATCGTCCCCCTGACCAGAAACGCCCTGTTGAAGCGCCTGCGGGAGATCACGCCCAAGATTGGCATCCCCAACATCTCGGGCCATAGCTTTCGCATTGGCGGCACGCTGGAGTACCTACTCCTGGGGTTATCCTTCGAAATGGTCAAGTCTATAGGGCGCTGGAAAAGCGACGCTTTTGCACTATACCTCCGCAAGCACGCGCAGGTCCTTGCACCGTACTTGCAGGACGACGAAGAGGTCCTTAAGCGCGTCTCAAGACTGACCATCCAGCTCCCGCCAGTGCGGTAATCAGGTACGCTCTCGTGCGACTAGTCTGGGGGTTTTCGTGTGCGCACGTTCAGCGTCGCGCGAGCGCTCCTAGGACTTGGGTTTTCTCGGCTCGCTAACTCCAACCCCCAGGTTTTCGGAGATGCGCGCTTCTTGCGCCGGATCGCTCGTCCCGCACGGCGGGCGGGCGTTCGCCCAGTCTTGGTCATTGCACGGACTTGTCTTTCGTTTGTAGGATCACATACAATGCCACATTCGTTTCAGCTGCTACCATCTAAACGCGACCTCAGACCGGCTCCAACCAGCGCATAGATGATTGCGCTGCAGCACGCGAGGAACGAGCGTGCGACAGCGCCGAGTCTATGTGCCGAGGTACGACGGGCGCTAAGCGCTCGTGCTTTTCCCCTTCGCCCGTCGTGCCCTTGCTAGCTCGTGCTTCGTGTTCTCTGGACCTCCGCTTCTTTAAAATCCCCGCCCTCCCTCCCTTTTCTTTCGTGGTGATCGGCAGCACCCTAGAGTTATGACCTGCCGACCGCTGACTGGGTGCGCGTCCGTTGGACGCATGCCCAGTCGAGTACTCTTCGCGTATCCCTCGGCTAGTGCCCGCGTCTGTTTCCATCACATTTATCCTTCTATAACCTAGCTCAACAGTTGCTTTTCTTTAAACAGGCAGAGCAACGACCTGATCCTCAGTGAAGCCCTACTTTCCCCCAACCATGACCAGACGCAGAGAGTCGTGGTCCTCCACACCATCCCCTCCCGTTCGCGTCGAAGCCGACACCGTCCACCCCCGTGCAATGCCAGCCCCAAGTTGGGTTGTCTACTCGGAACCGTCCCGACACATTCGCGTGGGCGATGAGCTCTTGCTCCTCTCCGGCAAGGAAGTCATCTACATCGGGTGCATCTTGAGCATCATCGCATCACAAGCGGGCTGGACGTCCTTCAAAACCGCCGGCTTCTGCCAGAAGTTTGCCTACTCACTCACCGGGTACCTCTGCGTGCCGAACATTTGGGTCGCAAACCCGCCTCCGCAGCGCCTCCCCGGCCTCCTCTCCCGTTGGCGGCCCACTCCTGCTACTGTCCCTTCATCATATTCGTCAGAACTCGCCAACCTTCTTCGCACCATCGGGACCTACTCACAATCCAACCCTGAACCTGCGTGGACCTTTCGAGGGCCTTCCCTAAGCCTGGAAGGAGGTGACATGGACGTCCTGTGGGAGCGGATGCAGGTGTTTCGAGAGGCCTCGACCATCACGAACGAGCGCCGTGGTTCAGTCTGACTGAGCAAAGGAGAGAAAAGCGGTCTAGCTACCAGGTCGTCGCCCGACAGTTCAATTCAACACTGTCGCACCCTTATAGCCCGCGACTCCCCCCTCGCTCGGCCCCCGCGCGAGCGGTTCACCCACGCCGCCGCCACCGCCGCCTCCTCGTTTACAGATCTCTCGGGCCGCCGCCACCTTTTCTCACACCCGGAACCCCATCTCCCAAACCATCGCCCCGCTCCTTAGCCTTCCATCCCAACCTTCATTCTATCTTGTTCCTTCAACTCCCTTACCGCACTTTCACCCTCTTTCTCACTTCCTTATTGGGTGCGAGCGGCGCGTCATCCCGAACCTTGCGCACGAGGCAGTCCCCCCCTCCACTCCCTTGATGTTAGCCCGCCCACCCTTTCTCGGCTCGCTAACTCCAACCCCCAGGTTTTCGGAGATGCGCGCTTCTTGCGCCGGATCGCTCGTCCCGCACGGCGGGCGGGCGTTCGCCCAGTCTTGGTCATTGCACGGACTTGTCTTTCGTTTGTAGGATCACATACAATGCCACATTCGTTTCAGCTGCTACCATCTAAACGCGACCTCAGACCGGCTCCGACCAGCGCATAGACGGAGTTCGGAGGTTGCAACAGAGGTAGACCAAAGGAATAGATTGACAAGGGGTAGTGCGAAGGAAGGTAACAAGATGGTAACGAGAGGGGTAAACGAGGAGGGTAATGAGGTGGTAAACGAGATATCCGAACTGAGGTACTACGGCATTCCGGGCGCGTATTTAAGGAACAGAACCTTATTGTTAAGGAAGACAATAAGAGTGTAAGGAATATCAAATCCGGAGTTCGGAGATTCCGGAGTTCCGGAGTCCGGGGACAAAGACAATAGAGCTTATTGTTAAAGGACAAGATGATGAAAGAATGGTGCAATTGTAAGGGAACGTACATGTGAAATCCGGAGTTCCGGAGTGCGGGAAAGTCGGAGTATAAGTCCGGAGCGCGGGAACTCGGAGTACGGAGTCCGAAGTGCGGGAATTCCGGAGTTCAGAGCGGAGGTGCGCACGGACCATTGGTGCGGTCTCCTTGAGCAATGTGTACCTCGATCTCCTCCATGCGGGGGATGAGACTTGGAGCAGCTCCGGCGCTGCCTTTGAGCCGCAGAGTCAGGACATGATCATGGGTGTGCACGTCAACAGTCTCCCTGTGGAGAGAAAGTTCATACCCTTGGGCGTCTAGCATGGCCTTGCACCAGGACTGAATGAGGATACGCCGGATGCGGAGAGGGGCTGCGCTGCTGAGCCCCTGATCAAGCGGGATGCGGCGAATGATGAGGGACGTGATAAAGATGTCGGTGCCCATGGCGCGTACACTTGCATAGAGGAGGCCCCAGATGCGGAAGTAGCGCTTACAGTCCATGCAGACGTCTTTGCGCGTGCCGACGAGCAAACTTTCATCCGTTGAGCTAGGAGAGGGCTTGCAAAGCGGAAGAGCGATGAGGTTCCCTGCGCCGTCTGTGCACTGCAACAGCGCCAGCCAGGTACACTCGAAAGAGCCGCACCCGCAGTCCCAGTACGAGCTCCGTGTTGCGCAGAGAGTGGAGCCAGAGAACGCGGTGGGCAAGTAGGGGATGAGAGGGAAGGAAATTGTGACGGCATGCATGGAGGGAATGTACATCCTCGCGTACTCAGTGTTGCGCGGCCTGGCGGCACGGCCGCAGGACGCCTCCGAGTCTGCTTACATTACAAACACGGCCTTTCTTACTTAGCTAGGATCATTTAGTTACTGGTTTACTCTTTTCGTATACCTTGGCATTGACTGACTACAAAGTGCTTATTAGCACACTAGAAAATTTCTATTATTCTCTACTATAAGTACTAGTCGCCTTCTGCTCGTAATATCATCATTGTATCTTCGCTTTTCCTCGTCGACCTCTCGACAGGTTATGAGCCCTGAGCTCTGACCTCGCCACCGCTCGTTTCCGCCCCGATCCGAATCTCCCGATCCCGCCAATCTGATCGAATCGCCACCCTCGTCATCGCGACCGATCGTCGATGTCTTCCGACTCTACCTCGAGCTACCGTATCGACCCCCTGTGCAGGGAGGACAACTACAACGCTTGGCGCGTTCAGATCACCGACCTGCTTAACGAACTCAAAATCTGGGACCATGTCAGCGGCGACAAACCGAGACCAACCGAAGCCGCGCTCCTCCCCAAGTGGAAGAAGAAGGACGCGAAGGCCCTCCGGGCGATCAGATTCCGCGTCGCAAACGATATCGTCGTATATGTACAGGATGCTACGAGCTCCAAGGAAGCCTGGGACACGCTTGCGGAGACATTCCGACCCGCCGGCCCAATTGGCATCGTAACCGCGCGACGAAAACTCTTCCGCGCACAGTGCCCCGAAGGAGGGGACATCGAGGAGCACCTCCGACAGCTCCGGGGATACCGCTCGGAGCTCCATACGTTTGGCCAAACCCTTTCTGACTCTGACTTCTCCATGACAGTCCTCACGTCACTCCCGGACTCATGGGACCTGTTCATACGGGCCATCGACCCATTGGATCTCGCCGCCGCCACCAATGAAACCCCGAAGCTCACATCTGCCAAGCTCATCGCCCGCATCATGCAGGAAGACCGGCGCTTGAAATCGCGCTCGAACGACTCAGAGACCGTGCTCGCAGCCAAGGGCTCGCGCGACATTTCGAAGATCACTTGCTTCAATTGCGGAAGACGCGGCCATTATCAGTCGGACTGCCGCAGCCCGTCGAACTCGAACTCGAACAGCGCGAACACGCCGCGCCCGCAGCACGGCCAGTGGCGCCCGCGCACCCCGCGCCCCGGACCTCGCGCCCATGTTGCCAAAGAAGACCGCGACCGGCCGCCGCACGAGCAGCAGCCGCGCGACCAGACGACGCCGCAGCAGACGGGCACGGTCTGGGTCGCCGAAGCCGACGAGCCGACACGCGATGCAGATGCCGACCGCGCCCTCCTCACTGACGACGAGGCATGGTACCTCGACTCGGGCGCGACGATTCACATTTCAAAAAATAGACTCGACTTCATCGACTACTCCGAAACTCCCGGAAAGGTCATCAAAGGCGTTGGAGGTACTGGCGTGCCGAAGCTCGGCAAAGGCACCGTACGCCTGAAATCCACGACCGGCTCGACCACCCGCACCATCACGCTTTCGCACGTCGCGCACGTCCCCGCAGCAAGCCACAACCTCATCTCTGTCTCACGCATCACCAAATCAAAGGCCCGCGTGCTATTTCAAGGCAACGACGTCGAAGTCCTCGGCGCGGATGGCAGCCGCCTCCTCACAGGCACGAAAACTGGGCGCTTGTATCGCGTCCGCGCCATCTCGGATCTCGACCGCGTGCTCGCTGCAAAGGAGGCCTTCACATGGGACAAATGGCACCGAATCTTCGGTCACCTCAACTACGAGCAGCTCCGACAGCTGCACCGCAAGAATCTAGTCGAAGGCATGGCCGTCGACACACCAATGTCGCGCGTGCATTGAAGGCAAGCATCGCGTCGCCCCGTACCCTCAAAAGTCGCACACCGAAGTTGCCGAGATCGGAGATCTCACCGTCTCCGACGTCTGGGGCCCCGCGCGCATCAAGGGCATCCACGGCGAATTTTACTTCACGCAATTCACAGATGCAAAATCCCGCCACCGTGTCCTCTACTTCGCCCCCGACAAGGGCCATCAACTCGAAAACATCAAGTCGTATCGCGCTTTCCTCAAGACGCAGACAGGCAAGGCGATGAAGACACTCCGTGTGGACAACGGAAAGGAGTACATCAACCGCGCCATAAAACAGTATCTCCGTTCACACGGTATCTGCCTCGAACTAACCGCCCCCTACTCCTCCGCACAGAACGGCATTGCCGAGCGCGCGAACCTCACGATCGTCGACGCCGCGCGTGCGATGCTGTTCGCGCATGACCTCCCCACCTTCCTCTGGCCTGAAGCTATCCAGTATGCAAACTACCTCCGCAACCGCTCTCCGACGCGCGCACTCGCCGACAAGACTCCATTCAAAGTCTTCTGGGGCCGCAAGCCACACGTCGGCCACCTCCGTGAATTCGGCGCCGACTGCTGGGTTCTACGACAGGACACACAGCTTCACAAGCTCGCGCGCAAGTCCCGCGCATGCAAATTCATCGGATTTTCCGAAGAGTCCCGTGCGCACCGCTACTACCACCCCGAGACTCGGCAAGTACAGACCTCGCAAAATGTTATTTTTGATAAGTCTGCCGCAGTCGAGGGGGAGTCCCCGACCGTCCCTACGCCGCTTGAGGGGGAGCGGGACACTCAAGACGTGCCGCAAGCGCCTTTGGGACCTCCCGACACCACCACCACACCTCCCGCAGCCCCGGCGAAGCCGTCGCCCTCGCAGATTCCCGTCCGCACCAGCGCACGCCAGCTCCCGCGCCTCGACTACCGCCGCCTCAACAACCCCGCCGCGCGCACTGCACCCGGATGGGAGCGCATGGTTCCCAACCACCGCAACGCGGCGCAGCTCGCCGAGGATGAGGATGTCAACTATGCGTTTATTGTCAATGCTAACGACGATCCGCAGACGCTCGCGGAAGCTCAGGCTCGCCCCGACTGGCCCGACTGGCACGCCGCCATGGACCACAAAGTTGGGCAACTCGAGCGCCTCGGCACTTACGAGCTCGCGCAGTGCCCGCCCGACCGCAAGCCTATCGGCTGCAAATGGGTGTTCCGCCTCAAGCGCGACGCGACCGGCGCAATTGTCAAATACAAGGCACGCTTAGTCGCCCAAGGGTTCTCGCAGATCCCCGGCGTCGACTATGTCGAAACATTCGCGCCCGTTGTGCGCCTGGAGACGCTGCGCACGCTCCTCGCGATTGGCGCCGCCCTCGACCTTGACATCCGCGTCATCGACGTCGTTGGTGCGTACCTCAACGGAGAACTGCAAGAGGAGATCTACATGCGGCAACCGCCCATGTATGAGAACGGGCAGCCCGTCGCTTGCCGGCTCCGCCGCACACTCTACGGACTCAAGCAGTCCGGCCGCAAGTGGAACCTCAAGCTCGACGCCGTGTTCGCGGCCCTCGGCTTCACGCGCCTCCTCTCCGACCAGTGTGTCTACCTCCGCGCAGCCGCCGACCGCCTCGCGCTCGTTGCCGTCCATGTCGATGACATGACAACGCTGACCTCTTCGCCCGCCGACTCAGACACCCTCGCCGATGAACTCAAGTCACATTTCGAGCTCTCAAAGCTCGGCAACATCCGTCAAGTCGTGGGACTTGAAGTCGAACACGACCGCGCGCACGGCACGCTCACACTGCGACAAGCGCAGTACATCGCGCGCGTCCTTGAACGCTTCGGCATGGCACACGCGAACCCCGTCGACATGCCGCTCGATGTGAACGTCCATCTCGTACGCCACAACGGACCCGAGGACCCTGACGCGCGATCGCTCTACCAAGCGATCGTGGGCTCGCTCATGTACGCCGCACTCGGCACGCGCCCGGACATCGCGCACGCGGTCCAGCAGCTCAGTCAATACTCGAGCAACCCCGGCCCCGTGCACCTCACCGCCGCGAAGCGCGTCCTGCGCTATCTCAAGGGCGCGCCCGACTTTGGCCTCACGTATCGCCGCGCCGACACACTCGAGCCGTTTGGCTACTCCAACACGGACTGGGCAAACGACCTCGACGATCGCAAGTCGATCTCGGGCCAAGTTTTTTACCTCGCCGGCGCGCCGATCACCTGGGCCTCGCGCAAGCAGCGCACCGTCGTGAAGTCAAGTATGGAGGCCGAGTACATGGCCGCGAGCACCGCCGCCTCCGAAATCGCGTGGCTCCGCACGCTCTTCACCGAGCTCGGCATGGCGCCGCGCGCCGCGACGTGCCTCTTCGTCGACAACCAGAGCGTGATCGCGTCCGCGAACGCTCAGACTTCGCACGCGCGCACAAAACATATTGACATTCATTATCATTTCATTCGCGAGCGGATCGCCTCTAACGAGGTACAGGTCACCCACTGCCCGACCGAGGACAACATCGCTGACGTCTTCACGAAGGCCCTCCCTCGTCCGCACTTTCAGACGCTCGTCGCGCGCATGGGCTCGCGACCGCGCACCTAGGTCTCGGAGTCGAGGGGGAGTGTTGCGCGGCCTGGCGGCACGGCCGCAGGACGCCTCCGAGTCTGCTTACATTACAAACACGGCCTTTCTTACTTAGCTAGGATCATTTAGTTACTGGTTTACTCTTTTCGTATACCTTGGCATTGACTGACTACAAAGCGCTTATTAGCACACTAGAAAATTTCTATTATTCTCTACTATAAGTACTAGTCGCCTTCTGCTCGTAATATCATCATTGTATCTTCGCTTTTCCTCGTCGACCTCTCGACACTCAGGTTGTCCCTGTTGTCCTGAAGCACCCCAAACGGCATCCTGGAAGTGGTTGGAGGAGAGAGGAACAACTGTCCTAGCCATGCAAAAGTCGTGCGGGGAGCCAGCCAGAAGTGAGCGCGCCAGACGCTGGAAGGATGTTAATGGTGTATCTAAGAGAGCCATTCGCTCCTCGATCAGACTTAGAAGAGACGCTGCGGACACGCACTCCGGACTCGAGGAGAACTTGGGACCCCATGCCAAGAGACTCTGGTCCGGAATCGTCTTCAGGATCTCTTCCTGCAGAAGGAGGAATGCCTTGTGACCTTCCCCGTAGACCATAGGAATCCTGACGTCGAAGATGCCCATGAGCGCATATGCCTCGTCTTTGACCCGTGTCGTCTGATGTGATGAAGCCCACCACATCCGGTGCGCGACACTGATAGAACTTAGCGGAGTCTTGTGGAGGAGTATGCTCGTATTGATGACCGTGATGGACTCCAAGAGCACAGCCAATGTTGTCTTTGTGCCAAGGGGATGCCAGTCCGAAGAGAGGAAGACAACATTCGTAGGGGCGATGAGCTCCTGGAGGGTCCAACCACGCGTGTGCCCCCTGCTAGCACAAAATGCAGACCCGGGACGCCAGATGTCGTCGGAGGAGGGAACATCGGTGAGGTAGACATAACAGACACTCGCCTGGCGGTACCATTCATACATGGAGTTGAGCGACTCCATGAGCTCCGCACTGCTGGATTTGTCGATGCAGCAAGTGTCCATCCAGAGCAGCTTGAACCTGTGGCTGCGCGCGACTCTGCATGTGTCCCTGATCTTGGGGGATATAGCTGGGTGGCATAGGATAGAGCCCGTTGCGGGCGTGCATGGACTCGTGTCTGGTTCTTTGTCGAGCGGGTTCAAGGGCGCGGATTGGAGCGTCACAATGGCGGTATACCCCTGTTCGCCACCCACATCCCAGGTATGTGACAAGATAGCATAACAAACATTTTTGCGAACAGATACAAGTTCGAACTTTCCGGATGTTGTGTTGAGTAGGCGCATCCTAGATTTTCATTAGCACCCTTTATGAAGCTATACGGGATGTATACTTACATAGTATGATTTCCAGGCATCTTGATTGGACGGAGTGGATGGAGGACAACTGAGCATGCGAGGAATGGGATGGGCGGGCATCGACGAGGTGTTAAGACTCACTCAGGTCCTTGATAGAAGGAGAGTTGTGAAGACCCTCTCCAGGCTCTAACTGCATGCTAGGTGAAAATTGGAGGGTGGTCCGAGGCGGCAATAACCTGAATTTTCCTCAGTCCATCGAGGATTCACCACGGCACACATGACCATCCAGCGCCCAAGTAGACAAGTCCTGGGGTTCTGGAGCAGCCAAAATATTGGTGTTTGGCAAGCGAAGACGCAAAAGGGGGGTTGGGGTCCTGGCAAGTTACATTAAAGGACAAGTGAATCAAGAAGCCTACTTAACATGTACCAATGGCCGGTGGACCTCGTACGATGCACAGGTTATAGGTCCGGGCACAATGTCTGAATCAAGTGTGCCGAACCCTACAACCAGCAGCAACCTCTTCCAGATTCCAGCCCAATGCATCTCCTGAAAGCACAGAGTCACACCAGAGTAGCCTGAAAAGGCTACAGGACAACGTAGCAGAGAATCTGAGGGCAGAGGAGCAGAGGGGCGGCAGAGGAGTAGAGTGAGAGTGGAACCGGGTCACCAGCCCGCCAACGTTACATGAGCGCTTAAAATACAAATATTCAGGGCAGGCCTATCAGGCAGATGTACACCGCATACGATTCCCCTACGGTCTTCTCACTTTCAGCTCACTCATTCACCATTCCCAGTTCATGCAACAGAATGGTAGAGGGATCATCGGCAAGTGCTTGATAGTATTAACTGACATTGTTCAATATTCCTAAGACTGTATCCCTGCGGCATCCATCTCGCGGGATGGCAGTCCTACGCCAAAGCTGTAAGTTTTACTGCTTCCGAAGGAGGCTAATTAATGGAAGATTGGATTAGTAACAGCGTAACACTGGAGTTTATCCAAGAAAGAACTCGACAGTAGCCAGCTTCAATGCAGACTGGCAGCGCTTGGCAGTGGCCAGCCAGCTGGCCAGCCCCAAGGTCCGCATCTGCCGGTATGTGCGTCATGTGCCTGCGCTCTATCGTCAACCTAAAGGTGCAAGTCCTAAACCGACACTGACCAATACCGTGCGCTCTAATCTATACTTACGGGCACACATTAACCAGCGCGCAGAAGCCTCGGTCTTTGTGGCCCACGTGTTGCATCCGAACACGGCCGCAATCGTGGCATCGTTGCTAGACTCTCCCCATTGCCTTGCCTGCTGCAGCTGAGGCTACTCCAAGATCATATTCTCTGTCTTGCTTTCTCAAAGCTTTGGGATAGTGTAATGGCAAGTGATGCATTACAATCAATGTGTCACCAACAGGTGTACTCCTCCAACAAGGTCACAGACAGTTTCCCCGCTTGCGAACCCCACCGCATCACCGGAGCTCATGTCAGTGTGATTCCTAGCTCGTTGACGGTAAATGTATTCTGGGTTGACATTTATGATCCACAGAGCTTGTCTCTCAGACAGCTCCTGCATATAGAGCAATCAGTTGAAGATATATCGGATATCTTCCACCAGGTAGACTATATCCTTAGCGACATCGATGAAAGCAATACGATACCTACCATACTACCTCAACAATCTTGGGAAGAGTTTCAACATGTAAGTGTTGATATCAAACGTCATATATATATATCTAATATCTTTGCGCAGGAATTCTTGCGGATCGCCGCGTGATGTCGAAACAATTTTCACGAGGCTGTAGCTATCATGGATGGTGTGTTTCGGCTTGGGACCGATGGTTGTGATCTTTCCTACCATCGCTGAGCAGACTGTAGCATGCAGAGAATTGCTCCTCACAGACGCCGACCCACCTATCTACGACAGCGCGAACAGAGAGTTCAAGACCCCGGAAGAAGTTAGACAACCCCTTTTTAAATTCTTTTCATAAATCTGATGAACTCTGAACCTGGAAGGCTGTAAGCCGCACAAAGAGAGGTCTTCAGTCTATGAGAGAATGACTATGATTGCATAGTACTGTACCTGTAAGCCGCACAAAGAGAGGCTACAAGTACTAGTAAGTAAACATGTAAGAAAGCATAGGTAGTGTGTGTTAGGAGCGTGCTGAGCAGAAGTCTGAAGGTCCGAAAATGCGGAGGTTCGAAAACCCGAAAATGCGGTAGTACGGATTCCGGAGGTACGTAGGCTCAGAGTCCGGAGGTTCGGGATGTCCGGAGGTTCGGAGGTTTAGGGAACGATGACTCAGCGGGAGGACTTTGGCGAAGCTATTAGCAACACCCTGGGACTTGTTCTGTTCGTCCTTAATTTCGGAGGTTCGGAGGTTCGGAGGTTGACAAGTAGTTGTATTGAAGGTAGCAAAGGTGAGGTAAGGGAGGTAACAAACAAGATGGAAGGGAATATGGTAAATGAGATATTCGAACTGAGTAACTATGGTATTCCAGCTCAGTATAAGTAGTACGTAAGCTTATTGTCTAGCCGAGACAATAAGGAAGTACGGAAATGGAGTTCCGGAGCAGAAGACAATAAACCTATTGTTATGGCGCTAACAAAAGAGAATGACACAATCTGAGACATATGAAATACAAACGGAGGTTCGGGAGTTCGGGAGTTGAAGGACCGGAGGTATGGCCGGAGTTCCGGGAGTTCGGAAGTACAGTACTAAGTCCCGGAAAAGGGTGCAAGTCCTGGAAGTTGGAATGAAGTCCCGGAAATTGGAGTTGTTGTCGCACGGGATGTAACAGTGTGAGACTTACTCTTCAGTCTGTGAGAGAACGACTGAAGAGCAGAGGCCTGCAGAGTCCTCCTTATATACTACTGGGGAGGACAATAAGTAAGTGTATAGGAAGAGGGCATGTGACGTCCAGAGGACACTGACTGAGCGATGAGTAACGCTGAGTAAGGGAGCATAATTGACATAAGGTCAGATAGTCCATGGCTGAGTAATGCGAGTAATCCGGACGCTGTCTAGAATAGTCCGGAACATCGTAGAACGTACCAGAATCATATGGAGGGATGGCAGGATGCCAAGTAAGTACAGAACAAAAGAATGTACGTATATGGTAAGTAGGAAAGTCCATGCTGGCGTATGGTAGACACACAGCCACTATCACTGCCACTCCCGGTCCGGCACAGCCATAGACACAGAAGTTCAACAAAATCATACTCACCTTTGGAATACTCACAGCTTCTGCGCACAAGGGCCGCTCGTGGACAATCTGGGTTGACGACTCAGGCAGCTCGCGAAGAAGATCAAAAATTTCCGAACCCATAGCGATGTCGTCCCCGCCCACCTGTTCATCCATC